AAGTGGTAAAGTTTGAAACGCTAGACACCAAGATCATTAAAAAATAGTTTAAACAGCTATTTGTGAAAAACATTATAGTTTAGGCATTTATTTTATATTTAATCATTTAAATGTTTTAAAATCTATGTATGAGATGATTTCTATATAACATTTCAAATTTATTTCTGGGTAAAATACACAAATAGTCCTCAATTTATATGATATTATTTTGTTGAGACACTAACTACTAAAAATTATAAAATGATCCCCAACTATGTAATGCTACTTTGTTGAGTCGCTTAGCAATTAAAAATTATAAAATTATCACCTGACTATTTATCATTTTCCGAACTCATCATTTTCTGTTAAAAAATTAATGACATTTTGAGCTAGATGTTAATATACTCTATGAGATATGATAGTCGTTTAAGATAATGTTTTATCGTATCTCAAATAACATATTAACATTCAACTCATAATATATTCAATTTTTTTTTTTGAAAAATGATAGTTTGGTGGCAAATTTGTAATCTTTAATAGTTAAGGGACTCAACAAATCAACACCATATACTAAGGGACCATTTGTATACTTTACACTTTAATTATTTTTTGGCATAAAACATTTCACATTTATATATAATTTTTTCGATACCAAAATTTTAAATATACATTATTCTTATGTTTAAAGATAAATATTCGTATATATACACACACATTGAGCTTGTTAGGCATTACTACTTGCATCTATGTACTTATATAAGCACTATTAGGGATGGTAAACGGGTACAATTTCGTGGATTTCGAACCGTACCCGCTCCAATTGGGGCGGGGATAAGTATAACTTTAGTGGGTAGTGAGCGGGTGTGGATATAGAAAGTGGTACCCGTCGCAGGTAGTGGGCGGGTGATGGGTTTGAGACCTTACCCGCCCTGTATCCGCCCACCCCACATCCGCCCGCCCACTAAATACCCATTAAATTTTGGATCATTTTGAATTTAGGTAGAATTTTAGAGACTAATTTATAAATCTTAATATTGTATAAGATATAACTTATAATTTATGTACTTTAAGATCTATGTTAATAATTAACTCAGATAATCCTTGGTTTATTTTATTATACTTCTCAATTGACGTGTTTGTTTTATGTTTGTTGCTTATGTATAACTTAAGATTGTTGTTAGGCGAGTCTAGCCGGATACGTCTCTAGTTGGGTAGTAGGTGTGGGGATAGATTTGAGAATGTACCCGCGTGGGCGGGTGTGGATGTAACACTCCCAAACCGTACCCGACCCGAATACGAGTCTGAAATGTCACATTGACTTTTAAAACAATATTCTTACAAAATAATAGAATATTTGAACTTACATTAAGAAAATACGATAATATATTGTTGAATTATATTCGTTATAAAAAAATTTAAGGAAATAAACATTTTTATAAATAGTACTATATGGTGTGAATAATATCGATGCTAAAAAATTTACAGATTTCTATAGGGGTATCGATACCCTGCTACAGTAATTTCTGAAAAACTTATAAAATTTTAATTTTTCCTCACTATACAATTACCATTTACATAAATACGTTTAAACCATTACAAAACTCAATCATATGATTTTCCAAAACCGATTAGAGCATATCGGATTCAAATCTTTATTTACATGCCAACCACTATAAGTATTACAAAATACATACTCTTCAATTCTTTTCTGATACGATCTTTGGAAAGGAGAACTGGCCTGTCTTGCTTAACTTTTATCATTTTTCCTCTTCTTGGAACCTACGTGTGAAACAACCACACGCTAAGTCATTGACTTAGTGAGACATATAAAACATATAATAGAAACCATAAAACATTTCATATATCAAAATGCATACATGCACGTATACCATCATTATCATAATATCTATTTATCATATGATCTTGTACTTATCATTTCTGTATATTATATAACACATATATCATTTCACAAATAAACACACATAACATCATATAATTCATATTGATATCTTTTATAGGCCCATGTACATTACTGAGAACTCAAGGTATGCGAGTATATATTGAGGTTGTGCACATATATGCTGTCACCACAACTCGTATAATAATCTGTCCATATGTTTCGAAGAACATAGGTAAACTATCCATATATCCCGAAGAACATAGGTAATCCTGTCCATATGTCTCGAAGAACATATGTAATCCTGTCCATATATCCCGAAGAACTTAGGTAACCCTCGACTCTTGGCATGCCAACTATAACCCCCTAACTCTCATATCACATAACATGGGCATTATCATTTATAACAGTTCGCATATTCACATCACTTATTCATATCATTTCTCTTATAAACACATATCTTTTCTTTTCTGTCACGTATCACATGTACATGTAATCATTGATTTTATATCATATGACTTTCCCGTATATTCTCATATCTCATTACCACGTATTCATTTCATTCTTTATATCCTTATCACATAGCTTATTTCACATTCATATGTCACATAGATCATATCACTTTTGCATGTAATCACATAAACATATATATATTTCATATCTTTTTCACATATAATTCCCATATAACTCATATCATTTAATTCATATCTTATTCTTATATCATCATATATATGTCATCTATGTTCATTAACTTAATCACTTATGTTCATATATTGCATATTCATGTAATCATATAGGTCATGTCACATATAATAACATATATCTATTTTCATGTACTCATGCACATATAAGAATCACATCAATTATATAACATTTTAGGAGTCACTTCTTACCATAGTAACTCCGTCATTGGCTCATCGCAAGCCAATGTTTGATCAATAACATAAGTACAATTAAATTGCACTCACCTTAGGCTTTCTTTGATTCGATCCTAATTCTTTGATTGTTCCAGAACTTGTTTAGGCTCAATATCTACATAAACATAATTTCCGAGATGATTATCAGAAGCCTAAACCTAATAACTTGATGTTAATAACTTAAGCTGGTTTAATAAACCAAAATTCCATTTTTTTTCCTTTAGAGTGTATCGATATCGATACCCTTATTACATTATGTGATTTTTTGTTCATGAGGGTATCGGTACACATACATAGGGTGCTGATGCACTCTGCCCAAAACAAGTTTTTTCACCCGAAAATTCATCATTCTCAACTTAAATTATTCATGTTTCATTCCTTTTTCTATTCTTAACTCAAGTACATATACTTAAACTAATTTATACTCATTCAATACATCTTTAACCTCAAAATTCCATCTTTCATATGAAAATCAATAATCATACCAAAATTTCAAGATGCTCTAAATCCAATTCTATCACTTCATATCTCTTAATTAAGTTGATGACAAGTCAAATTTAGTTTCAAATTCAACTTATCAACTCTTTTACAGAAATTCACTTAAAAACCCATTCTCTTTAATCTTTCATAACTTATTCATCTTTTGATTTTAAGACAACTTAAGCTTCCATTAAGCTTAAGTATCACCTAAGGATCAAAACCCATACTTAAAATTAACAAATCATCAAGTAATCAGAAAACTCACATTTGTTCACTTGGTTCACGGTGGAGAATAATAAAGGAAGAAAAAGAAGAGAGTTTTCCACATAACTCTCCCCTACGTGTTTCTCTCCTATTAAAGGGAAAAAATATATTTCATATCAAATGACCATTTTGCCCTTTAATTATTTTAATAATTACTAACAATAATTCATAAATTATTTCTAGATAAGTCATTGAACTATCCAACTATTCCACTTTAATCACCAAATTCTGAAATTTTACAATTTAGTCACTAACCCGTAGTTTGGGATTTTACAGTGGATTTGAAAATTTTTACCCATAATGGGTGCTTGATTTGAAAATATTAAGTGGGTATAGGGATGGGGGAGGGGATATCCACATCCGACCCGCACGTTTGCCATCCCCACTACCTGTGACGGGTACTACTTTCTAAATCCACACTCGCCCACTACCTACTAAAGTTATACCCATCCCCGCCTCAATTGGAGCAGGTAAGTGCGAAATCCACAAAATTATTCCAGTTTGCCATCCCTATACACAGATGACAATTTATATTTGTGTTTTGTTCATTTTTTGTCAGTGATTAAAAAAAACATAAGATATGACCGCTTTTGTTTTCATTCAATTAATATATTATCACCTTCATTTTTATTTAATTAAGATGTGATAATCACGAGTTAACTGTTGTTAACAATTAACAGAATATGTAACGTAATAGTTGTTATAATCATACATTTCGTCCTTATTATTTACATATTCTCTCAATTTAGTCATATTTTTAAATAATTTTTAACACAAAAAACATATTTTTAAATAAAAAATAAAAGATTTTAAAATAAAGTTAATAATAAAATATATTTAGTATGTTAATGTAAAAAACATTTTAATTTAATTTATATAAAATATTATGAATTTAAGTATTTATACAATAAAATATAAAAATATATACACCATATTGTTTACTTTAAACCAACTGATGATCTTAGCTTAATGGTTAGATATATGCTTAATTTCCTATTTGACTAATGTTTGAATATTTTTGTCCGAATTTGCTTTCCTTTGTTTCTTTCAACTAGAGAGTGTCACATATTACTATTTTATTGGTGAAAATAAATATATTAAATTAAAATAAAGTTAATACTCCAATTGAATGATTCTATATGATATCATTCGATTGAAAAATTAAATTTATTTTAATTTTTTAAAAGTTTAAATGAATTTAAAGAATATATAAATAAAGATGACCAATGTATGATTATATCAACATATTTAACTGTTTCTGAAGATAGTTGACACGGAGTGACCATATATTAATTAAATTAAAATAAAAGTAACTATATCTTATATATATTTTTTTTAAACCAATTAATTTAAAACACAAACATAAATAATTAACCGTGTATTTAAACTAATAATAAGTGTTGGTCCTACGTTTTAACATTTTCGTATATATATATGGCCATTGGGGAAAACAGTCTGCACATCGATCGGCAGTTCTCAACAATACTGTGAGTTCGCTTCATTCTAACGTGTGTTTTAAAGTTCTTTCAATCATTTCGTTGAACACATCTCTAACTTTTATTTCCGATGAAAATTAGGAGTGCTTCTTTACACGGGAAAAGCTGCACGTGAGTGACGATGGGAGCGATAGGTGTAGCTGTGATCGGAGGAGGGATCCGAGGGCTGGTTTCTGCCTACGTTCTGGCCGAAGCCGGCGTTCCAGTGGTGGTTTACGAGAAACAAGAACGGCTAGGCGGCCATGCGAAGACTGTCAACTTTGATGCCGTCGAGTTGGACCTTGGCTTGTTGTTCCTCAATCCAGTAAGATTTTATATTTGAATTTTAACTTTATTAATTTTATTATTTAGTTTAAGGATCTTGTTATTATGAAAATGATTTTTTATGAATAAATTTGTATGAATTTAAATGAAGTTAAATATATATTTAAAAACCAGTAAATATACAAAAGTTTATAACGTATATCTCTAGTTTCAGTTCTGTATTTAATGTTTATTTCGTTTCAGTTTAGTGTTTAATATTTTATTTTGTAACTTAAATTAAATCAAGTCGTAATAGGTTGTTAGGTTTAACCTTAAGTAATAAGTGTCACAATATGATAATTTTAAAAAATTATTTAAAATTAAAAAATAAAAATTATATATATATTTTAAAAAGTAAACATAGATTTTAAAATAAACTTAAAATTTTGATAATTTTTATTTTAATTCCAAAACCTATGTCGACCACAGCTTTTTATCGACAACGAAATTTCACTCGACTTCTCTTTCATGACGATCAAAATCTTATGAAATCGTGATCGATCGACGATCAATCGATCGTCGTGATTTTCATCTTTAAATTTTCAAGGTATAAAATATTGATTCATCATCGTTCAACCATCCATCACGATTTCATGAGAGTTTCGGATAAGGTTTCGTCCACGATAAAAAAACAGTAGCTGATGTGAGTTTAAAGTTGAAATGAAGATTTTTAAAATTTTAATTTTATTTCAAAATTTGTATTTTTTTAAATATATATAATTTTAAATATTTTTTAAAATTATTAGATTATGACACATGTCTTTTAACAATCTGTAACGACTTGACATAATTTGAGTTACGAAATAAAAAGTTAAGATCAAATTAAAATAAAATAAACGTTAGACATTAAATTAGAATAAAAAATATATATTCTACATTTTTTTTGTATATTTAAGCCTTTAAAAATGATAATAATTCAAACTCATATATTAATTCCCTATTTTAGAAAGCAGCAGGTGCCCAATATAATCATACTAGGGAGAGAGAGACAACATTTTCAATGGTCCGTCGCCTTCTGTCACTTTCCCGTAGGGTTACACTTATTACAAATAGCAATAATAATAATAATAATAATAATTTTTGAATAGAATGATACTAATAGTTATAAATAGTACTTATAGGTGGTATATCTAAAATTATTTTTTAAAGTGAACACACGTATGATAACAATATAAAATTTTTAAATAAGTACAAATATAATTTTAGTTAGATACAGTTTATAAAATAAATAACTAATAAAAAAATTCAGATTTTAAGATAGATACGATAAATTTTGGGGTGAGTATGTGTCTATCCTGACCGAGCTATGGCTCCGCCATTGTGTAAGTACGTACATACGTAAAGTATGTTATTTTTACTCTACTTATTTTTTATTTATCTATAAGTTATTATAAAATATTATTATTTGAAAGATTGTAATTTGTTTTAAACACTCAAACACTCTTGATATACGATATGTTTAAACTCAAATTTTACGGTTAATTAAGTTAATAATTATTCATTTAACTATTGAAGAAACTCAATTCTTGCTATATATATATAAAAGGTTAGTATTCATTCACACATGGTAAAATTATTAATTTTATATTTTTTAAGACCGTTGAATAAGTGAAATCAAAGATTGAAATTAACATATTATTTTATTAAGTGAATATTTTCTCATTTATTACTGTTAATCTTAATATTTAATTTTACTCATCCAACGTTCCTAAAAAGATGTAAAATAAGAGCTTTACACTATGTCTAATTGACTCGATAATAATGTGATATATTTTAGGGGTGAGCATAACTCAAATTGGTTTTAGAAATCAATCTTTCCTACTCCATTTGACTCGAAAAAAACTTGAGTAAATTTGATTTGGAGTTGTAATTTCATAAATTGACTCGATCTAATTTTTTAAAATTTAAGTCGAGTTATAAAATAGAAATTGAAAAACTTAAATTTTTTTAATAATTAGTAGATTGCTTTTTAAGTTTGAGTCGAGTCATTTGACTTTATATGGTATATGTAATATGAAAAATATGAAGAAATATATATTTATTGTATATAGTTATAGAAAGTCGTTTAAATTACAATGATATAATATCATAATATTGTAAATACGTATATAGTTATAGAAAGTCGTTTAAATTACAATGATATAATATCATAATATTGTAAATACATATAATTAAATTTAAACAGAAACTTGATCAATCCGACTCGACACTACTTGAATTTTATAAACTTGACTCGATTAAAAAAATTCTAATCAAATTTGAGTTATAAAATAGATCTCATCGATTCTAATAACTCAATTTTTTTTAATTTAACTCGACTCGATTAAATGGTAACCGCATTTAGGTGAGTACTACCTGGGATGGTGCTCAAAAATTTAAAATTTTCATATGTTTTAAATTTTTTATATGTATTTTCTATTGAAAATATGTTTTCGTATCTCATAATTTTAGTTTATCCAACCCCTTATTGAATTTTGAAAAGTCAAAACTTTTAAATTTAGACTACGATTATTTTATATAATTAATTTTAAAAATATATTTTTACCAATAATAAATTTTAAACAATAATAATTAAAGTTAGAAAAATGGTAAAAATTCAATAATCAACAGATTGAATGATAAAGAGAGTAATACTTTTCAGACAACTAAACCGTGGATAAACCTATTATATGACTCTTGTCGAGTGAATAAATTATAAATTATTATTTATAATAAGTTTGTATAAATATATTTAATAATAAAATTTAGGGTAAAGTACATAAATGATCCCTTAATTATAAGATAATAATTTAGTTGAATGTTTCGATTATTAAAATTTTAGCCCTACAATAAAAGTATAAAATGAAAATAAAAGTGACACGAACTAAGTTACGTTAATGGCTAAATGTACAATAGTTATTCTTAGAAATCTTATGTTTAATCATTAGAAACTATTGAGTATTAAACATTTGATATTAAATAGATGAGCATTTTTAGAAAAAAATATTATATTTACCATATTAAATAAATAATTAGCCCTCGTTCACATTTAACTTAAATTTAAATCCGACATAAAATCGATTTATCAAATCATTTAATATAAAATAGAGATAAATTTATAAAATTTAAAAAAAATTAATATTAAATTATTAATAGAAATAAAAAAAAAATCTTTAAGAGGACGATTGTCGCTAACGGTCACTTAAAAATTATACCTAGCACATAGTACCAACGATGTACTGGTTCTAGGGAACATTGAAGTGACATTGTATGGTACAATTATTATAAAATCTAAAATATTAAAATTTTAATAAATTTAAAGAGAATTTTATGAAATTTAATAAAAATTAACCAACAATCGATAAATATAGTAAGATGAGATATTAAATTTTTTTAAGTTAAATCTTAGTGATTACGAATGGAGCAAAATAAATTGAAAGTGTCGTTCTCTCCTTTGTAGTACCTCGATCTATATTAAATTATTAATAGATCGAATATTGGTGATTATAAAAAATAAATTTTATGAGTATTTTATAATAATTTAATAGTATTTAATGAATATTTGATAAATATTTTAAAATTTTAATATCCATTTATATACTGAGTTGACTTTCAGTGAGGTCCCTAGATTTGTTAGCTTATTTAATTTATTTGAGATAAAATTTAAATATTTTCAAATATTTAATAAATAAATAAACTGTCGCTGTTATGTATTCAATAATGGAAAGAAACTGTCCCGATCCAAATTCTTCAGTATTAAATAATTCCTAACACTTGGGATAAGAATGTCCCTAAACTAATAAATTCTTTTTATGATGAATCTTTTTTATTTTTTTATTTTACTCAAAATTATAAATATAATAATAATATATAATGAGTTTAATTTAGTAAATAAAATAAATTTAAATATTTAAAATTATTTTATATTTTTAATATCAAATATGCTAATTATTTATAATTTTACGAGGTAAAAATAATATGATAGTAAAAATATAATTATTTAAAATAATCTCTAACTTTAAATTATTAAAAAATAAATCTTATACATTGAAAAATGTTATCATTGTCCACTCGATTGTAATATTATTTTTTATATTATATTATATTTTATATAAATAAATATGATGTTTGTGAAAATTATTTAAAAATATAAATTTAACACACAAATTATATATTTAATATATTTTCTCAAAAGTTAGATAATATAACAATTCAAATATTTCTATGAATTCAAATATTTATAATTTAATATTAAAGTTTATTTTTTTAAAACATATACTACAAGAATAATTGATAAAATATACAGTCAAGTAATCTTATGTTTCTCTAACCAAACACTGTAATATTACATTCTGTTAAACAAATCAAACAAGATAATATAACATTCCCATAGTAACATTACATTCTAGTAATGTTATTCACGACAGTAATCTTACATTCCGTGGACCAAACACCACCTTAGATTATTCCATATTCATACATGCATGGACTACAGTTGAAAAAAAGATATTTATGTCAAAATAAAAAGTAATAACTTGATCAAATGAATTTTGATCGATCTGATTTTATTAAGTCAATTTTTTAAAAATTAGATTTGGTTCGAGTTAGGTCAAGTTTATTTGATGATAATTTCGAGTTGAGTCGAGTTCAGGTTTAGTATGAAAAATAACCGATCCAACCCCACCTAAAAATAGTCTAATTATGGTTATATATATAGGAATAATTACAATAATACCCATATCAATATTATTTTTTCTTTTATATTCATATTTTATTGAATAAAATTAAGAATTATATATAGATATATATTGAGTTGGGTTAGATATAGGGATTTAAATTGCGGTTGTGGTCGTGTTACATTTATCGCGATTATGGATATAACGGATGCTATTGCGGTTATTACGAATATCATGGTCATGAACTTTTTCCAAGTGAGTTGATTTAAAAAAAACATAGTGGAATAGTGGTTCGTTATTGTTGCGATTGCCCATTATCCGCTAAATTACGACCGCGACGGGATTTCAAAATTGTCAAAACCTAAACGGAATAACTGTCAAACAATAACTGTAGATAGAAAACTTGGACTTATGGTTAGACCCGAAATGGTGGCTCTTTAGTAGTTATTGTCGTTAGTATTGCGTAGTCATTTTTTTTAGAGTTTTGTTGGGGTTTTTAGGTGATTGCTTTCGATTTTCGAGATCAACTTATTTTTGTTAGATTGGATAAGGGGGCCTGGATCAATTGTTGTTCGTTTCGGAGCTGTTGGATTTACAGATTGGAGTTTTGATCGATATTCTTGTGGCATGGTAGCTCCCTTGATTTCCATGTTCTTGGTTGAAGTTAGAGGTCGTTCTATTATTAAGCTGTTATTGTTGAGTTGTGCTTTTGGCGCCTTTTTGTAGGAGGTTTGTGTTGTTTTTACATCACCTTGTTAGTCGTGTCTTTGTAGTCTCTTGTATATCTGGCAGTGTTTTGCTTCCTCAGGAGCTAGTTTCTGGCTTCCTGCCCTTTCCATCTCATAGTTCACTCTTTTTTCTCCAAATAGGTTTAGGGAGGTTTTTTAATAAGGTTCATGGGGTGGTGTACCTTGTATCCTTATCAATACAAAGTACCCATTTTAAAAAAAAACGTATGAACTTCACTCACTTAGTTGAGCACAGTCCTATCTTTTTTATGTACTACCACGAGGGCACCCACTGGATGACGGGAAGGTTAGGAACCTCAGAAAGCATGCCACAACAACAACGCTATCCGATCGCTATTTGAATCCCTAGTCGGGTGTGAGCTTTATCTCAAAAGATATGTTGTTTTTCAAGTCGGGTGAAGTTACCCTAAACTTGAATTAGGTTGAGTTTCGGGTGGATGGTGAATTTTTATTAGTTCGAATTTAATTGATCGAAAAGCTGACTCAACCTTACCCATGCACACCCCTATTTTAGACTTTATACAATTAACTAGTTATTATATCAATTAAAATTTACTATCAAATATATTTAAAATAATAATTAATATAATTATATTTTTATCTTTTTATATTCTTATAAAATTCTTTAATTAATATAGTTAAAATTCTTATACTAATAGAGCTTGAATAGATCTAATAACACTTCCAATAAAATATTATGTAGTTTTTTTCTTCAAAATATTATATTAGATAGATGCTTCTAATTAAATACATGCATGCATGCAACGTATATTTGATTGAAATTTGGTGTACTAATTATTTTATTCCCTTTACTAAGCTAAAATGCCATGTTTAGTCCTTCGTAATTTGGTATCGTGAAACAAAGCATGAACATATATATATGTATATATATAAACTACATGTTGCTCTTAAAAATCATTAGGGTTTGTTGAACTCCAAGATTTTCTATGTTTTGTTGAAGCTATAGTGTCTATGTTGGGTTATGAAACAAAGCATGAACTTATATATATATATATATGGGAAACTTGACGTGCAAGATATGAATGAACTTATTTATATATATATATATGGGAAACTTGACAGGCAAGATATGCGACATTGTTGGAGACGTTTGATAGCCTTGGAGTTGATGTGGAGACGTCTGATGTTTCCTTCTCCATTAGCCATGACAATGGCAATGGCTACGAGTGGTGCAGCCAATATGGTTTCTCAAACTACTTTGCTCAGAAGAAGAAATTGTTGAACCTTTTCAACAGGCATAACCTCAGAGAGATTATCAAATTCGGGAATGATGTCGAGAGGTATCGCCTTTCTCGCCTCGAATCACATGATTTTTCGGCTGATCTTACTGGTGTATGATGCATCCACTTGTGTTTTGCAGTTATCTCGGATCTGTCGAGAACAACCCCGACATCGATCGTAATGAGACCTTGGGACAGTTTATTAAGTCCAAGGGGTACTCTGAAAATTTTCAGAACACTTACCTGGTGAGCTTCTGAAGAGTACTTGTATGTATTTCATCCTATTATTTATTGAGATTTACTTTATACTAATTAAGGAATCAAAATTTGACAGGCTCCCATATGTAGTTCAATGTGGTCCAGCTCCAAGGAAGATGTCATGAACTTTTCGGCCTTCCCGGTTCTTTCGTTTTGCCGCACTCACCATTTATACCAGGTGTTTGATTAATTGCTTAAATGGATTCTGATTGGTGTTTATATAATTCATGCAAGCTCTAACTATGGCCATCATATATCGGTTTCGTTTGCATGTACTCTTCCTACATAAAATTAGGTCTACCGATTTCGTTTGCTGATTTTTTTTGTTTTCCATTTCCATCTTCAGCAATTTGGGCAGCCACAGTGGTTGACCATCAAAGGGCACTCACATTTTGTTAAAAGGGTGAGCATTTCTAGTTTCCTGAGCTCTCCAACTCCCTTATATGTTCATCTTATACGTGAAATCGGTTGTTCAAAAGTATAAGAACTTGAAGTTATATTTATGTAAACTAATTAAAAATATGTTCCAATTCAATAAAATCAGATCAGAGATGTGCTGGAGACTAAAGGGTGTCAATTTAAACTTGGTTATGAAGTACAATCTGTTCTGCCAGCTGATAACGGTGAGCGATTACTCCTCTCGTCATATTTCCATGTTGAGTTTCGTATCGGGAAATATGACATTTTCTTTTCTTTGAGCTTCATTTTCTAGCACATTACCCTATGGATTTACAGAGCTCCAAGGATAATCGTATAAATGGATTAGCAGGTACAACTGTGGTCTGTGGAGACGGTTCCGAAGTAACTTACGGTGGATGCATAATGGCTGTTGATGCTCCCACAGCCCTAAGATTATTAGGAAAACAAGCTACATATGAAGAAACCAGAGTATTGGGTGCATTCCAATATGCTTCCAGGTACAAGAATGATTTGCTTATAGCTAATAACGATTTCGCCTTTTCTTTACTTCATGGAATCTGATAATTAGTTTCTGCTGACAGTGATATTTACCTTCATCGGGACAGCGGTTTGATGCCGCTAAACAAATCAGCTTGGGGTGCACTGAATTTTCTCAATAGTAGAGATAACAAAGCATGCTTAACATACTGGCTCAACGCACTGCAGGTAGGTAGCAAGTTCTTCCAGTAAACAAGATGCTCATGCTCATACCGTTTATCTGAAGTACTTGGTTGCTTATCAAGTTATAACTTTGAGTAATGCTGACTGGTTTTTGTTACATTTTTTTTCTTCAGAAAATCGAGAAAGTGAGTGAGCCATTCTTTGTGACCGTCAATCCAGACCGCACCCCAGAGAGTACCTTACTTAAGTGGTCGACTGATCATGCCATTCCCTCTGTTGCTGCATCAAAAGCTTCACTTGAGCTCGGTCAGATTCAAAGGAAGAGAGGAATCTGGTTCTGTGGTGAGATATTTCCTCCATGAAATTACTTAATATTTTCGGAAATAATTTTATGAGAATCATCCATTTTGGAACAAGGACATATCAGTGAAATATTATCCCTACTGACATTGTATCCTTTCAGGCTATGGCTTCCATGAGGATGAATTAAAGGTACATATCTTGTATTTGCTGCTAGTTACTAACTCAAAATAATGATTCAATCTTATTTCAACAAGATAAAGGCCTTTAGCTTAGGGCACAAGGAAATTACAAGAATTTACAAAGCAGTCTCCTAAGGTGCTTTTTTTCTCAGGCTGGCATGGATGCTGCACATGATTTCTTGGGAAAGAAGTCTTCTGTTCTGTACAGTCCGAAGCATATGGCACCATCTTTCATGGAAACAACGGCACGCCTCTTCGTTACTAAGTTCTTTCAACAATATATATCTGTCGGCTGCATAACGTGAGTTCTTAATGATAATCACTTGATCCTTTTATCATCTTGTTATTTCGGTACATGTTTCTCTTCTTGAATTTGATACAATTTACTATATGGCTTTCACCAGCTTTATAGAGGAAGGAGGCAGGATTTTCACTTTCAAAGGAAACATGGAAAAATGTCCTCTTAAAACGGTCCTGAAAGTGCACAATCCTCAGTTTTACTGGAGGGTACGCACCCGACATTACTTAATCCGTATTCATGTTTTTTATTTATTTAGATATCTTATAAAACATAGTGCTGATGAACATTGGATGTGTTCTTCTCCAGATTATGAAAGAAGCTGATATAGGCCTTGCAGATGCATATATCCATGGAGATTTCTCTTTCGTCGATGAAAATGAAGGTCTTCTGAATCTTTTCCGGGTAAGAAAAGGTTCTCGAGACCTGTTCCTGTAAATGCAGTATGGTTTACGTTACAAGTTATCTAATCTTCATTGGTAACTTTGCAGATACTCGTTGCCAATAAAGAGAACTCAGCTACGTCGAATAAAAGAAGGTTTATTATAGCTCGAAGAAGAATCTAGATTTTGATACTGGTAGAATCGATATAGAAATATTAAGCACGGACGTTTAATTGGTTGCAGGAGTTGGTGGTCACCTGCATTGTTAACAGCTAGTATATCATCTGCAAAGTATTTCGTGAAGCATCTCATGAGACAAAATACCATCACGCAGGCGCGTAGGAATATCGCTCGTCACTATGATCTGGTAAGTGATCACGACTTTGATTTCAAGGTATTAGAACAACATTTTCGGAGTTACCGTGCACTATCAACTGGATTTATCGAATCGAAGCTAACGAATTCCCCGCAAATTTTGTTCGCAGAGTAACGAGCTTTTCTCCCTATACCTGGGCAAAATGATGCAATATTCTTCTGGAGTCTTTAGGGTCAGGATACTCAATACAACTTTTTTCTTTAAAAGTGCATGAACATTTGGATTTCATCCTTTTTCTAGCGTTGTGACGCTGAAATTAAGTTGCTTTACAGACGGGAGATGAGCATTTGGACGTTGCGCAGAGACGAAAAATCAGTTCCCTAATCGAGAAAGTGAGAATTCATGATGGTCTCATCCTTATTCTTCATGCTTTTTTTGCTATGATCATTTATTTGATTGTTTTGGTTTTTGATGCTGCAGACAAGGATCGAGAAATGGCATCAAGTTCTCGACATCGGGTGCGGTTGGGGAAGCTTAGCTATCGAAACAGTCAAAAGAACAGGATGCAAATACACTGGCATCACTCTATCAGAGCAGCAACTGAAATATGCTCAAGAAAAAGTAAAGGAAGCTGGACTTGAGGTATCCATGTCTGAAAAAATGGCTTCTGTCTGCAAATAACTCTGTTTGTCACATAGCTAACACGTTTTTGATCATCAGGATAACATCAAGATACTTCTCTGCGACTATCGCCAGTTACCGAAGGAACATCAATTCGACAGAATCATATCTGTGTAAGTCATAAATTCCCCAGTTAACATGTACTTAGAACTTCCATGTCAAAGAGTTTCAATATTTTGCAATTATGCTCTTCAGAGAGATGGTGGAACATGTGGGTGAAGAATATATCGAGGAGTTTTACCGATGCTGTGACCAATTATTGAAAGAAGACGGGCTTTTTGTTCTTCAGGTAATGTTCAAATGATGATGAACGAACTTTCGGCTTTGTATTAGGCTGAAACAATTCGTTGATGTCCAAGAGTGGTGTTTTGTTTTTGTTTTTACTCAGTTCATATCAATCCCAGAGGAGCTTTCCAAAGAAATCCAGCAAACAGCAGGTTTCCTAAAGGAATACATCTTCCCTGGTGGAACCCTGCTTTCATTGGATCGGAATTTGACGGCCATGGCTAATGCAACAAGATTCAGGTAACATCCATTGTTGTTTAAACACATTAGGAGTGCATTTCTCTTTGTTCTACTATACGAACCGATCGATGAGTATTGCACGAATGCAGTGTGGAGCATGTCGAAAATATTGGAATAAGTTATTACCACACACTGAGATGGTGGCGAAAACTCTTCCTGGAAAACACAAGGTACCTATGCAAATGCAACTCCCTCCTACACTTTGTGTTGATTTCTATTTTCATGAAAACCTAAAACACGACCATGAGTTTGTTTTGTTTTCCTTCTCAGCAAAGTTCTGGCACTCGGATTCGACGATAAGTTCATGCGGACGTGGGAGTACTATTTCGATTACTGCGCTGCTGGTTTCAAGACCGGAACCCTTATAGATTACCAGGTAAACTCTATACTGTTAAAAAAGGTGTAATTACAGAAAACATGCTCCAGCTATTTTATTTATCATATAATAAATTTTACAAGACTAAATCCTTTATATACAACCCATCAGCAGTTACTAGCCTAACTAATAATCTAACTAATTAATAACAAACTAAATAACCAAATAACTGAAAACTAACACTCCCCCTCAAGTTGGTGGTTAAAGATGTTGATTAACCCCAACTTGGAACTCAAATATTCATGTTGTTGAACTCCCAAAGCTTTTGTTAGAATGTCTGCTTGCTGATCTATTGTCTTCACATACTTTGTTTTAATTATTCCTTCTTGAGCTGCCTTGTTATCACACATCAACTTTGCTGGTCTTTTGTGTTTTTAAACCCAAGTTCATTCAGCAAGCCTGTTAACCACACTATTTCTGCTGCAGTCATTGCCATGCTACGATATTTTGCCTCTGTAGATGATCTTGCAATTGTGTTTTGTTTCTTGGACTTCCAAGATAGCAAAGAGTCCCCCAGTTTCACACAAAAACCTGTTACTGACCTCCTAGTCATTGGGCAAGTTGCCCAATCTGAATCACAAAAAGCTTGAAGTTGACATTGACTTCCTGCACTTAACAACACTCCTTGACCTGGACTACTTTTGATATACCTGACCACCAACAAAGCTGCATCCAAGTGTAATTTCCTTGGTTGTTGCATGAATTGACTCAACAATTGTACTGAATAAGCAATGTCAGGCCTTGTGTTGTGAGATAAATCAACTTCCCAATCAACCTTTGATAACTTGTCTTATCCTTTAATAGCTCATCTTCTGAAATCAACCTCTTATTTTGTTCTAAAGGAGTTGCAGCAGGCCTTGCACCCCCAGTCCAGTTTCTTCAATTAACTCCAATGCATACTTCCTTTGACTTATGATTATTCCTTTTTCTGATCTAAATATTTCTAAGCCAAGGAAATACCTTAATTCACCAAGATCTTTCATTTCGAAGCTTTTATTCAGAATTCCTTTGAGTTCTTTAATCAATCCACTGTCATTTCCAGTTATCAAAAGATCATCAACATATATGAGCATCATGAATACTTTGTTGCCTTGTGACTTAGTAAACAAAGAGTAGTCAAACTTGCTTTGAGAATATCCTACCAACAGAAGAGCCTCTGTGAGTTTCATGTTCCACTGCCTTGAAGCCTGCTTTAATCCATACAAGGATTTTTGCAGTATGCACACCCTAGTCTCCCCCTGACTGCAAAATCCTTCAGGTAGGGACATGTATACCTCCTCAACTAAATCACCCTGGAGGAAACCATCTTAGCCACATGAGAGAAGGTCTCAACATAATCAACTCCTTCTCTTTGAGTGTATCCTTTAGCAACAAGACGAGCTTTAAACCTCTCCACTTCTCCATTCGAATTATATTTGATGCGATACACCCATTTACTTTCAATGGGGGTCTTATTAGAATGAAAGGGTACCAATGCCAGGTATTATTAGATTCCAAAGCTAAAATCTCCTCATTCATGGCTTTAATCAATTCAGGATTTTGAATGGCTTCAGTATAGGTCTTAGGCTCAACTAAATGAGATATAGAAGAAAGGTAAATTTGAGTATTAGCAGGAAGATGAGAATAAGAAAGAAAATTAGAGATTGGATACGTACTTGGAAGAGAGGAAGATTAGTAGGTTTGCACATAATCATGTAACCAAGCAGGCTGTTTTTTGACCCTAATAGACTGCCTAGGGGGGATAAAAATGCCACTTGATGAAGAGCCATCAGAAATAATTGGCTGAGGTGAAGGTTGAGGTAAAATGGAATCATCCGTTAAAGCTTGAGGTGATGCAGAATGAGGTGAAGACCCAGAAGGTATAAAAGATTGGGTGTGAGGGGGCATGACTAGAAAATCAGAATCAGAAATTTCTTGAATAGGAAAAAATAGAGAAGAAGAAGAAATGGGAAATTGGAAAGGAAAAATATCCTCGTGGAACTTAACATCTCTATTAACAAAAAAGGTTTTTTTCAAGATTGAAGAGGAGGTAGCCTTTTTGAGTGGCAGAATAACCGATGAAGATAGAAGGTATTGCTTTTGGGGAAAACTTATCCTTGTAATTTGGTTGGCATAACATAAACAACCAAAAACTCTCTTATGAAACAAATTGGGGGATTTACCATAAAGAAGTTCAAAGGGGCTTTTACCAGCTAAAGAAGAAGAAGGCAACATGTTAATGATATAACAGGCTGTGGTGACACATTCCCCCCAAAACTTAACATGAACTTGAGAATGAAATTTGAGGGCTCTAGCTACCTCTAACAAATGTTTGTGTTTTCTTTCAGCAATGCCATTTTGCTGAGGAGTATGAACACAAGAACTTTAATGAACAATACCCAATGAAGAAAAAAAAGAAGAACACTCATTAGCAAAAAACTCATAACCATTGTCACTTCTAATGTACTTGACTGTGACTGAAAAATGATTTTTTACATAGGCAAAGAATTGTTTTAAAGAGAGGATTGCATCACTCTTAAGCCTCAACAAAAAAATGCAAGACATCCTTGTGTGGTCATCAACAATGGTGAGAAAAGATCTATAACCACTATGAGTGGAAATCTTATAGGGTCCCCATAGGTCAATATGTACCAAATCAAAAGGTGTAGAAGCTCTAGAAACACTGTGTGGAAAAGGTAACCTAGATTGTTTAGCAAGAGGACAAATTGAGCATTTATGGATATTGTCAGCATGAAACTTATGAGATTGTAAATATGAAATTTTATGTAAACTAGAGAAAGAAGAGTGTCCTAAATGAGCATGCCAAAGCTTTGTATTATTGACAGTTGAAAGATTCATACAATTTGAAGAACCCAAGGCAGAACCACAAGAAAAAGAATTACAATGATTAATAGAAAAAATACCAGAATCAAAAGTTGAAGAATCAAAAAATACAACCCACGAGACTCCCTACCAATCCCTTTCATCTTTCCAGTGGAGAGATCCTGTAAAATGCAGAAGTTAGGGTAAAATGAAACAATACAATTAAGTTTTTTGGTTAGCTTAGAAACAGACAAAAGGTTATGTGCAAAATTTGGAATAAACATGACATTCTTAAGGGAATTATTCTGGTCAAGAGAAAAAGAACTTGTATATGTTATGGGGGCTGTTTGGCCATTAGGTAAGTATACAAATCTAGAGGATGATGTGCAAGGAACAGGAGATACTAGCTTTTGAAAATCTGATAACATATGGTCAGTGGCTCCTGAGTCTAATATCCAATTGAAAAAAAGACTAGTAGTGGCAGATTTAATACCTGCAGTATTTGCTGCAGCAATTAGCATTGTATCCTCATAAGGTGCCTTGTTCAAGAGGAAAAGTATTTGATCATATTGAGCCTTTGGAAATTCAGGAACACTGGAGACAGTATTCGGCTGTGACTCAGAACTGGACTGGTTGTGAGAACCAAGAGGAGGCCGAGTAGAGGCCAGAGCAACCTGGCCTCCTTTCTTCTTTGAGAATTTAAAATCGACAGGAAATCCAATCTACCGGTAGTAATTCTCTCGTTTATGCCCTCGAACTTTACAATAGTCACACACACCAGAAAACTTTTTTTTATCAACAATCCCAATAGAGGTAGAATACAAAGTCGAGACCTCAGAAATTGAAGAAAGGGCAGAAGTGTAAATCCTCTGTGATTCCTCCTGGACCAGCATCGAATACGCCATATTGACAGTTGGCAATGGCTGCATGAGTAGAATTTGGCTCCACACAGCAGTGTATGTCTCGTTGAGACCCATGAGAAATTGAAATAATTTCTGCTATGCATAGTGAGCAATCGTTCGTTGTGAAAGAGCACAATCACAAGGGGAAATGGGAGCCAAGGATTCATACTCATCCCAAAGTGATTTCAATCGAGTGAAATAGACTGGAGGAATCACCTTGATTCAGGAGCGCAATTTCTCGGTGAAGGAAAAAGGATCTGGAACCATCAACTTTGGAAAACCTTTCCCTCAAATCCTGCCAAACCGAGGCAGCACTGGATTCGAAAACAATCCCAGCGGAGAGCTCTTTGCTAACTGTGTTAAGAATCCAAGACAGGACGAGAGCGTTACACCTCTCCCATTGAGGACGTAGAGACACCGAAATCTTCTCGTCTGCAGTCACCAGTAACAAATCCCAATTTATTCTTCGCAAGTAGGGCAATCTTCATCGACCGACTCCACACACCGTAGTTCTCGATGCCGAGAAGCTGATGCGAAACAAGAAGGAATCCCGGTGCATCGGAAGCATGCACGAACAGCGGGTGGTTGAAATCAAAGGCAAAATTCTCCATGGCTACGGAGGAGAGAAAAGGAGAAGAGAAATCCCTAAATTTGACCAAACAAAGCAGAGCCAAGGGAAAAATTAGCTAACTCGTGATGCCATATTAAAAAATGTGTAATTACAGAAAACGTGCTCCAACTATTTTATTTATCATATAATAAAGTTTACAAGACTAAATCCTTTATATACAGCCCATCAGCGGTTACTAGCCTAACTAACAATCTAACTAATTAATAACAAACTAACTAACCAAATAACTGAAAACTAACATATACATGTCTGTTAAATGATCTGTGAACCTATGTACATACATACATACAAACATACTATATTATGTAGTCTTACACTCCTTGAATATATCAAACAAGGATTCTCATGTGCTTGTTCCATTACATGTATGTGGTGGAAGATTTTAATCCTTGGGCTCGCTGCTACGTACAAATGCAGGTCGTATTTTCGAGGGCCGGCAATTTTGGTACGCTCGGTGATCCGTACAGAGGTTTCCCGTCGGCGTATTCCTTCAACGATGATTGAACTCCTTGTCGAATATCGACCCGAAAAGCAGGATAAAGCCGCGGCTGCATCTGTTTAGAATAACCCTCTCTACTGTAGTCCCTACTGTTGTTTAGTCGTATGTAGCAAGAATAAGCAAAGACAAATGCATCTTCATGATGTCTGTATCTGGTAGACTAGTTGGATATTATGTCCAGTGTTTTCATGGAATGTAAGAATTGTTTTTAGGTTTATTTTACAGCAACGTAATATTAGTATTATAATGTTCTGTTAGTAAAATATAAAATTATCTGGTAAAAAATTTTACTATATAAAATTTTAATACTAAAATTAAAAATAATAACATAAAAATTAATAAAATTATTTTCATTACATTACATACATTTTACAAAAGAAGTATATTTAACATTACTTAATATAACTAAAATATTAAATAATTCTTAAATAAATAAACTTTACATTTATATATCTTCATCATTCTTTAAAATATTTTTTAAATAACGTTTAATATATGTATAGCAATTTATGATTTCCCTCTTCAAACCAATTGAAAAAAAATTCTGTCTCATTTTTTGACCAGGTAAGATAAAGATGAATCCAATTAAAACATAAATAAATTATGCATTTAGAATCTAAACTATTAGTTATAGTCTTTTAATTCGGTCGGTTAATTCGATTAATTAATTCGGTTTTTAAATATTATTAAAGCTATTAATATATAAATAATATATTAAAAATTTAAAAATTCCGACTTATTCAATTAATTATTAGATTTCAAACCAAATTAACTGGTAACTGAACTTTAAAAAATCGTTAACTGTTAACCCATCGATTAACCGAACATTTGAACACCCCCATTACCTTTTCTTTTTGACGTTTCCCAATCTTTTATTTGTAATTTCAAATAAAAGCAGGACCATGAAGGTCATAGTTAAAGTTTTATATTTGATTCATTGATAAAGTAAAATGTTATGTTTTGTCAATAAATTTAATAACTTCATATCATTAAAAAAATAAAAATTTATATAATCTTTTTGAATAATTTGGGATGATTACAAGTTCAATGACGGATTTAGAAATATTTTTCACGGTGGGCACACATATATTAATAATATAAATTTTTTAAATGGAGTGGGTACAAATAAAAATTCAGGATGAACATTGTCCGTAAAATAAATAACTAAGTGAATAAAACTCAGATTTCAGGGTGGGCACCAAAAGTTCAGGGCGAACATCATCAATAAAATAAATAACTAATAGAATAAAATTCGGACTCACCAAGCTGTGACTCCGCCACTGTACAATTTAATATTTGTTTCTATTACTTTTTAGTTACTAATAACGTACACATATTATGCAGACATAACTGCTTAAATTCAAAATGTCGAATAACATTTCCTCTAACCATCAAAGTCTATAACTTGATTTAAATGAATTAACCACCAAACTAAGCATCAATGATGATGCAAAATAACTCTTAAGGGACAAAGTAAAATCTTGGTGTAATTACAAAAATATTACACTCTCAATGGAGTCAAAATCAAGACAATAATCTAGGTGGGTAAACTATTTAGTTTAATAGAGTAGCTCAAGACTTATTTTAGGAACTACTATATTAATTATAGTGGAGGACGAAGTTATCACGATACGTGATGAATTCTAAAAAATATTTTTAATTAAAATTCGTCAAGTGAGAGTGACGAGTTCTGATAAAATATAATTTTTATTAGAATTTATCACGATGAGTGACAAGTTCCAATAAGAAAAATATATTTTATCGAAACTCGCCACTCTCATATGACGAATTGTCGTAGATTATTAATTGATTTGAGTTACCTTATATGTCCAAATAATTATTCCGTTTGGATTATTGTGTCTATTTTGCCCTAGTCTATATATATATATACATATATATTTGTGTCCTTACTTAATGCCATGTTTGGGTGTATGAGTAGTGTGAATTGCTTTAAGCCTTTTAAGGAAAACCCATCATACCATTCCTCCCCCTGACAATGTCGGGAACATGCAAACAATCAGATTTTGGGAAAAAGCATCCAAACATCCCTCCAAAGCTCACAAACCCTACTTCCGTACAACTTCCATCCATATATTATTTTTTGTTTATAGTAGGGATGGGCACGAGTCGGGTTGGTCGAAACCCGATCCGACCCAAAAAATCTATACTCTTCATCTGATTCGAATCTGATATGATTTTTTAAAGATAAAATTCGAACTCGACCCGACCCGACCCGACCTGAAATAATAAAAATAGGGATTTATTTGAAAAAAATAATATATAGAGGGGTGTTCTTGTAATTATCCCTAAATATATAAGATAAAATTATATTTTTCCCGGGTCGGGTCAGGTATTTTGACCCTAAACACGAACCTAACTCGACCCGAACTTTACTTTTTTTAAAAACCTTGACCAAATCGGGTCTCAACTTGTCGGGTTTGGGCCTTATGCCCATCCCTAGTTTATACAGTGTAAAACTTTCGAGTCGATTTTAGATTTCCGGATAAATATAAACGGAGGATCGAGATTAATTACAGGAAAAAAGAAGCATTAAATTCAGTTAATCCAAGAATCAAAAAAAATTATAAAACGTAAGGTTTCAAACCGTGTAAATGAATCCTAACTCTTAAAATATCGTTTGAAATACACGAGACCTCGAATTCTCGATATTATAACGAGTATACCGACACTAGTTATTTCAATTTGTACGTGATATTATCATGTAACTTATCCTTCCATTTACACATTTTCATCACTTTTGTACTTACTATCCCGAGGGGTACCAAAAGCTTGCAAGTTACTGTCCCAGGGAAATCTTTCTTTGGTTTTTTTCTAAGATATTATGTGGAAGAGAAATCATTGTGATTCATATCCAAAACCCTAGAGGAGCTGACGTTTCAGTTCTCATTATGGCTTGTTTTCACCAACAATGTTGCATGCATTGAGTAAGTTTCATCATTCAAGAAATAATGGCCATATGCTCCACTTAATTGAATTTGAAATCCTTACACACCATGTTGTCCCATTGATCTTCACTTACATCGAAACGAGTTATTTATTACCTACAGAGTATTAGGTTTGATAGGCATCATGGGCGGAACCGAGATTAAAATATTGGAAGAGAGCAAAATGTCGAACTTTGTAAAATATAGGTCCATTAACTACTCAATCTTAAATTTTAGAAGGATAGTGTCTAATTTGAGAAATGTTTAATCTCGGAAGGACTTAAAGTGTCATTAGACGAAAAATCTTGGGATGGACTAAAGCCCCTCCCTTGTCTATTTATGAGAATTAACTGATTGATGATCAATTTTGATCCACATAAATCTCCTAAGAAAAATAATTAAAATAATTAAAATTATGAGAGTATTTTCAGATATCTTCTACATAAATTTGTGGGTTGAGAATAGGGATGGATATTTGATTTAAATTCGATGAGTTTTGATTAGATATGATTTTGTAGGATTATTTTTTAAAATTCGGGTTCAAATTAGATATGATCAGGTTTTGTAAAGGGTGATATCAAACTATATTAAGATTTAGGGTTGAAAATATCAGTATAATTTTCTTATGTATATATAGGGACAATTGTTATAATATTTGTCTCTCTATAATTTTTAAATTAAATTAATATTTTATCGAATCAAATTGGATGTATGTTTACCTCATAATTCAAGAAAAGTTTCGGACCGAATGAGACTTCTTTAAATTTAAATTAAATTTAAATAAAAATATATTTTTCGAATCGAATCGAGTAAGTTAAAATCCATGTATGTTTGAAATTGGGATAATGGGTGGTGACATAGTAGGGTGCACTCATGTGGTGTTGGAACTTGATTCCAATAATAATAATATCTGCAAATAATGCAGAGTATAAGTGAATGTATGGAAAATGACTTGCTCAAAAAGTTGCAGCAAGTCAAAATTTCCCTATTTTACTCTCCTCCAATTTAATTTTACATGCATTCGTAATATTAATATAATTTATTTTTTTAAGAAAAAAAACCCATCCTTACATCTCACGTAACTAATGGTTAAGTAAAAAACTCATCTTTGTGTATGCAAAAAATCTCCGCTAGGAGACTCATCCACTAAAGTCAGGTGTGTGACTTGGGTCGGTCCGGATTAATCAAACCGAAGCATTAGGAACCGGGAGAGTAACAAAAAAAAAAGATATTAATATATAATTCAACAATTTACACCTACATAAGTTGATCATATTATCTTTAGATGTAAGTACTAAGTAGGTCAAGTACTCTAAAAGATGACATCTTGAACTGTTTACTTTCTAAAATTTGATTAATCCAACTGCTTTTGTTGTTAAGTACACAGTTTACCTAACAAGTGAAGCATGACACCAAGTGAGAAAAAAAAAAAGATGATGGCAATGTGCATACGAAATCGAAATAAACAACATATTTTCGAACCGTAGTCTCGGAATAAGGGAAAGAGTTTCGATATTTTCGGATACCGAAATCCGAACGCCTTTCATCGGTGACTGCATTAACCAATTAATTAAAACCCTAGGTTGAAAGAAAGATGCTTCTCTCTTAGCTAAAAGAAATGCAACATTAAGAAAATCAAAAGCATAACATATATAATATGCAGCACCATTTGCAGGTTGATGATGATCGAGTCGAATGCTTAGAGAATGATGTGTTAATGAACATACGAAACTGGAAAGAACCCGTCGATCGAATTAGGGCTATGAGTACCCCAATCTAAGTTCCAAGTCCAAATCTTCCTTGGAATCACTAACCAGACCAATCTCCAAGTCCAAAGTTGCATACTGATGATGATCACTCTTCTTCTCCATCAACTTGCCATAATCTTTAACTTCTTTGATCCCGAAAACCGATTTCGTGGCTCCCTTCACGACGTCAGTTGAACCCGAGGCCAAAGGGTCGATGAGGGTGCCGTTGACTCGCCATTTCGGAGGAGGGAATGAGGAGGAGGAGGAAGAAGTGGTAGTGAAATTAGGGTTAGGATTAGGGTTAAGGTTAAGGTTCAAAAAGGGGGGGTGGCCATGAAGGTCAGAAGGAGGAGATTGTTTTAACCTGGCCCTATCTCTCCTATGGACATTCATGTGACCACCCAGAGCTTGAGCCGACCTGAATTCTCTTTTGCAGAAGCTGCAAGTGTAAGATCTCGGCGGCCATGAAAACCCGGCGAGGAAATCGTCTCCTAGACCCGGATTATTACAGCTCCATGGCGACGAATCCTTAACCTTGTTGTAGCTTGTCTGGTTTTTGTTGTCTTCATTGCAGCCATTACCATGGTCTTTCAAGCCGTTGCCAAAACTGTTCCTCTCCATGGATTTTCTTCTTCTGGTTTGAGTCAGACCTAGTAAACATCAAACAGACAACAACAAAAATCTAAGCTCATACACAATGTAAGAAAATCAAGAGAAATCAATGAACTGATACCTGAGAGAGGAGAGAGAGTTTGGGGTTTGAGAGAAGGAAAGAGGGGGCATGAAATTCAAAACCAGGAGGGTGAAAATGCCATTAACCACAAGCCATGTTACATGTTAGGTCACTGCTTACTATAACTAGAACCTCGTCCTCCCATGTTTTTGCCTGTTTTTTTCCATTTGAAGAAACTTAAAAAAGTAAAAAAACATTATTAAATTTTGTAGTTGAAATGATCATGTACTGGTTGGTGGTGAAGAATGAATTGGAGGAGATGAAATGAGTGTAGTTGAGAGAGAGTAATGGAACATGGCCAGGTGCTATTGGCCGTCGAAATCAGAGAGACAGGTCAGAGGCAAGAGAAATTTTTTGTTTTTTTGGTTTGGTTTCTAAAGGGTTCAACATTTTTTTCGGCATAGGAAGCTTTTTACGATTGATAGTCCTTTCCTAAGGGATAATTGAGAATCTCACACACCATGGATTTCAAACTTCGTTCATTCCACATTCACTCACAAACATACATCTTTGGTGTGTGTGTATATATATATATGGTTGGTGCAAGTGAAGTTATACTTTGTGTTCCGGGGTACTATTTTGGAATAATAAGTATTTTTATCTTAAGGGTAAACCTACAAAACGGTCCCTAACTATAAGGAGTTGCTTTGTTGAGTCATTCGACTATTAAAAGTTATAAAATGATCATTCTACTATTCATTAGGTTATAAACTCATACTTTTATGTTAAAAAATTAACGGTCATCTGAGCTGAACGTTAACATGTTGACTGAGATATGATAGTCGCTAGAGATTATGAGATCGAATTTTATCATATCTCATTCAACATCACCATTATCAAGTCATTAAATCATCCTAAATTAAAAGAGATGAATAGTAATAGATTGACCGACCCACCACCACCATTATCAAGTCATTAAGAGGGCGTTTGGTTCAGGGTATCTCACATTACCGTGGAAATGGAATGTTATTCCCTCGTTTGGTTGGCAAACATTCCCAACCCCCGGTAATAAGTTATTCCCAACAGTGATATTTTGGGGGTATATTACCGGGAATGTGATTACCCTACTTCCCTTAGGTATTGTTACATTTCCAGCGTTTTGGACTAAAATGCCCTTAATTTTTTTTCTTTAAACATATCATTCTTCTATCGTTGAATAAAAAAAATTCTACGAAGGTTAAATTACAAATTTATCCTTAAACTATTTTAGATTTAAAAAAAAATAATTAGAATTTTATATGAAGTTCATGGGTTAAAATAAAATTTTACCCTTTCATTAAACCTATTTATCTTTTCAACTTTGTAAAAAAATTTATATAAATTTTATGAATTTAAATTTTTTAAAGAAAATATATAAATTAATTATAGTAGAATTCAACTTGTTAAAAAACAAATATATAATAAGGACAATTTGGTAAAATATACATTCCAATAATCTTTTATTCCTTTAACCAAACACTGTAATCTTACCTTCCTGCTAAACGAACCAAACATAAAATACAACATTCACAGTAATCTTATTCCCGCCTGTAATTTTATTCCTGCTTGTAATCTTACATTCCGTGAACCAAACACACCCTAAATCATCCTTAATTATTATCTTACTCCTTGGTCATCAAAATCAGGTAATTTGAATTTTAAAAGTTTTTTTCTAACTTTTTTTTCAATTGAATATTTTAAGTCATTTTAGTTTATTAGTTCGTATCATCATTTCTAATTCAGGTTATTTTTGTGTTTCAATAGTAAAAGAGAATGTTATTCTCTCTAGAGTACCCGTGTTTGAGTAAGTGAGTCTGCAAAGTGGTGTTCGTTTAGAGGCGAAACTATTAAGGGCATGAGAAGGGTTGTGATCCCCTCAAACCGACAGATTTTTTAATATTTAATTTATATATAAAATTTAAGTACTTACAAGATAATTATGAAATTGTCCCCCTAATTTTATAAAAATTATACTTTACCCTCCTCAAGTTGAAATTCAGGCTCCGTCCCTATGTGCGTTATCAATAGATTAAAAAAATTCTAAACAAAAATTTCATTGTAATCATCACTATTAAAAAAAATCCATCTCCAAGGACCAAATTGAAAAAAAAATATGAAATTCAAAGAATAAAAAGTTGGCTTGGTTCCTTTATAAAAACATTCATCCCTCCTTCCACTCCGATGTTGAAATCATAGACAAAGGCTAGGTACTAGTGAAGAAAAAGGCACTAGTTATAGCTGCATATAATGGGCAGCCCAACACACATGCAAAGATTAATGGCTGCACAAATTGCACCATTAAAAAGCTTTGATTTACAGAAAGCAAAGCTCCCATGATTCCATTTCCTCATTGAAATGCAGGTTTGATCAGAGAAAGAGTTTAGACAAAAGATACAGACCCCATTTAGCCCCCAAGATTTAGTGAAAAACTAGCAGCCAATCAGCTGCCTTTGCCGCATTTAGCCTTGGTTTTCATTAGGTTCTACAATCGATACCGCAGTGTTTACCCGCCGTGTATGCCACCTTACCCCTTGCTTTAAGATTTGAGGTTGATTTAACCCTATTTCTGGGTCAAATTATGGTTTTGGGTCCCTCAACTATGCTCGAAATTGGGGTTTAACCCTATCGGTTGGTCACGCTTTGTAACGGATGAATCATGTCGTTAGAGTTTATGATTTGAATTTCGTTTTGAACTCACATTCTTTGCTTATACCCATGGTTTTTCCTTTTTAGAGTTTTTTAATGTAAATTTATCGTAACACCTACAATAGTTATTATAATATGTATTATATTCTTGTATTTGTAACATTTTGCATTGAAGTTAAGTATTTAAATAAGTGTGTGTTTTTTTTTAAAAAAAGTCTAATTCTCTCGATGAAAAAACCCTAGTTTTGTGTTGTTCATCTCTTTTATTTTCCGTCTTTGTTGATCGGTGATGTTGGTTGCCTACGAGTTATTAAACGTTTTCATATGCCTTTATGACACGTTTTCTTGTTCTTTTTGACATGTTTTTCCGGTTGTTTGGTCGTTTTTCGTTTATCTTTTTTCTAAGTGTTGATTTGACATCGCCACGACTAATCAAGATGACGCTTATTTGATATCTTGTTGATCTTCCCTGCTTTGGACTATCGGATTAGTTTTGGATAATCGATTTGCATTCGTGGATAGCTATTCATGTCGGTCGAGTCTGATTTACGGTTTGCTGGTGGTTTTTCGATAGCTCGATCCCCTTTTGTGGTTCGTTTGCCGATGCGACTAAATCTGTTTGTATCTATCATTGTTCGAGTTTATTGGTTAGATTTTTAATCTTTCGTTGTATCGTCCTTGTACGGTCTTAAGTTGCTAGTTTTTGTGTCAATGTTTATAGGAAATTTTCCTAATTATGTGCTTAGTTTACGATATCGTGACTGTAAATCTTTATTGTGTTTTGAAATATTTTCTATTTTGAATAAAATTAGTTTTTCTATATAAAGAAGGTTAAGTATTTAAATATAGTACAGTGAAAAAAATGCAAAATTTGGACATGATAGAGGGACCAAACCAGCAATTTGACCATTTCAAAATCTCAGTTTCTTTGTTTACATAGGATGAAAAAGAAGAGTGGTGAAAGTAATTTGTTGAATGTGTGGAATTGGGTGATGGGAAATCAAAAAGGGTTTTACCATTTGGTTAGGCATTTCGCCAACGTCTCATCATTTGTCTCTGAGTCTTCTATTATTTTCTGCTTCTCACCTTAAAACAAGTGCATGGGAGGTATCAACAGTAAAGCCGACTCTCATATGCCCTAACATTAGATTTTAAATTAATTATTAGGGTAAATTACGTGTTTGGTATCTAAACTTTTAATTTTTTTAAAATTATACTTAAAGTTTAATTTTTGTTTTATTTTATTATATGCAGTTGAAAAGTTTAATTTTTGTTTCATTTTAGTACATTGTTTAAAATTTCACGTTAAGTTTTTTTAAAATGAAAGTTTAACTACCAAAACTGATAACTTATGTACTAAATGCGTTAACGACGGGGTATTAAAATGAAATGAAAATTAAACGATATGTAAGGTTTTGAAAACAAAAATGAAAGTTTAAATATTAAAACAGACTAAAACTTATAGTTTATGTAATAAATGCATAGTTTACCCTAGCTACTATTATGTATAATTAAATTAATGATTAAATATATATTTAAATTTGAAACCTCGAAAGAGACCACACAATTTACAAGCAATAAATCTCCAACATAATTTATAAATAGATTACGAACGATTCTAGTTAGGTAAATTTCACGTTTTGTAACTAAACTAGTAGTTTTGATATGTTTTAGTGTTTAAATTTTTAATTTTTTCAAAACCATACTTAAAGTTTAGTTTTTGTTTCACTTTAGTACATTTGTTCAAAAGTTAATGTTAGGTTTTGAAAAAAAAATGAAAGTTTAGGTACTAAAATGGACCAAAATTGATAGTTTAGTTACTAAGCACATTAAGTTTTTATGGTGGGGGTACTAAAAGAAACAAAAACTAAACATTATGTATGATTTTGAAAAAAATGAAAGTTTAGATACTAAATGCGTAGTTTACCCTTCTAATTATTGTGCAATTTCTCTAATTTCATGATTAAGAAAAAGGTCGACAAAAACTCATTAATTAATTTATTGCGTAATTAAATCTTAATTAGTTTTGCGAAAAAACTGGTTCTATTATTACAATAGAAACAAGAAGATTGTCATAATTGACTTCTCATTCATAGTCTTTATACAGTGAGGGACGATGGTTTTTTTATCAAATTAAAAAAAACTAATTAAAATATATATAAATTAATAAGCATTGGTTTAAAGATAATTTATTACAATTATATTGTATTAATAAACATTTCGTCCAAGTCCATTCATGTTCTGTTCAATAACGACAAACCACCATGGATAGAGCTTGAAATTACTTTGAAAATCATCGTCAGAATTACCATACACATCAAAATCCACTAAAAAATACACATAATCTCTATGAAACAATGAGAATCGATGAATTTTGAATGTGAGAAAAGTTGCTTAGGAAAATTCAATAACCAGATCCAACTATAATGTTACCCATGTAGAAAAAACTCTCACCGTCGGCCGATTCTCTGCCCGGCTCCAAATAACAATGCCTTCCCGATTACACCTGAGCGGAGTCCGAAAGCCACTACCACGGTTCCGGCTACGGCGATCAACTTCCAGTTAAGGCCGTTATCGTTCTTCCTCCTAATGACCGTGCTTTGGTTGCTTTCATCTTCCCTTGGAACAGGGCTGGGAGAGCTTGTGTTCTCAGCACAAGAAATTTGTGTGGTTATCCTAGCCATCAGTGCACATCTAGACACGGAAGTGTCGGTTTTTCTTGCATTCTGGTATACTCTCATGCCGGAGTGCAATTTCTTTACAGCTCCCCACATCCCGTGACGAACACCCAATTTCGCCACGTCTTTCGGGATTCCCATGTCTTCGTAATGTATGAAAGTAACTTCACATGCTGACGGCTGTCCGTCGCCTTTCCGACACTCTACTGCACATCACGAATTGAATAAAAAAAGGCCATCCCAATCACTAGCAACGTCGAGAATATTGTTTCAAGAATCAGAAGGTATAGAAACAGAGACTCACCAGGCCTGATAATCCAACTTGAAAAGTAAAGCTCCACTCGTCTTGGCTTGTCACGCTTCGGCAAACCGGGATATGGTACCCCCTGGAACATCATAGCATAAATGTTAATTCAAAAACCGCATGAGATATAATAATGTACTTCTTTGCACTATTCAGACAAAACACACACACGTGATAGCATCAGGTCCTGATGGCAACTCCATTGGGAGAATAGTTTATTAAAAGTTAACAAATTCAACTAAACAAAAGAATATTTTAGCATGTACCTTTGTCACACAATAGAACGTCTTTCCGGCCTGCCATATTCTTCGACCGATTATGTAATCTCGATCACTGCAGAAAAACGGGAACTACAAAAATATGAACCAAGTTAAAATATGTTAGACCATATACAATATTGAATTCTGAAACTAAGCAAACAAAATTATATCAAACCATGCAGTTCATCTACCTTTCTTATCCAGTGAACAATCATGGATCCTGTACGAGGGCGCTCATCCAATATTTTAAAGTATGAAAGCATCGTGTCCCACTTTGGTCGAAAATCATCATCCCAGAAGAAATCCCTAACCATCTCTGGAGTGGCATCCTCAAAGACAGTTCTACTACGGTAAACTGCAGGGCCACTCTGGTAAACAAAATCATCATTAGGAAGAAATAAATGTTTCGGCTTACAAGACCATCAGGTATCATACAGTCCATCCAACACAAACAAGGACACAAAGAAACTTTTAAGTATCATGCAAGTTATAAGGCATTTTGCACTGTTGGATCTCATGACATGTGAAAATTTGATGAAAACAATACCTTATATTAAATCATGGTTCAAATGCTACTTTGACTAACAAATGTGATGCTCATAAGATCTCAGAGTCATGCAGTACATAATACCAGAAAGCACAAATTTCTGTGAGAAAGCTGGAAACTACCACCATTTAAGGAAAGCAAATTGTAGTAGACATCTAAAATTTCACCCGAACTCTCTCTCTTAAAGAGAGAAGAAATCAGAATATTTTCCACCCCAAAGCTATAATGTTCTAGAAGGAAATTTTGATTTAACAGAACAAGACAAGGTTTCATGGGCACATTTTATGATGATGGAAGAACATTAATATATCAGAAACCTACTTCAGGCTCTTGGCGCCAAGCTTGGTATGACATATTCGAAGTAGTCCTTTCCATCATTCTTTGCCATTCCATCTCCCCATCCTTCCCTTCTAGTAAATGCAAGAGGTGTGTTAAGTCATTCTCAGTGACAATATCCCGTTCTCTTTCTTCAGCTTCACTACCAAGGCTATAAAGAAATAGGTATTAGTCATGAATAAACTCTTGCATGAAACATCATTAATTGTGCCAATAGTAACGTAAGAATATCTCACTTACTGCAGAAATTAATATGCTTCGAACAGTGATTTCAAAACAGTAACCAAATAAAGCGCAAATGCAGTTGTATGGACAAATTTAGAGCCAAAATATGATTTATACTAACAAATTCAGGAACAAGCAAAAATAATCGGGGTATAAGAATCCATTAAATACACCTCACCTTGACTCGGCAGATAAGGATATGAGATACAGAAAGTGAGAAAGCTAGAATGGCAATTCGATTAGATAATACCCAAACACACATGCACTAGCAACAACATGCAAGGAGAAAAGCTTCTTAAGCGTATGACCAAAACATGCTAGTAAATTTATATCAAATCACTCATTTCTTGCGTCCACAAATCTTTAGGGCATTTTCTTTTCAGCAAAGAAGCTCATACTGGCATGACAACCTAACAAGCTGAACGGTTAAATTTCAGGTATTAAAAGCTGACCAATAGAAAAATACAGAGAAATATGGCCAGCATCAAATATCACTACAGATTTACTAAATGTGTATGTAGTGGTCCAAATCTCTAGTTCTAAAACACTGGCTGAGCTGATAGTTTTTTAATGGACCTATGAGTACCCAAGACTTCTACGCCTGAGCCTCCTACGTCAAAATCATGACATGTTTTCCACCGTTGTCCAAATTCTTTTGATCTGAACCAAAAACTCTATTGAATATCACGGCTTCCTACGCCAATTCCACGAATTATTTCAAGAGGAGTGTTTTGAACCATATATATGCATTTTTCCCAACTATTTCCTCACAAGTTCCTGTCGCTCTTATACCTATACCTAAGGATGATGCTAAAGTGACGTAAGCATGAAAAATCTATATGACCATATTTAAGCTCTCTCTATTCTCAACACATACCAGTCATAATGAATTTCATGCAACAGCCTTTAACTGATGCCAACAACGACACCCAGTACTACATATTTACAGACAATGGATAGAACTCTCACAAAACATCCCAAAAACTTGGAAGAGCTAATCCATTTAGAATTCTATATATTAGTATCTGGAACCGTTATAATAAGCTCCAAGGGGAAACAAGTTCCTTTAACAAATAAAGAACCATAAGTCCAAGGAAAGTTACTATTAAAATACTGCAGTCCAACTATTCTGACTCGTAACCATCCAGAAAATGTACAAATTCTTCAATTACAGAACTCGCAAGCCATGCTAATTACAAAAGCTGATCAAATGCCTTCGAGTAACTATTCCTTAAAACTGGCTCCCGTCCAATGTATAACTAGATCAAATTTAAGTTCAATTATAAAGTCTAATTCATGTTTACCTTGATACAAATCATACGGAATAAAAAAAAACATAGCAACCGTCGAATACTCCGACTCATCCAACGAAAGATGAGTATTTTTCTGGCATATAAATAAGGAGAATAAAAACTTAAAATGTATAACGCTAACCTAACAGCTTCGGCAGCGCTTTCCCTCGAAATCAACACCGTAGGCGGCGGCGGCGATGGCAATGGAACCGCGGAATCTGAAGCAGAAGCTGCCGTCTTATTGGATCTCCCTTTCATAACGTTAAAGAAAATCCTCCGAAATACGGAGAATGCCGAGAGAGCGGTGAAGGCGAACCAGAGTCGGCGAGCTCCGAACCCGGGAGGAGCTGTCCAGATGAACCGGAACTTCGAGCGTAGGCCAAGGAAAACCAAGACGGTCCACCTGGGACGCCAAGACCAGCCGATCGCGAGCACGATCGTTACCGCTAGCCATATAGGCACGGCGCATAAAAAAATGTCGACGAATATTTCAGCTACCGAATGTTTCTTCAAAAACTCCATTGGATCGAAGAATATCTCATCCATTTTTTTTACATAAAAAAGAGAAAACAAAGATCTTAATGGATTTGTTTTAATCGGCGATTTATCGAACTCCGATCAGCCTCCAAGGGGAGATACAGGGAAGAACATTCCTTCCGGGAAAAGAAGAAGAGAAACTAGAAACAATTTTTGTATAAATAATACTCCCTCCGTTTGACTTTTTTTTATTAAATTTTACTGATAGAAATTTAAGAAAAATATATTTTTAAAACTTTAATTATTTAAAATAAGGGTAAATTATACTAATTATTATTGAACTTTAGTCTCTCTTCTATTTCACCTACTGTATTTTAAACTCGTTTGATTTTCTAATTGAACTTAACATAATTAGTATTTTTTGTCACTCAGTTGTTTTCTCACTAAACGACATTATAAATAAGTTGTTATTTAAATGCAAAACAACATCATTTTGGTGGAAATTATGCTTTTTCTAAAAGGACATTATTTTTGACGCCGTTAAACATTTAACGGCTGTGTGACCGAAAATACTAACTATATTAAATTATGTGAAAAAATTGAATGAATTTAAAATATAATAAATAAAATAAAATAAAAGAGAGAGTTAAGTGGTGATTAGTGTAATTTACCCTTATTTTGAGCGGGCTTGGCGGTTGATTGGGCCAACGTGTAGCGGTGACGTGGCGGTAGGAAGGCAGTTGATGTGTTTGGTAAACGCGAGTTATGGAGCGTTGCGGGAAGTGGTTAAGGTGAGTTTTGTTGAGCGTGACTGTACGCGCGATTTTGAGAGTGAGATTCGATGGGATGCGGTGGCTCGGGATCGAATATATTATTCTGTAGTTCATATCCTTATCCACCTCTTTTTCAACACTGCTAATGTAAATTCCTTTTGATTTACTGATAGGTAAAACGGCAAAAAACAGTTTGGTGTTAATTAGGATATGAATTTGAATTATGTGAATGAAATAAAAATGGTTTCAAAAGTTTATTTTTATTTGAAATTTCAAAGTTTAAAATGATTTGATTTTAAATTTAATTAGGTTTAATGTAATTATTAAAACAAAAAATTAGATTACGTCAAGCCTATAATAAAATGAATTCAGGTTGGATTTTCGTAATAAGAAATTCTATGAAAGTTGACTACAGTTTGATAATTTGATGTCATTTGGTTCAAAAAAGAAATACACGGCATCTGCACACATACATACATACATATATCAAACACGTCATCAACACAAATGTAAATAATATGGGTTGCTTTTTTAATAAATCCGAATTTAATCCGACCCAAAATTCGAATTTTGTCTAATCTTATTAGAGCTAACACATACGAGGTTTTTGTCGTCCCTAGCAAAAACAAAACCATGAGACAAGTTAAATCGAGCTGTATTCGTGCTTCATACAGAACGTGTCAACAACTTGTTGACATAACACAGCCTTTTATGACAACAGATATTAGTCCATGTAATGCATAAATAGTTCACACGTCAAGCTCAGTTTCTTATGGTAAGCAAACATGTACAAATACATGGAATGCTGCTTTGGTAAAGTCATTGAGATAGGAAATTATGGGAGTGAATGGAGAGTACGAACGTCCGATAAAACCGAAGCCGGTCGGAAGACGAGAGCCTATTCTAAGCTCAGTAGTTCGCCGACCAGTTTGCAGCGCTGTCGACTTTCTTCATTCCGGTTGATTTCTTCTTCGTCTCTTTATCCACACAGAATGTAGCACCGCAGGCTTGTCCTGAACTGTCCACTCTCCGCACTGCCTTCAACTCGTTCTGGGGATACTCGAAGCTACGTAACCCTCCAGAGGATGTGAAGAAGCACCCTGAAAAAAAACAAAGAAACAAACCTGCAGATCATCAGCGACATAAGTGCCAATGCTGGTAATTTGGAAATCCATCATAGTCAGAACCATCTTAGTCCTAGTATCCAGTTCAAATCTTCGCCCGAAATCAATTTCCTCGACTCTTTTCCACCGCCTTGCCGGACAAGATTAGTTAAAAGTGAACGCGAACAGAGCCTAAGCTTGTAATATATGAGTTTTACCTTGTAATCGACGATGGATTAGGGGATGATCCCTTGTAAGTTTTACCTTTCGGGAATGGAGCAGAAGACCTCCCGCAGCCCTTGTTCACGATCTCCTCATCATCGGCGAAAACTGTATGGCCATCGGCATCGGTACCCCAGAAGAAAGGTACACTTCCATCAGCATCCTGCACGAGACAAAGGGTAGAGACTGCATCATACGGGATAGGAAACTCGACATCCATTGCGTTACACCCGACAAGATTAGGAATACTTACAGAAGCTATAAATGTAGATTTCAAAGAGCTATCATAGAGAACGAAAGCGAATTTCCCCTGTATATCTCTTACAACCTGATCCGCAGGGTAAGGACCTCTGTCTCTGAGGGTTCTATAGGCTTCGATGACGATAATCCCTTCATCCGCTGTTTTATTCAAGCCGTATTGTTGCTTAAGAACAGCGATGTTTTCGATATGGCCTTGAAACACACAGAAGATTTCGTCCAGTACAGCAAAGAGTCTGAAAACATAAAATGAAAGAGAGAACAAAACCAAAACTTTCTTGTCATGATAACGGCATAGGAAATGTTCATCATAAGTATGATCCGGCTTCATTGCAATAAACAAACAAATAACCGAGAACGGAGCGACGAAATCATTCAAAACACGAGCAAAACCGATCCGATCAACTCATTACAATGAACATAAACCAGACCATTGGTACATCATATGATTCAATGACACCCTGCTCATAGAGTTCACCAGTAGAATTCCATCAAGCTGCATATTGTTCTAAAAGAAAATCATCAATGAGCAGAGCAAAACAACCATTTATGTAAAGACTGAACCAGCAATCACAATTCTCAATCGACTAGTTAGAGCATCGTGCTAAAAAGGCAAACATATTCTCTTCTCCGGTAAGATTTATTGCAACCTAAAACTTTTTTTCCCCGAAACTTATGTATACATATTTTTTGTGTTTATAAAGATACAAAATTCTAAAGTTAGTTATTTATTTTACTCAATAATTTCATAATAAATTATATACTAATGGGATCACTAGTTTTACTGAATTAGACTGAATTCGTAACATACATACCAAATCGAACACCATTGGCGACAGGGAAAACTTCGATAAGTTTGAAGCAATAAAAATCTAATTTTATTTAAATTTAAGGTAAAGTACACAAAATGATTCCGACTATAGGGTTATGTTTTATTAAATCTCTGACTATTAAGAATTATAAAATGATCTTCCGACTATATAATATTACTTTATTGAGTCATCGACCCGACTATTCATTATATTCTAAGCTCGTCATTTTTCATTAAAAATAACAACAATTTCAGCTAAATGTTAATTTATTGTTTGAGATATCATGTTCGCTTAAGATTTTAGGATCATATTTTATCATATATTAGATAAATACTAACATCTAATTCAGCGTGTAGTTATTTTTTAACGGAAGAGATGAAATTGAAACGTAATGAATAGTTGACTGATTATTTTGTAAATTTTAATAATTAAGTGACTTAACAAAATAATATCATGTAATCGAAGGGTTTCAACCGATCGCACAGAAAAATTCTCAATAATCAGCACAAAAGAATCTCAAGTAATGTGAAAAATGATCGAAGAATCTAATTGTATAAAATCATTGACCAGCCGATGAAACAATAAGCAAAAACAGATCAGATCTGGATCGGCTCAATCAAAAGCCACCAAATGAAACACAGAAAAGGGATCCCAAAAATGAAATCCAGATCAAAACCAACATAATCGAACTTTTTCTTTTACCTGGGGAAAAGCGGGTTCTGTTTCTCACGAGAGTAAGCCATGAAACCAGAAGATCCGAGATTGATTGTGACTGAACCAGGATGAACAGAGGCAAAATGATTAGCTAAGAATCCATTTTTGAGAGCTGAAACTGCCTGAGGCTGATCCCCAACATTGAGCTCATCTGGGCTCTTAGCAACCGATTTGTCGAAAACTGCTAGCATCTTCTCTTTCTTCCCTTCACTTGCATAGATCCAAAGAAAAAGCGAAGACTTCTAAAAGGGTTTGTTTGATCTTTATTGATTGATCAATGGCGAACGAGAGAGATTGGTGGGTAATTATACGAGGGAAGGAGAAGCTAATTTGATTAAATTTTAGAGACTTCGAGCAAGTTGTTTTAGAGTTAATTTCATCATACGTCCTTTAATTATAACCTTATTCTAAATTGATCCAAAAACCTTTAAACATTTTAATTTCATCCCTAAACTATGACTATCATTCTAAATTAATCCTCAAACTTTTAAACATTTCATTTTTATCCCCAAACTATGATCTTCATTCTAAATCAGTCCTCAAACTTTTTAAACATTTCAATTTCTTCCCAAATTATATGTATATACTGATCACATCCCTTGTTAATAAAATCATTAGACCAAGTAATATTATTATATATTTTAAAAGATAAAATCTATATTAAACTATTCTTGCAACGAATTACATATTTGGATAGATTTAGGGATGAAATTGAAAGATTCAAAAGTTTGATGAATAATTTAGAATAAGATCTATGGTTTGATTATAAAATTAAAATATTTTAAAAAATAAGGATTAATTTAGAATGAAAGTCATGGTTTAATGATGAAATTTAAATGTTTAAAAAATTTAAGAACCAACTTGAAATGAGGGTCATAATTTAGAGATATATAATGTAATTAACTCGTTGTTTTAAGGTATATTATCATTTTCGGCATTGCCCCCCGGAGAGATTTGCATAAACAAACACAATGAAGGAATAAGGCATCGATTTTGTTTTATAAAAAATTGAAAAATTAACTATTGTTAATAAAAGTATATTATTTTTGTTAGGTTATTACAAGTACATTTTTTAATGTTTTAGTGTATAAGATATTGAATTGTTAATCTTTAAGGTGTTTTTTTTTCCGAAAAATCATCGGTTATCGGTATATTTATCGATCTAACACCGGTCAGATTATATTTCCCGATCTAACACACGTAGCAGTAAAGCGCGCCCCCTGCACCGCGCTATATGCTGATTTGGCGTCACGTGAGGTATAGCGTGCCCCCTGTACCGCGCTATACGCTGACATGGGTTACACGTGTGTATAGCGTATAGCGTATAGCGCGCCCCCTGATCCGCGCTATATGCCACGTAGGGGTATAGCGCGGATCAGGGGCCGCGCTATACGCCGTACCGGAATTATATTTAACGCGGTCCCTGGTCCGCGCTATATCTTTTATGAATAATTACATATAGCGCGGTGCAGGTACCGCGCCTTATATGGTTATAAATACTCTCATCCGCCGGTTAAGTTTCTCACATCTCATGGCATCTCTCCTCTCAACTTATAAATTAATACAACAATTCCGTCAACGAGTAATAATTCAGGCAATCTTCTCATATTTGATTTAGAAGTTCGTGCGTTTTTTCGTTATAAGATAATTTTGTTATAATTTTTTAATTATATTTATTGTTTATTATCATTATTTGAAAAAATATTATACTAATTATTTTCAATTAATTTTTATGCTTGTAAAATTGAAAAGCGGGAGCATACGTCGAAATAGTTTTGCGGTGCAGGTAATAATATAATATAATATTATTTAAATTATTTACGTTGATGTGTAAAAAAATTATTATGTTATATTTTCGTTCATATATAATTTATTTAATCAGGTTTGTTTCAGTTATTTTTTTTGCAGATATAATATTACCGTACTTTTAAACTCAAAGAATTGCACGACTTTCAGCTATTGTTTATTATGATGGTGAAATTTGAGAAGATGAAACCGGTGTTATTTTCGTATCAAATGGGCGTGTTAAAATATCATTCAAGAGAAACATAACTCTTGAGGAGCTGATAACGAAGATTTCGAGGAAGATTAATGTTGGAAGTAGTAGAAGAATATCGTCGTTGTAGTACAGATTTCCAACATCATTGTTGTCATTAACTTATACAGCGTTCGAACTTTCGAACAATGATGATGTTCAAATGATGGTTGAAGCTCAAAGTAATTATTCAGACGCCGCTATTGAGATGTATGCATATTTTGTTCAAGTGTGTGCTGTTCGGGGTCAATCATTAAGCTCCCACTATGGGCTGGCTTGACAGCCCGACTACAGTAATGTGTAATGATTTTAATGCCATAATGGGGAGACATTCATCTTCAACTCCTTACGATATGTACCGAGGTGGGTCCACGAACAATCCGTATGGCAACACCGCGTCCAGTTCAAGGGGAAGACATTCATCTGCAAATTTCTTTGACCTTAATATGGAGATGTCATCGACGCAACAATCTGTGCAGTTTCTATTTATGGCTTCAAGATCCAGGGGGAGGCATTCGACTGCGAGCTTTTTCGATCTCAATGTCGATATGCCTTCTAGTTCAAGGGGAAGACATGCAAGTAGTAGGTTCTTCAACCTAAATATGGAGCGCATGGAGGAACCATCATCTCCACCAGAAGAACCGCTTCGTGAGCCTGGTACGGATGGTGCTGAGACTGGACTATTCATTCACCTAGAATCACGACAATTCAACTCCGATGATGATGATGTAGATGAAGTTCCAGGAAATGTGACACAAACTGACCCTCCTGCACACATGTATGAAGCTGATTATGGTGCAATGTACGGGCCAGAATTTGCGGATATGCCTCATCTCGGTGACTATGGATATTACTCATCAATAAATAATGGTGAGTTATCTTTAGGCATGGAGTTTTCAAGCAAAGAAGAAGCAATGATGGCTATCAAAAATTACAATATCCGTAATTCTGTTCAGTCCAAAGTCAACCGATCGACGAACGAAAAATATGTATGTTATTGTGCCCGACGCGAAAACGAATGCAATTGGATGGTTCGCGTATCGAAAATGAAGAGGAAAAATAACATATGGGAACTAATATTATACAACGGTCCTCCCACATGTTGTGCTGGAGGGGTCAACCAAGATCATCTCAACTTGGACTCTGAAATGATATGCCAAGCCATCATGCCCATGGTAAAAGCATGCTCTCATATAGATGTTGCAGTGTTGATTTCAGCTATACAATCGCAGTATGGGTACACTGTCTCCTATAAAAAAGGTTGGTTGGCAAAACAAAATGCCATTGTCAAACTTCATGGCGAATGGGATGCATCTTACAATGAACTTCTAGGTTGGTTTAGGTTGGTGCAGACATTGAATCCTGGGACAATTGTAAGCTTCGAAACCTCCTGTGCATACCATAATGATCGAGTTCTTTGCGATCGAAGCCAATTCTATCGGGTTTTTTGGAGTTACCCACAGTGCGTTAATGCTGCCAAATACTGCAAGCCTGTGGTCCAGATCGACGGGACTTTCTTGTATGGAAAATACAAGCAAATTTTATTATTGGCAGTTGTCCAAGATGGCAATTGCAAGATTCTTCCAGTTGATTTTGCTCTTGTCGAAGGAGAAGATACAGATTCTTGGGCTTTTTTCCTCCGAAATTTACGTACACATGTTATCACGAGGGAAAACATCTGTGTCATTTCAGATCGCGGAGCTTGGATCAAAGCAGCAATGGAGTCTTTGGGTCCAACGTGGCAATCACCCTTTGTCCAACATAGGTATTGTCTCCGACACATTGCTGTGAACTATCATGGAAGGTATAAGAAGAATGATGAGCGTCAATTAATTGTGCGCATGGGTAAGTGAAAGCAAGTTAGTAAGTTATACATTTTTTTTATCATTTTAATTTTGCAAAGAAAGCAAGTTAGTAAGTTATACATTTTTTGATCAGGTTACGAACTACTTCCTCGAACATTTGAATAAATGCTTCAAGATTTACGGGCGAAGAATGAGGAAGGATACGATTACATCAGCCTCATCGATAAAGAAATGTGAACGAACGCATATGATGGTAGATATCGATATGGACACATGACGACCAACTTGGCTGAGGCAATCAATTCAACCTTAAAGGGTGCACGTCACTTACCTGTAGCGGCTTTGGTAAAAACTACATATTTTCGTTTGGGGCATTTTTTGCGAATCTCGGGGGACAAGCTCAAACCTGGATGCAAGGCGGTCATGTCTATCACTCTAGATTAGTTGCAGATCTACAGAAAAAAATTGTTGCATCAAATGGAATGTCTGTAACAAGCTTCTCTAGAAGGCATGAAATGTTTCGTGTCACAGAGTTACCGCGACCTCTTCAAGGGATTGAAGCTGTGTCGTTAAGAATAAATCTAAGGGACAGAACGTTCGATTGCAGGTTTTTTCAAGCTCTGAAGTTTCCATGCTCTCATGTGATAGCAGCTTGCTCGCACACACGTCAATACTATAACCATTTTGTGGATCCCGTATACCTATTATATGAAGTTTTTAAGGTATATGAATTTGAGTTTCCCCCATAGGTAATGACAAAGACCCTGATGAGGTTCAAGATTGGCTTCTGATTGTACCAAATCTGAGTTTATTGAGGGAACGTGGTCGTCCAAAATCCAATCGAATTCATTGCGATATGGATATTCGAGAAAGATCTAGACAAGACAGAAGATGTGGGCATTGTAGAAACCCATGACACATGAGAAAAACATGTCCACTTCTATTGTCATCAAGTAACAATTGATGAGGAAATGATGTATTTGTTTATCAAATAATAATTCTTGTACTTTAATTTGCATTTACTTCAAGTTAATGATAACCAAATTGGTATTTGAATATAATTTTAAATACAACAAACTTACAATAAGTATTAAATGATAACCAAATTATAATAACTGATATTAAATGGTAATAAACAAAATTAACTGAAATACATTAAAAGAAAGTCCAACAAATTTAACAAAATAAAGTAAGTATTAAATGAGAAATAATAAAAAATTACAATTTAACAAAATAAAGTAAATACAAATATAATAATAAAAATCTATCGATGCCTGCGACGCGAATGTGTTCCGTAGGGCGGTGACTGTCGGTCTCGAGGAGGATTTCTTCGTATCACTGGTTCTGACTCCTCGCTGTCATCATCATCACCATCGTCATCGTCGTCGTCATCGTCGTCCTGAGAAGATACATTAGGTTGATGAGGAGCTGATGACGATGAAGCACCTCCATAGAATAAGGACCCTAGAGGTGTATAACTGACTATCCCACCGGCCTGCGAAAACTGGGAAAACCCAGACATCGTTGAGTGTGAAAACTGTACATAAGGTGTCTGTGCTGCGGCCATGGGTGATGAAGCTGAACCCGCCAAATATCCAACATATGAACCCCAAGTCGAATATGCAAACATAGACCCATAATAGCCTCCAAGAGGGGTCATCTGTGACGGTGGCGGCGGCGGGATCATAAAACCAGGTGAATGCGGCGGCGGCAACATCTGGTAATGGAAAGGCGATGGCGACATCATAAATGGCTGCGGTGGCTGCTGTGAAGGTCCTGCTGGTGCAGCTGATGATGAACCGAAAGTACCTGCTCTCCGTTCACGAGTCGGGGGACGATGGTGCTGTGTCGGATCACATCTTTGTCGACGTTGCGGAAAGGTCTGCCCTCGTGCATCCTCAGGAAGCAGAAACGGTTTCCCGTTACTGTTGAACCACTCATAATAACCGTCAACATACATCAAGAAGTCAGTAAAAATAGGCTCTCTACGGGGAAGGCGTCGATGTCGATCCTCCCACAACACGGTCCACTCATGATGCCTCACCAGCCAATCTGTATCTGTCTTGCCACGTCTATCTAAGCTATGCAACTCGTCCATATTGCGAGGTGCTTTCGGAATTGGATGGAAACAACCAAACTCCCGGAGCACGCGATCAGTGGAGTGCCACTCGATGGTCGTATAATAGATCAGAGGGACCATCACCATCCAAACATCTGATGGATCCCTCAACTCAGGTAGGATCATCAGTAGAATATGACACCCATTCAAACTAAAACAAATAATATATAATTTTTATCAAAATAATAATCTAATTATATAACTATAATCTAAAATCGATTTTTAAACATTAAAATTCATACTTGTGTGCCAACCTTCTGATCGATTAGCACCCTAATTTTTTCTAAATCATCAGGTAGCTCCTGATGATTTTTCCTATCAGTAGACCACCTATTCAAGGAAAAATTTTTATTATATGTTGTATAAAATTATTAATATACAAAATCAGTTTTATAATTACCTCAGAAGTAGTGGAAATACGAATGGGTTCTTCACAACGGGACATAAAAAGGGCAATCAATACGATGCCCAAGACTGCAGCAGTAGGAGACATCCGCCGATAGCATTACGCCTATAGTCAGTGGCTCTACACATTTCCCTATACAGCAAAGCCAAAATTACCGAGCCCCAACTGAATGATCCGGCGAGACGAAGGTCGCTAAGATGTCGCAACCACATGCAGTGAACTAGGTTGCGTGATTTGTTCGGCATCAGCAACCCTTCTATCAACTGTAATATGTATGCCCGTGCATACATCTTAACCTCATCCTCAGAGGCGTCTGCGCTTAACTCCCGAAAATTAGCATCTAACCAATTTAACGGTATCCTACCTCCGATAAAACTTTCCGGGACACGTCCTAGATTATCCCGGCACAAAGTAGTCCAAGAACCGGAAGCTATCCCTGATATCACATCTCCATCCACCGGAAGCCCCAGGTGCATAGAAATATCCTCAAGCGTGATCATGCACTCTCCGCACGGAAGATGAAATGTGTGGGTCTCCGGCCTCCACCGCTCTACTAAGGCAGAAATAAGGTCTGGTTCTATCTTACAATGACCCTGATATCTACCTATGTAACCAAATCCAGCCTCTACTAAATACGGTAAGACACGGCTAGGTATCACTAACTTAAGATTCCTAATAAAAGGATCTAATACACGGTTCTTCTCCTAAAAATAAATAATTACAAAAATTAATTCTTAATCTAATAATCATGCATTAAATAAATCAACTAATTATTACTAATAATTTAAATTAAATTAAAACGATAAAATGTTACCGTATCAGCAAAGTGTCGAGATATATGATTTCCATCCAAGCGAACTAGACTGTCTTCCATTATATATCTGCAAAAAAATTATATTAGTAAAATATTAAATAAAGTAAAATACTTAAATAAATTAAATACATAATATTAAAAATATTGTAAAATATACCTTAAACAAAGAGAGTATTTGAGAGAAATTGAGAAAATTTGAGAGAATTTGGTGTGATGAAAGTGATTGAGGATGGGGGTATTTATAGGGAGGATTGGGGTGTGAACGGGTGGGTAATTAAAGGTATAGCGCGGCCCCTGTACCGCGTTATACCCCACATATCAGATAACCAGGTATAGCGTGGCCCCTGATCCGCGCTATACCCCTACGTGGCGTATAGCGCGGATTACGGGGGCGCTATACACACGTGTAACCCATGTCAGCGTATAGCGCGGTAAAGAGGGCGCGCTATACCCCACGTGGTGCCAAATCAGCATATAGTGCGGGGCAGGGGGCGCACTTTACTGCTACGGGTGTTAGATCGAGAAATATAATCTGACCGGTGTTAGATCGATAAATATACCGATCATCGGTGATTTTTCGGGAAAAACGCCAATCTTTAAAAGCTAAAAATATAGTTTTTATTAAATTAAAAAAATAATAGAAATTAAATTAAGTAAATTACTTAAAGATTTTATTAAAATTTAGATTTTGTATCTATTTTTAAAAATAAAATATTTTAATTGTATTATCGAATTTCGGTTTTGACTTTGATGTAAGAATTAGATCGTTAACTTATTAATAACATGATGACACATTTACTATTTTTTTCATAAACTTTCAATGTGATCAATTATGTCGTTGAATTTTAAAATATTTTATTTTAAATATTTAATTTCAATTTACATGATATTTCGATTCTCGTAGAAAATATCAACTCTTTCGATTGTCATTGTTGATCAATCATTACATTTTATAGATCGTTATTTGAAAAAAAATATCGGTAAAAATGTTTGCGTGACACTCTTCTTTCATCTTCTTGGAATGGTTATAAATGAAATCCACTCAAAATCGATGAAAATTCGTCTAGAGGTTTGACGTTCTAAAACTATGATCTCTTTCGACGATCATTTGGAGAAACTAATTTTAAGATATGTTATTCACTTTTTTGAATCAATGTTTCTTTATCATTTAAATTTTTTAACAAACATTCAAAAATTAAAAAAATAATAGTTTTTCTTATTTAACTTTTGTTTATAAACTAGGGGATTATTTGTTTACTTCAAAATGATTAAGCGCTGAATGATTCAAATGTTGGATGATTCAAAGGCTCTGTATGAATTAACTTTGAATGTGACATGTTGTTTGATAATGGCTCTGAATCATTCAGAATGTACTTCTGTGTTGAATTATTCAACACTGTTTTGCTAAATCAGTCAACACTGAATCATTCAGAGGTGCGAAACAAACGCGCTGAATGCTGAACGTTCAACATTCAGCGCTGAATGGTTCCATTCAGAGCCAAACAAACATCCCCTATGTTTCTTTATCATCTAGCGTGAATTCAAGCGAAGCCATACCCAGTTCCCAGTTCCTCACAACCAATAGCATATTCAGAACATGCCAAGGGCCATGTTCAAGAACCCATTCACGAGCTTTATCAGAGGTAAACTGAACTATATACACTTTCCTACTCATCGGCTTCACCGAAACCGCCCCTAGCTTTCCCCACAAAATCCCTAATAGTTTTTTTATGAGAATAAAAATTGGAAACTTTATCAACAAATTGAAAAACCAAAGAATGTTTTCATACCTGATCGATCAAACACCTCTACCGGCGGCGAAACAACATGCGGGAAGAAATTCAGCTTACGTCTTTTGTTTTGATTACTTTTGTTATCAATTAATATGCATATTATTTTTGTTTCCCTCCCGGTTCCTAGGCTTCCCCTGAGTCCCTGACTAATCTGAATGACTCGTGTTGCACACATGGTCTCGGTGGGTGAGTCTTCATGCGAGATAAACAAGGAATCAAACTCGATACATACTTAAGCGATATCAAGTTGTTTACCACTTCGTTGGTAATTAATATACATATTTATCCATTGATATATTAATTCGAATAAGGTTTTGCAGAGGTCTATTATGGGGACGATTAAGGATGGGCATGAGACCCGAACTTAACGAGTTTCAACTGAACCTGATCGAGTCACTTTTAAAAAAAAATGGGTTCGTGGCAAGTCGGGTCAGATTTTTTAAGGTTATGTTCAGATCAGGTCGGGTTCGATTTTAAGGTGAAAAATAATCGACCCGACCCAACTTGAAAAAATTGTAATTTCACCTTATATTCTTATGGATAATTATAATAATACCCCTCAATGTATTATTTTCCTTCAATAAAATCCCTGTTTTTATTGAATAAAAATAATATTTTTAATAAATATATTATTTTGGATCGGGTCAGGTTCAGATTTTATTTTAAAAACTGGGTCGAATTCAGGTAAGGTGGAAAGTGTATATTTTTTCAGGTCGGGTTCAGGTGGACCAAAAATCTTACCCAACCCATGCCCATCCTTAGGAACAATCATTCCAACTCAATTTGCTACATTCACAAACCTCTGGGTTTAAACCTTTGACATTACTTAAGAAATCTAGTATATTATCTCATTAAACCAACTGATTGTTTGAAAAATACTATTTTATTTATAAAAAGTAAAATAAATTCGGATAATAAATATCTAAATATTGTAGTATCCAATTCAAATAATAATTAGAATATCAAAATTTGAATGCAATTCAAATTTTACAAAAATAAATAAATAAATATTAGAATATGCATTATACAAAATCATCCTGGCATTAGGATTATCTCATTGGTTAGATGGAAAAGACAAAATAAAAATGAATAACAAAATGATTGAAGCTCAAACTCGATTGTATCCGATAGATTTGTTGAAGAGACGTCGGATATATACAACTTGAAGCACACTCACCAGACTTAGCAGAATGTACTCTCCCACTGTGTAACCTATAACACGCTTCCTTGTGCTCTCATTTGCTGCACCCCAATAATCAATTATATCGACAAATGTATGCATATATACATATATAGGGTTAGAATCAAGAATGGATCGTAAGGGTGTTTGGGTTGCGGTCAGATCTCGTAGAAAACTTTCAAATTATATTATATTTTAAGTTTTTTTTTCTTTATAATATAACTTCTTAAATTCGTACCTCCTAAACGAAATTCATGCCTCTATCCATGGTTAGAAGCCAATTACACCCGGTATAAAAAGAGTTTTACACCTTTCTAAGACCATTAGATTCAGGAAAATCAAAAACTGATATTAACTCCTTGTTTTTTAATGAATCTTCCCATTTTTTATTATTAATCACAACCATTGATTTCTCTCATCCAATGATCTTGAAAAACACTCTGAATATAAATGCTTGTATATCCTAATGTGGGTATATATGTGTGTGTGTGTTTGTGTCTATAATTAAGCAAAGAAATAAAAAGCACTTACTATGACGGTGTTGATCATCACGTGCTCTCAAGTAAATTTGTTCGGCTGTAATAGACTGCAAAGACTCTCTCAGCTCAGCGATCTTAACATTGATTGGGTGCAAATGTTCTGTGACAATGAAATCAAACATAAACATGCAATTTAGCTTCACAAAAAGGGTCTACAAAACCAACTCAACTGTTGGAAAAGGAGTAAATTGCATCAAATATCTCAACTTATCTTTCATTTGTTAAATTGATCCATAAACTTTCAAGCACCAATGCGGTATTAATCAGATCCTAAGAGTGAAACCATGATATTTTAGGGCCAGAACAAAATCATAAAATTTTTGGAGGGTCAAAGTGCAATTTATCCACTGTAGGTGGGATGGGCAAGGAGAATGCCTCCCCAAACTCCGCTCTTAGTGATTTTTTTTAATCAACTTAAAGTGCTTACAAAATAATATATATTCTAAATACTCTCAATTATTTAACAATAAAAGTTCAATCACCTCTATAATAGTCGTTGGTGCCCATGAGATTTTTCTCCAGTCTAATCATCAATTTGAGTGTAACAATATGCTTCAAATTAAATCTAAATTGACAATGCTTAAATTAATTATCGAACTACTGAAAAGACTTAATTGACACAATAATAATACCTTGAAGACTCGATTAGAGCATTTCAAACTTTAATGACCAACTTAGAATCTAAATCATAATTTGAAGTCGTATGACGCAATTAACATCAATAATAACATAAATGACTAACCCTACTAATGTGGTTCTTGTATCACATGAAAACTGAAAAATCAGTTTTCGTAAATATAAGGATTAGATTCTAACGAATTAAAATAAAAATTTTAATTTTTTTGTTGAGTAAAGAAATGAAATTTGAAAAGTCCAACTAATGGAAATGAAAGCTTGGCCAAAAAAGAGATGGGGAAATTGAAGTAAGATTACCATCTTTGGCAAGATCGTGCTCATTGGGGATGTGGCCGATGTGGAGATAGAAGGAAACTGTCTCGGGTGTACTACCGTGAGGATTGTGAAAACAAAATTTGTACATTCCACGCAATGGGGCCTTGACCTCAAACTTATTCCCAGCTGTCCCCTTCTCAGTGTGAACGATCATACCCCCAGGAGCAGTCACCTGCATTAATCAACAAAATGCTGGTAAGATTCGAATTTTTTATTAATCTAAGACGAGTACAAGAAAGTATATGTTCAAATATAACTCTCAACTATTTGACATTAAATGCTCACATCCTTGACTAGTGGTGGATCCACAGCTTGGTGAGGGTGGACATTGAAATCCGAATTTTCTTCGATTAATTACTTATTTTACTGATAATACCCTCTCTGGAATTTTTCGTGCTCAGCTGAAATCTGAATTTTCTTCGATTAGTTACTTGTTATAACGGACGATGCGCACCTGAAATTTTTTTTGTACTCATCCCCTTTAAAAATTTTATGTTGCTAATATATGTGTATCCACACTGAAAAATATTTCTAGATCCGTCATTGCCCCTGACATTCCTAATGCTCAAACTTAGAACCTCAAACAATAGCAACAATTCATCTACCACCAAATTCATTTTGTTCATGCAGAAGAATTATAAACTAGAACGTACTTAAACGTACATTATCATATGATTTAAGAACTTGCACTATCTGAATAGTTTGTACGCATTATATAAAAGATTTTATATAATAAACGAAATTGAAATCAGATGGAATTCAGATGGAATTGAATGTTTAATCATATTTGATCTCATGTTTGAATAAGCAAAAACTGAAATCCGATTTTTCTCAATAGAATTGAACATCCAAAAATTTGTGAATAATGTGTGATGATCCAAGGTGTGAATAAGCTACTAGTTTGAACAGAGCAATTTCCTTAGTTCTATTGGATGATAAAAGTACCAATTATTCCAACATCAATTTTTTCTTTGAAATTGAATGCCCATATATCAAAATCAAGCGGAATTTGACGAAAAGGAGGACGAAACGTAGAGATCGGGATGATGATAAACTCACGTAGAAATCGATGCCCGGGTGATCGGCGGACCAGAAGATCTGGTGATCGACGACGGCGAAGTTGCCGGAAATGTTGTCTCCTTCCGAATTGACGGGCTCATACACGCATTCGAGTTTGTCTACGGTTATCGAGAGGGAGGAAACATCAGTCACGGAATTCAAGAGGAGCAATCCAATCAAAGCCCACATTTTCCCACATTCCCTCTCCATCTTTTAGGATTCTGACTCAGAGATTTTCTTTTCTTTTTCTTTGGTCAATCAGTTTTCGAAATGGGAATTGCATCGGGTTGGAAATGAATCGTTTTCGTCCTGTAATAATCAAATCTAAATTTGCATATTTACTCTAAAATTCACGATCCCTATTCTACATGGATTGAATCCAAGCATTGTTCTTATCATATTTAGATGGAATTACTGGTTGGATTTTGATAGATTGGATATTTGAATTTAGCATATAACAAAAAAAAAATAAATAAATAAATAGGATAAGCTATGTATTTAGTATTTAAACAATCAGTTTTAGACCGTTGTACTATCTAATCTTTCAAAATCATGCCTAGTGTTTAGTTTTTGTTTCCTTTTGCCGGAAAACGCTTCAGTCTTTCCAAATCGACGATGGACTATTCGATTTCTTCATCTTTTGATCTCCGTCATCAACCGTCCGATGGGCCTAAAACTGGACTATGTTGGTCGACTAGTCATTCTTTCGTGATCCACCGCTTGGATCGATTATTTGTCTACCGCAGCTATGTGCCGTCAACAGTGTCGTGGCTGGGGCAGTGCGAACTGCGCGACGGCGCAGGGCCCCCAAAAAATGCGGGCCCAAAAAAAGTATATCTATAGTGGCGTTTTTCAATAAACGCCACTATAGATGGATCTATTGTGGCATTTTTTTAAAAAAATGTCACTATTGTTGCGGTTTATTGAAAAAACACAACTATAGATGAATTTATTGTGGTGTTTGTCATAAAATGCCACTATTATTACCCCAAAATTGAATATATCTAGAAAATAGGGGCCCTTTATAAGAATTTATACAAGGCCCCCGAAAACCTAGCCACGGCCCTGGTCGTCAGCCCGTCCGTTAAGTTTTTAACGACAGAGTACTAAAATGAAATAAAAATTGAACGTTAGGTGTAGTTTAAAAAAAATAAAAGTTTAGATACTAAAACGGGCCAAAACTAATAGTTTAGGTACTAAAGGCATAGTTTACCCAAAACTAAGCAGTTGATTCGAATATCCAAAATTCAAATCGATTATTTATATAATAGTGTAGTGGAGTTTCGAATGATAAATATATTATCTACAAATGTAAAGTTAATTTAGATAATGATGATTAAAAATATTATTTTTGTTATTTTTTAATTTGACTACTAATATTTAATCTATTAATTAAATAATCATGATTGAATATTACAAAAGTTCACTCACAAAAAACTTAAAGACATCGAAAGCCATGCAAATATTAGGAGCAAAAGTGCAATTATACCTTAGAAATTAGTATTAAATCAATATTTTAGGGGTGGGGAAGGAGAGATTTGATATTTTTTAAAGGTTAAGGTTAATTTAATTTTTCATTTGAGTGATCAATTTAACTTTTCTTTATATGAATGATCAATTTAACTTGAATAATAAAGACTAATTTGATAAAAATATATAAACATCAAGGATCAAATTTAAATTATGCCTACATTTTAACTCTCATAGTGGGTAAACATTAGCAATCACTAAACTGTTTTAAAATAGCCTTTATGGCTAATAAACTTTCAAACATTATAAAATGGTCATTAAACTTATCAAGTTATTACAAAATGATCCATGCATGTTATAATATAGTAATGATCAAAAAATTTAAAGACCATTTTATAATATTTTGATAAATTTATTAATTATTTTATAGTAATTAGATAAATTTTAATTATTGTTTTATAATCATTTGAGAAATTTAATGATTGTTTTGTAACATTAAAAATCTATCGACTAAAACAATCACTTTAATATAGTACAATGATCCCTAAAAATCAATCGACTAAAATGATCACTTTTATATAGTACAATGATCCCTAATTAAGGATGGTCATAATACTCGAATCCGAAGAATTTTGACCTTATAAGGTTTTTTTTTTCAAGTTGAAGTCAAGTCGGGTTGAGTTTTTAGAAGGATAAAGTCGAGTTTGAACTTAGGGGGAAATTTTCCATTCAACCCGAAATAATAGTATAATTATTCGTTATATATATGAAAATAATTGTAAAAATACTCATCTTTTTATATTCTTTTGAATTAAGTCATTATTTTATCCAATAAAATAAGATATTCTTATATCTATATATATATTTTGAATCGAGCCGAGAATATATTTTCGCTTAAAAAATAAATTAAATTTATGGTCGGATCAAATCTTCTTAAATTCAAGTTAAATCAAGTGATGAGTGGATGATATGATACTCAAGTTGGCTCAAGTAGACAAAAACCTAATCCGACCCACCCATACCATCCCTACACCTAATGTACTTTACCCTTTAAAATTAAGGGTAAATTATGTACTTAGTACTTAAACTATTAATTTTGATCTATTTTAGTATCTAAACTTTTTTTTTCAAAACCGTACCTAGCATTTATTGTTTGTTTCAATAATTGATTTGAAATTTTTAGAATTTTCAAAATTCAAAATTGATTCGAATATTCAAAATTCAAAACCATACCTAGCAGTTGATCCGTTAAAAACTTAACTCGTTTAGTACCTAAACTATCAGTTTTGACCCGTTTTAGTGCCTAAACTTTCAATTTTTTTCAAAACTTAACGTTAAATTTTGAATGGAATACTGAAATGAAACAAAAACTAAACTTTAAGTATGATTTTAGATTTTTTTTTAAAAAAAAAATTAGGTACTTAAACGGATCAAAATTGATAGTTTAGGTACTGAACACGTAGTTTACCCTAAAATTAAAAGCGCAGAAAAATAATTCTTGATCCTTATATCTGTGTTGGGACCTATACTACAGAACATTCAAAGGCTGAGAATTTCGGTTTCGTCTGTCTGAAAATGGAAGAAATCCGCCGCATAGAAACAGTAAAACTAGGCAATCAAGGCTTGCAGGTAAATCAAATCAAATCCTGCACGCTTTTCATGTTTATATATCTATCAGTTGATAGAACGTTTCGAAATTCCGCAATTAACTCTTTTAACGATGGCTTGCAGGTTTCGAGGTTAGGGTTCGGATGCGGAGGTCTTTCCGGGATGTTAAACGCCCCTCTCACACATGAAGATGGATGCTCGGTCATTAAAGAAGCTTTTAACAACGGCATAACCTTCTTTGATACGGCGGATCTCTATGGTGAAAACCACGATAACGAGATCATGGTTGGCAAGGTAACATCGCTTAAACGATACAGCCGAATCCGATAATTGTTATTCATCGGTACAAATATGTATGTACAGCATATCCATGTACTAAACCACTTACACTTTTAGGCCTTGAAGCGGCTTCCTAGAGATCAAATTCAACTAGCTACAAAATTCGGTATTATTGTGTTAGAGGGACTTCAATTTGAAATCAAGGGTACCCCAGAATACGTCCGGCACTGCTGCGAATCTAGTCTTAAGCGGCTCGATGTGGATTACATCGATCTGTACTACCAGCACCGCGTGGACACTTCAGTTCCGATAGAGGAGACTGTAAGTTTCAACGGACTTTGCCGATTGAGTTTTAACTGTTTGTCTTGATTTGGGTTTTTCAATGGCAGATGGGCGAGCTAAAGAAGCTGGTGGAGGAAGGAAAGATAAAGTACATTGGATTGTCGGAAGCTAGTGTTGACACCATAAGGAGAGCTCATGCAGTTCATCCCATTACTGCCTTGCAAATGGAATACTCTCTCTGGACTCGTGAAATCGAAGACGAGATAATTCCACTTTGTCGGTATGCTTGAAACTCGATTTCAAAGATGATTTCTCTTCCTAGTCTTCGTGTCTACAAGTTGTCTCCGAATCTCTTTGTGCAGAGAACTCGGAATTGGGATAGTAGCATATAGTCCTCTAGGTCACGGTTTCTTCGGCGGGAAGGCAGTTGTGGAGAGCTTGCCCGATGGAAGTTCAATGGTAAATGACTAGCAACAGGCTTTTTAACGACACATCGAGCCATTCTTCAACTTAATCCTACAAGCGACATTTGTGTATGTTACAGGGAATGCATCCGAGGTTCCAGGGGGAGAATTTAGAGAAAAACAAGATCATCTATAATCGACTTTCCGATCTAGCTACGAAGCATGGCTCCACGGTTCCTCAACTAGCTCTAGCATGGCTTATGCACCAGGGAGATGACATAGTCCCTATCCCTGGTATGTTTGGGGCTTAAAGCTGAAGTCTATGTTCTGAAAATCAATTGATGACACATATTCTTGCACATATTGAACCTTAAAAATCTTGTTTTTTCGATGGCCAATTTACGCAGGGACAACTAAAGTTAAGAACATCAAAGACAATATCGGATCCTTGGCATTGAAGCTTACACAAGAGGACTTGAAAGAAATCTGTGATGCTGTGCCCATCGATGATGTGAGTGGCCCAAGAGAAGCCGCCAGTATAGCTAAATATGCTTGGAAGTTTGCCGATACCCCATCGAAGAGCTGTGTGTGAATGAATAAGTTGTGTCTTCATATATGCATTTGAGACTCGTTTTACGCATATTACGTGTTGTATAGATGTTGGACAGGGGCATGGCAACCACTGTTTAAGAGTCCATGAAATTATAAGCATATGTAATAAGTGAATAATAGCCGAGGTATTGTAGCACGAGGGAGATAAGCTAAGAAAACACTTCATGCATAAATGAGTCAACTACATAGGCCATTCTTGATGAGTTTCTACATATAATTACAACAGAAAACAAAATCATAAGTTACTACACCAACTAGCTTTGCTGTTCTTCCAGCATATAACACAAAGTTTAGAACGAGAATTAATCATAAAACCCATTCGAGAACCGAAACTCATGAATCCACCGAAAGAAGAAAACAAATTTCAAGAAACGCCCATAAAATGCAATCACTCGAAAAGGCCAGTAAACTTCTTTAGAAAATTTCCAAAACCAAGAACAGGGGTGCTACGTGACTCGGAAAAAAGGTACCTAGTTGGTGAGTTTTTCACATATAAAAGGAAATTCATATCCAGCTCAAAGCAACAAGCACGCTATGTTGTCGGGTACCTTTAAGTAAACCTTCAATCAAAGTCCCACCAGTTCGTCTGGCTATTTCCTTCAGCCTAATATAAAAGCTCATCAAGAATTGGGCATCTTTTCTTTGAAAAGGCGTGGAAGTACTTCATGTGCGCCTATATCTAGAACCTCCGGATCCCTGAAATAAACAAAGATGTCCGTACTGAAATCGTTTACTTGACAGAAAATCAGGAGGGAGAAATCGGTGTCACGTTTTCACCAAATAAAATTTCAGGGGACTGCATTCATTGGACAAGCAACAAGACAAATTGTCAACAGTCAAACAGATTTTAGCAATTTAAAGTACCAAAATTGGATCTGATCGCCTACACCTTTATATAGATAAGACTGTGAGCATGCAGAGAGAGAGAGAGAGAGAATGAAGGAACCTGCACAATGTCTTCCCCATCTCATTGGAACTTGAAATAAACCATAGTTTTCGCAAGAGTGGTGACTCAAATTGAACAAAGAAACCATCATGTTGCCCATGTTTCCACTTCCTCGAACCCTGGCCTTTCCATACCTACAAAGATAGAATTGAATCAAAGGTCCCATAGCCTTGAATCTTGTATTATGCACTGAATAAGCCATCAACTAAATGTAAACATGTAACTAGATCAGTGTTAAAAAGGGTGTAAGATGCACTAAGACGATAGGGGTTTTATAGCCAAGGCGCAAGGCGAGCGCCTTATTCAAGTGAGGCGCACTTTTTTAAAATGAAAGATATAAAAGTTTTTTCCAGTTGTATAATCAAACAAAATGAACAGTTCGTGCAATATAAATATCAAAGAGTATTCAGTATCAACATTTTATGTATTAAACATCACTTTTGTTCCATCAACCATTGAACCTTGAGAACCGAAGCAAAACCCCAATTCCTTCCTTGGTCCACAATTCCACATAAGAAACTGAAACAATAAATAAAAGTCTAATAGTGAGTTGGCATCAACTTCTTACTTGTCTCCTTCTTGTCCCTCGCACCTCTCAACAAATGTGTATTCCTCCTTGTTAACACCACCTACACCCTAAACCCCACTTCTATCCACCTTAATCCTCCATTTTCGTATTTCTAAATTGTGTTTCCAAGGTTTTCTTTCTTTCTCGTGGATTCAAATTTCACCATGTGCTAAAAGTGCTGCTCAAGAACCCATCACTATGCAACAAAACTCACTGAAACCTATCTTTTCCTCCCCCGATTCTCAATTCGTGCATGCATGCCTCTCTCTCATTTTGTCTGCTCAGTCGGTTGTCTTTTTTAACACCAATATGGCCCCTATTCATCCCCTTTGTTTCTCTCTGTCAAATTTGAAGACAAACAGTAATTATATAAGGTAAAGCACCCTCCCTTTATCTGTATTAAATTTCCATACGTCTCCCATGAAACTCTCTTTCTAATCACCCCCACCATGTTTTACTCTTTTCTTCACTGAAATTTCATTTTTACTTCTTTTTTGTTGTTGATATATAAGTTGGTACATAAAACATAATAAAAAAGACAAAAAACAAAAAAACAAAAAAATTGAAAAGACAGCGCCTTTCTGCGCCTCGGAGCTTCAATGCCTAGTGCGCCTTAGGCACGCCTTGTTGCGCTTCATTGAAATCGGCTGGCGCTTCACCCTCGCCTCACCTTATTGCCTAGGCACGCCTCAGTTGCGCCTTTTTACACACTGAACTAGATCCTTCAAGCACAACTTAGATTCACTGATGGCAAAGAAAATCCGCGACCTTTGGACTTGCTAAAACATAGCTGGCTCGTATCAGAAAATCTAACCCCCATGAAGATAAGTTTCTATCATTAAGCACTAATACTTGAATTTTCATCAAAAAGATTTTTGGTATTTGTGATAAGACAGTAAGTAGATTGAAAGGCTAGGTTTTGTTAACACAGTAACAATTGTGAATCGGCCTATGCTACCTTACTACTACTAAAAGGAATGACTAAAGCACTAATGCATTCCTTGAAGAGCAAATGGAAGACAAAACATAACATGGAAAATAAGACGTACTAGCTAGAACAATTAGCAATAATCTTTAAGGCTTATAAACTGCAACGCATGATAACAGCTTTTTTCTGTTTCCTTTTATTATAGATAGATCAAAAGCCAACCTCTCCAACACTTCACGTCTTAGACCAAGTGTAGCAACTTAAATTTTCTCAATTTATCGAAATTAGCATACAAATGATGCATATTATACCATAATTACATTCCCTGCACTGGAGAAAATTGAAAAGCGTGCACAACACAGGAAGATTTTGCAAAATTTATAGTATTTAAGGGTATCAAAAAGCATTTGGTTGTTGTCCAAAGTCCACAACAACACGGAGCAAATATGAAGAAGTTACCTGTGGATAAGCTATAATACTTTTAGGAGCAACCAAGCAAGCTGCTCTAGAGAAAGAATCTTCAGCATACTGCCTAAGAAATGAAAAACAGTTGCTGTGCGTATGAGGTGATTCAAAGGCCTGCAACAGAGGAAAGATGAAATTTTCATTAAATATGGTTGGGAAAATTTTTCTTTTGAAAATGGTTGAAACATACATTAGATAGCTATTTAGTTCCTATTTCTTGAACCGAATGTAATCACAATATCGTATGTAGACAGTTTTGAAGGTCTAATAATACCTTGTCAATATTGACGACCGGAGCATATTTATCGCTCTGGGTCTTCTCCTTATCAAGAAGGAAGTAGACTTTAGGATCCACTTTTGAAGTCTCATGCCATGATTTTACAGCTGCTTCAATTGTCTCGACAAGAAAAGAAAACATATCTTTCCAAGAATCTTCAGCTACATACTTTTCAGACTGCAAAGAGAAAGGCCGTTTTTTTCATCAACATGAACACCGAAAAGAAACCTACTAATTATATCAAATTTTTTATATAAGCCCATAAAAATCTTACTAGAATGGTCTTAGCTACCTGACAACATTAGCAAATGAGAAAAGAAAACAGAGCCCGTAATCAAACCACAAATCAATATAGAAATAAAGAAAATAATTAGTAAACTTTATATACAGATAAAATACAACACTTTTGCTCAAGGAACTCACCATTTCAGATTTCAATGTTTCCAAGCTTTTTGCTATATCTATATTGGATCGCAAGTTCTGCACTTCTTGGGCTCGCTTTTTATCTTTTGCAAGCTGGGAAAGCCTCTTAATTTTTCTCGAGACTTCTGCACTTTGTGGGTTGTATTGCAAAGATATTTGGAAGGCAGCTAAAGCCTATAACAATTTAGAATTCGATATATCAGTATCATAAGCCAATAGCATTGTCTATTTATCGAAGTTTAAGGAGGGAGATAGGAAATTACATCGTCATATCGTTCCATTGCCTCCAAAATGCATCCTTTCCGAAAATATCCCTGAAACATAACGAAAACACACAAATTAAACAGTTCTAATTCCATGACTGTCTGAGTGCAATCGCCCTACACCCACCACCACCCTTCAAACAAAGGGACAATACGGATATCTACCTTTTCCCATTGAGGATTCAATGTGATTGTTGTCTCGGCATCAGCCAGTGCTTTGTTAAGTTTAACCAAATTTAAAAATGCCGCCGCTCGATTGCTGGTCCAATAAAAGATAAGCATATTTAAACTACAGAATCGGTGCAAAAACAGGGGGGACTACCTATAAAGCTAAAAAAAATCCTCAAGAATCAAACCGAAAGTGATTTTTAAAAAAATACCTATAAAGAGTGGGATTTGAAGGGTCTTGCTTAATGGCCTGGGTGTAAAGAGCAGCAGCTTTGAGGTAGTTCCCAGCTTTGAAAAACTCGTTCCCTTTATCCTTCAATGATATCTCCTGTGACCCTCCTTTACCAGATCCTACCCCTGCTTCTGCCATACTGTGCTTTTAGCTAGTTGAGTGCTTACGGTTAATGGGAGAGCAAAGCTTTTCTTCTTGATGGGAATGTTTTTGGAGGTATTTAACAGCGTACAAAATCTGGGCTTTGGTGATTTTTGAGTAGAAAGGGGAGTCAGATTGGTTTTTGATAATGAAAACCTAGGCGAAGTAAAAGAATCTCTAGGGTGTACTCTAGGATTTTTGCTTTGTTATGGACTAAAATAAATTGTTTATTTAGATTTACTAATAATATTATTTATGATAAATTACATATTTAGTCACCAAACTATCACTTTGGTTTTATTTTGCTTATCCGACTATTTTTCTTCAAAATCATCATTGATGTTACGTTTTGATTTCATTTCGATCACTCATTGTATTTTCCAACTATCATTCTGGTTTCAAAATCTCCTTCTAAATTTCGGTCTTCTTCTAAATCTATCTTTCAACTTCATTATCACTCATTTGCTTAATCGTTATCGTTTTCTCTTCACATCAATCGCTTATGTGCGAAACTGTCATACTTGTTTTATAACCACCTTGTATGTTTTAGAAACATACCTAACTTAATCTTACTTTTGATCTCTTACTTAAAACATACAAGGTGGTTGTAAAGGCTTCAAGAATGACATTTCATCACATACGTGATCGATGTGAGAGATGATAGTTGAGCGAACAGACTATGATGACGTTGAGAAAATAGGTGTTGGGAAAAATCAAGATTTGGAAGGGAATTTCGTGTCATATCAAATTGATAAAATTCTTATATATATATATATAATTTTTTAAATTATTTTAATTTTTTTTTTAAAAAAAATAGGAGAATATTATTAATGGCCACCACATAACTCAAAGCCTCATTAAAAAAAATCTTACCCCTAAATAGAAGAAAAAGAGTGCATCCGAGTACAATAGGATACTATGATAAAAACATCATACACAGTGCAAACATTCCCAAAACTTAACCCCAAATCCTATGAGTTCACTTTATACTCCTGGACTACTATAGAACTCGACCCGTCTACCCGATAAAAAATTTTGAGTATTTTTTTTAAATTTTAAGTTCTGGGTCGGGTACCCATCTCGAATTTCCTGGGTTGGGCTCGGGTCACAAAATTAAATTTTTTGGATACCCGGTTCTCAAGTACCCGATCATATTTATTTTTTTATATAATAATATTATATATTTAATTATTAATAAATTTATATATTAAATTAAATTACTAAAATTAAAAAAAAAACTCCCACAGTGGAAAAAACCACTTTTAAATTCTATGTTTGGATGTTAGAGTATGTAATTCAAACATTTAAATTTGCATATGTTTTTTTTAAATTAATAATTTGAAAATGATAAAAAGCGGGTACCCGATTACCTGAATTACGGGTACCCAGGTACCCACAATATCCGAGTCGAGACGCGAGTCGAGCAATGAAGTACCCGAATTTGAACGGCCCTATCCCTATTGCCATCTTTGCCAACTGATCAGCCGCCACATTGCAAGATTAACGGTTAAACTTAACAATAGGAGACTAAATAAAAAACGAAACATAATATTATATATGATTTTGAACAAAAATATTTGGATAACCAAAACATAAATACATGAATAGGTTGACCAAATAGGTAGTTTACCCTATTATTTATTATAGAAGCGGAGGATTCAATTATGTCAAATTAGAAATGGAGGATTATATCTCAAATGTCAACGTAATAGAGGGACTAAAACCATAAATTGACCAAACAAAATGCATCTCTGTTCAAAAACCATCCAAGCCCTTTCGCCGCCATCGTGGTTCAGTTTTTACTATTATAACTTCAGCAGCCTAAGCTAAGAATTGAAGTGAACTGAGAAATGGGAAAGAAGAATAAGAAGGGAGAAGCCGAAATAAATAGCCCAGATGAAACCCTAGCTAGACTTAGTCTCCTCAACGCCGACGCTGCCGGTTCTCACAATAAAAAGAAGCAAAAACCCAAAGCAGAGAAAGTAACCGACGGCGAAACCAAAAAAGCCGACGAAATCCCCACCGTCACCATAGCCATCGCCGGCTCCATCGTCGACAACGCTCAATCTCTCGAGCTCGCCACTCGTGTAACAAAACCACTCTGTTTTCTCGTATTTTATTTTGGTGAGAACATTTTTCACATTTCCTTTTAGTTTTTCCATTGTTTTTTAGTTGGCAGGTCAGTTTGCTCGTGCTGCAACCATTTTTCGGATTGATGAGGTATTTTTTTACTTAATTTCTTATCTATTTGATCCTACACTTTAGCCGTAAAGTAGTTAATTAGACATATTAATTCAGTTGTTTGAATAAGCAGGTTGTGGTGTTTGATAATAAAAGTAGCTCGAGGAATAATGGTGTTTTTCGAATCAAAATAGTTCTAATGAAAGTGATAGAGGGGCGCCTTTTCTTGTTAGGATCTTGCAGTACCTTGAGACGCCACAATATCTAAGAAAAACACTTTTCCCTAAGCATAATACTCTCAGATATGTGGTGAGTATCGAATTCGCGGTTTTGATTTTTTTTTTTTGTTGCTGCTGCTGATGTTTTTCTTTTGATGGAAGCGAATTTAAAGTTGATTTTTTTACATTTATTTGCATATTTCAGGGAATGTTGCCTCCTCTTGATGCCCCACATCATTTGCGCAAGCATGAATGGGCACCCTATCGGGAAGCTAAAGTTTAGCTGCTGCCTTTTGATCACTCATCCGTCTGGATTTTTTCGGCTAATTAGCTTACACCACAAAGTAAACTTTGCTCCTCTATGATCATGTTTGTCATAGATTTCTTACAAGGTCTATAATTGTTTAAAGTGAATTGTAGGACAGATAGATATGCACTGATAAGTATTCATTTTAAATGTAAATGGATTTATATGTTATTTCCATGGGAAATTGATGGAAACTGAGGTTACCGGTTTTTGAGAAGAAGTGATAAGTTTATATTAGGTTCCTGCTTGTAAAGAGCTCGAGTGTGGTTTCATGGGGAATCTTAGCAATTTGTTGCCTACTTGAACATGTGCTTGATCCGATCAATGATTAGCCTGAACTGAATCTTTGTCTAACTTCATCTGTTGCGATAACTTTATAGGTATCACACTCGAGGAAAAACCGACAAGCTCTGTGGGAACAATGGTTGATGTGGGTTTAGATAAGGTACGCCCATTCTTGTTTGAGTGTCTTACTAAAGCCTGCTGCTTGCACAACTTCCTTCTTCGTAATTGTCGAATTTTGAAATAGAATGCTTTCTCATATATTTATTCATCAACATTATGGGTATATATATACAAGTATAAAGGTCCTATAATATGTAAAGTAATATCCTATATTAACTATGCAATATCCTACATTAAATACAGTATATATTAATCCTAAGATTTAGCCTGCAAATATGTAACAGTCCCCCTCAAATTGGAGAATATATATTAATCATGCCCAACATATTTCATTGTTCGTTATGCAGAATGTTGTGGTTGATCAAGCACTTAAGCCTGGAATACGAGTCACTGTTGCAATGGGAACTAACCAAGACATGGATTATGGTAATAAAAATTCTGATATCAAATAATGTTTCTTTGTCATGAAATGGTTATCAAGTGTGAGAATTTAAACCTAATTCAACATGTGGTTTTAATTTGATTTATTTCTTTGAACTGCTGTTACTGGATAATGCAAATTTAACATGCCTTTGCTACATCCATAATGTAATAACTTAAGATGGTGCAACATTTTTCAAATTTGTCTACATTCCTTAAGTACAAGCGCTGATACCGATGAAAATATGTTAGCTTATAAAGTTGTTTCTTTAGATTTACCTCGACAGGTGGTCTCCTCTTCCAAGCCTAGGGAAGACGCAGGTACATACTGGGGGTATAAAGTGCGGTATGCTTCTGATATCAGTTCAGCATTCTCTGATTGTCCGTACAAGGTACTCGTACTTCGATTAGATAGTTTGAACTTGCCTATTCCCTTCTAATTTCTTCTTTTTGTACAACCACCAACAGCAAGATAGCTTCTATAATGTCGTCGCAGGGTGGATATGATCACTTGATTGGCACATCAGAGCATGGACTAGTTGTTAATTCATCACAGCTTAATCTACCCGCCTTTAGGTACGCTTTTGTTCATATTAGGTATGCTTTAGTGTGGTTTCGTGCCACGATACATTTCGACTTTGATTGTATTGTAATATGACAGGCATTTATCAATTGCTTTTGGTGGTCTCACTGGGTTGGAGAAGAGTGTAGACAAAGATCACTAGTTAAAGGTATAATCGGAAGACGGTTAGCCTCAGTAATATGTTTTTTAATAATTTAAGGTAATTATAAGATAGTATTTGTTCGTAATATTTCTTCAGCACACACTCACATACACAACTGCTAATTAAATTATCTAATTAAAATGCAGTTCCAGTTCTAATTTTAATTTTAGTTGCAGCTCTAGCTCTAGTCCTGGTTTTAGTTTAATTTTTTTTTGAATTAAATTAAAATTATTACTAATTTGATAACATGTGTAAGTAAAGAAATCAAATATATAATCATACTAATTTTGTTAACTACAACGTCAGTTCTTCCGACAAATGAGTACGAGACTCGACTAAAATTATTTAAATAATTAAATAGTTTGATCGAATAAGTTAAAAGCTCGATGGTCAAATTGAATCTCTCCATAATTAAGTGATCATATGTGTAATTTACCCATTAATATAAAATATTTTAAACCACAGCAACCAATCTAGAATCCGTAAGGTAGTTTGGGGTTGCTTGCTGAAATTACCCCTTTAATTAAAAAATAAGATAACCAATTAAACTCTTTCGAACTGAAAAATTAAAACAATTAAATTATTAGATCAATTTTAATAGTTAATTTTTCGATTAATTTGGGTAAATAGTAATTCAATATATTATCTATTCAAAGATAATTTAATCATTTTATATTAAACTCTCAAGGAATAACAAAAATTCATATTCTATAGTACGAAATTAGAAGAATCTTTTAAAACCAAAATTTTATTAAAAGTTACGGTAAAGTACACAAATGGTCCATCTTATAAGGTATTATTTTTTAAATCTATCAACAATTAAAAGTTATAAAATGATTATTGACTATAGAATGTTGTTTTGTTAAGTCCTTTGACTATTAAAATTTACAAAATGGTCAGTTGACTATTTATTATATTCTAAACTCGTCATTTTTGTTAAAAATTGACAATTGTCTAAATTAGACGTTAATATGATGACTAAGATATGGTAGTCATTTGAGATTTTGGGATCAGTTTTATCATTCATAGTCAATAGGTTAACATTCAACTCAGAATACTGTCATTTTTAATAGAAAATGATGAGTTTGGAACATAATGAATAGTCGGGTGACTATTTTATAACTTTTGATAGTTAAGGGACTCAATAAAACAATATTCTATAATCAAATTTAAGTTTTTAATAGTCAATGGACTTAATGAAACAATACCATATAAACAATAGACCATTTGGATATTTTACCTAAAAATTAATAAATCTTTACAAATTCAACTTGACACAATCAATGATGTAATATGCGACATCACGATATGATCTATATGACATTAGCTTATTAAAAACAGTTACATATAACGAATAAGGTAGTACACGAGTTGAATCGAATTTGAGTATCACTGAGTTTAATTTAATTCAAAACTCTAAAATGAAACTCAATTCAGCTCAAAAACTCGAGAGTTTAAAATTTTCAAACTCAACTCGAACTCATAAATTGAAGATCGTAAAAACTTGAAAAAGCTTACACTTAACTCGACTTAATCTTAAACTCAAACTCGAACCTAAACATTAAATACATGAAAATCTTATTATTACATTTAAAAAAATAAACTTAATATTAATAATTTATTTGTTTGAAAAAAATAAAATCTTAATATATTATATTTTCGAGTTGTCCGCGAGCTTTTTCGAGTTGAATATCGAGTAGCTTGTTTCGGGTCATTAGAATTTGAGTTGAGCTCGAGCGTGAGTCAATCCATTCGAATTGAGTATTTATCGAACTTTAACGAATTAATCTCGAGTAACTCACAATCAGTCAAGTCTCGTTTACCGCCCTAATTAAGACATGAATACACAGATTATCAGATCTACTAATAGAGTTTTTCATTACGAATAAAAAGGTCCCCAAGGTCAATATAATGTCAAAAAAAACCTATAAATGTATTATTCATATCGTGTTTGGACATTACGATGTAATATTTATTTACGAGGTAAGGAAATAATAACAGTTGAAGTAGCTGTGTATTTATGGGATTAGGACATACTTGAGACTTATGTCGGAAGAGCCTTTGACAAATATGGTCATCCCTTTAGGCTCACTGTCTCAGCATTCTTGTTGCACCGGCTTCGGAAACTACTTCCGAGGCGACGGATCGATGTCGCGAGCTCCGCATACATGTTCGAAATGGCTTTCGCGAAATACTCCCTCGCTTGAGGTCTCTTGATCTGGCCGCAAAAATAAGGAAACAGATGAGAATTTATTGTGCCGTTTAGGTTTGTTCTTCGCTATGAGCTTGATCGTAAAATATGGTCACTTGCCTTAAACGTCGGAGTAAGCAGACCGTTCTCCATCGTGAATGGTTCGAGCACTAACGTCACGGCTTTTGCAAACTCGAAGCCTCTCAGCTGTTTCGAAGTTGATTAATCAGAAAATTAAGGCCGGTGAAATGTAAATAACCGGGGGAAAAAACAGAGAGTTCATCGAGAAACATTGCCTGAGCTTCTCTTCCGAGAGCATCCATATCAGCCAGGACTGCAGCCCTTGCTCTTGGGTCATTGCACAGCTGTGCTAAATCATTGTACTGTACGTATCGTTTCCGGTTAACATTAGCAAGCGATTAAACGAGATCGTTAAAACATACTATCATTGGTTTTGCGGTAACGTAAAACAGCAGTTGATAGATCACCTTAATGCCTTCGGAGTCGGCCCATGCTTTTAAAGCATCGTGGTCCACCGAGACGATAGCTACCAATGTAGAATTCAGGCTGTCACCTACCGAGCAAAACGATCGGAGTGGTCAAACAGAGAAGGGAAAGAAGAGCAGGAAAGTGTCGAATATCGTTGTCTTACACTTACCGTAAACAAAACACTGAGCAATAAATTTGCATTTAGCGTATACGTTTTCGATTTTTTCCGGAGCTATGTACTCTCCCTGAGCCAGCTTAAAGATGTTCTTCTTCCTGCACCAATACACGACTTCGAGTGACGGTATAGAGATATGCAAACACCGACCGATAATTTATTTCTGGTAAATATTTGACCTTACCTATCAATGATCTTTAGACGGCCGCCGGGTAACCATAGCCCTATATCTCCGGTATGAAGCCAACCATCTTCATCGAGTACCTCTCTCCTGTCGAATTTTTAAGTTTTAAACGCATTGAATATCAGTATAAGAAAGTTTAAAGAAGAGAAGGACCACATATGAGGAACATACGTCTGCGCTTCATCTTTGAAGTATCCTCGGAAAACAATCGGACCCCGAACACAGATTTCTCCACGAGGATACGGCTTGTCACCCGATGTGTAGTTCATTTCCGGGACATCCACGAGCTTTATTTCTGAAATAGGCAGACAAATCTATAAATCCGTTGCAAAAGAATTCGAAAGCTTGAAGCTCCCATATAATAACTCACCACAAGCCGGATTAGGAGAGCCAACATGGCCGGAGAGGTTGTCACCCTCGTCCATACTGCTTATAACACATGAAGTTTCAGTCATTCCGTAACCTTCCACTACCCGACCACCGAAGCAGCTGCAGATTCATAAAGGAAACATTAACAAGAGAGATCACAGATACCACCGATGTATCAATTCGACATGTTTAAAGTATATTAACTTACATCTTCAAGAAGTCTAGGACATCGGGAGACAAGGGTGAAGCACCAGAACTCAAAAAACGAACTCGTCCTCCGAGTCGGGCTTTTATTTTGTTGAACACCAATTTGTCCCACATGGGTGAAGGACTCTTTCCTTGAGAAAAGATTATACACGATCTATACATATCAATGCAATATCAAGGTGAAAACATCAATCTAGAGATGAAAATGGTTTACCATTCAGTATTGCGTGCTTCTTGGAATTGTAGGCGACATTGAAAAGTCTCTCCTTTAGAGGACCGGATGACTTTACGGCGCTGATAATACTGCAAAAAAAAAAAGAGTCCGATAAAGTGGTTCGAGTTCGATCAATATATATCAGTCACAACCAACTGAACAATCAGCCTAGTACCCTGAGTAAATTCTGTTATAAAGTCTAGGGACACTGCAAAATAATGTCGGTCGTAGTTCAACCAGGTCATCCATTAATTTCATGTTATCCTGCACACAGAGATCAAGAACCGGTTTTAAGGGAAAACGCCGGAAAAAAATCATATATAAGAGTGAAGGTGTTTAGGTTTACTCTCATACGGTCATACCCCTTGGTAGAATCCAATGGCGACTCCGAAATACAGTAAAGCAACCTGATAAGCTCGTTCATAAATGTGTGCCAAAGGAAGATATGATATGTATCTGAACATAGGACGGAAATTTCAGCAGGGGAGTTAAGGTAAAACAGTGAATTCATTCATAAATCCCAACAAAAATGTATTATGATTTATATTCATTTAAAGCCTATAGATCTTACACGTCTGAGGGGTAAAATGTTGTAAAGGAGCTGCATCCGGCGGCACTTGCAATCAAGTTTCCGTGTGTCAACACGACTCCCTAGCCAAAACTTACAAAGAATAAGTAGGTGAACGAAAGAACTTATGTTTACTTAATATGATTATTCAGATCTGTTAAAATTCACGGAACTGATATATACCTTTGGCGTTCCGGTTGTACCGCTGGTGTAGCAAATGGTTGCGGTATCATCTGGTTTTGGTGGAATAAAAGGCTGAAGGTTACTTCGGCCCTGAAGTACCCATAAAATGAGAAGCAATTATACCAACACGACAGTTAAGGAAAATTGTATAGGATAAAAGTGCACTTTTGAATCGGTCCCAACAATACCGAGATCACGTCACTATAAACTACTAAGATGTAGGCATAACGGATTTCAAATTACCAGACTTAATAATCTTGCATATGTAACAATCTGAATGCCAGTTGAAGTTGGCAATGAAGGCACTTCATTCTCCATTCCTCCAACCACCTACAGCGAGAGAAAGAAACAAATATATTCCTGAGAAAATGGCAAATAGGTAGGTATACTAAGCTTTTTCTTATTCGAAGACTCGGAAAGAAAGTATACCACAACCAAACATACGGATGGAATCTCGGATAAAAAGCTTAGCAACTGCAATTCCAAGTAGAAAGATGAATAAATCTTGTGAAACAAATACAAATTTCTCAAAATAATGTGAACTGGACAATGGAAAAAAAGGTTCCCAAGTGTAAAATTAATTAGTGTAGCCGGAAAACGAGCACGGATTAAACTAACAGAATTCAACGTTTGAGGCACGCAAAATATAGCTTTCACATCCGCATGGTTAGAAATGTACTTGACTGCATCTGGACCTGCAAAGAAACAAAGCGTTCTATTCAGCATCTTAATAATAGGCCAATTCAACAAACATTAAATTAGAAAAGAGAGCATAAGGCCAGCGGCAAACCTAGTGTGTCATATAAAGGAACTGATACAAGAGAATATGCAGAGCAAGCATGATCAACAATGAGCCACTCTGGTCTATTGATGAAATATATTCCAACACAAGAGCCCTGGCATGATAGAAGTAGTAAAACCACATGCTACATGATGAACAATCTCTTAACTTAAATCGGGTATGTTACATGATGAACATAACTATTCCCGAAATCTCACCTTTGGTATTCCGTGATTTATTAGGCCGGAACCTATGGCTGCCCGAGCTGTTCCAGCTTCTCCATATGTCATCCACTTGTAGCTTGATGAATAAGAAGAAAAAATCAAATTTAATGAATGAACTTTGAAAACCATCACTATGACACTCATTTTGACAATAGGAAACTTACTGTCCAACTTTACCATCGTCGCCGATTCTTGTACCTAGATATTTGTAATCGCAGAAGGTATCAACCGCATATCTAAATAATTAGAAAGGAAAAAGGATTAAGAGAATGCTTAGTAGAAATTATCATGCAACGTATAGCAATACGACCAGAGACTACTAAATTTAAACTTGGTTCAGCCTGGAAAACGAGGATGCTTACTCGAAATTATCATGCAATGTACCGATACTGGGATGATCTGGAAATCTAGTCACGAGATTAAATGGAAAGCGAGCAGATCTGCGGTTTGGCACCAAAATGAGAACAGCTGAAAATAGAAGGGGCAATGCATAGCAAAAAACCACATAGTATAGTAGCAGAATTGTACCTGTATACATTCCATTTTCCAGTCTGCAGTTTCTCAGGCAGAACGACACTATAACCCTGCTCTGCTCGAAAATAAATATCGATATATATCAGTTAAAAATCAGATAAAAACTAATGCATATTGTTCATTTCAATCGATAATCGGATATATATAAAAGCTAAGGATTAAAGAAACAAATGTTATACACCATGTTTCACTTCTCCGAAAAAGAAAATGGCATTAGTTTTGCCTCTAATGAATTAATTACTCTACCCCCACATCACCAGCACAAAATGAATTCGATTTGTTCATGGAAAACGACATTGGAAAACCCATAAAAGTACAAATCTCAAAATCAGCAAAATAAGAAGAACCAGCTTAAGCAATCAACTTTATGATTTCTACGAAATAATTCCCAGATCAAAAAAGAGTAAGAATCTTCTTTTCCCCTTTTAAATTTAAGAACAACCAATCGAACCCAAGGGCATCTACTATTCTTTTCAGCCATTGACCGTTTTACACTAGCTGAAAAGAAGGGAAAAAATTACAACTTTTAAAAATTAAAACAGGTCAACTATAACACACGTACCGTAGAGGAATTCACCGGCGGTTGGATTAGCATGGAGGACGGGATGAATAGAGGCGGCGGCGGCGGGAACAAGGTGGCCGTGAATGGCGGTAAGTCGACGTTCAGCAACGCTTGAATCCATTAGAGAGCTTAGCGTAAACCTGTCTCTTTCTTTCTTTTCCCAAAAGTATGGTTCAGATAAAGATGAACGGGTTTTTAGACTTTTTCAGACATTATTGTCGTCTTGGTTTCTTATGGCAAAAGCGTCATTAAAGAGCCTTTTGCCTTTACATTTAAATTACTCATATAATATTTAAATTATTAGTTGACCTATTTTAATATCTAAATTTAAATTTTTAAAATTATATTTAAAAATTAATTTTTATTTTATTTTAATATCTTATTATTAAAAAACTAAATTTGTTTAGTACTTAAACTATTAATTTTAGTTTATTTTTAATTTTTTTCAAAACTTAACTTAAAATTTTGAATATGGAATTAAAATATAATAAAAACTAAACTTTACGTATGATTTTAAAAAATTAAAAGTTTATATATAAAATGATCAAATCAGATAGTTTATATATTAAATACGTAATTTACCTTTTATATATTAAAATTTTGAAATTTCTAAAGAGGTCAAATTATTTTTTTCCAAATTGAGGGGCAAATGTTAAAATTTTAGGGGGTTAATACCTTTTTGGTCAGTGTTATTATCTGTTTATATTTATGAAATATTTATTATAGTTAATATGTTGTCTTTAATGTTATATTAATTTATTATAAAATAATTATTATAATGTTATAGTAGTAACTATTTAATGATATGATATCATATGATAATTTTATAATTATTAGATCAAGTTTAATAATTACTTTATATAATCTAATAAATTTTTAAAATTCAATGATTAAATAATCATTTGATTTTAAATATATTTTACCCAATATATTAATAATTATTTTCTGTCTGAAAGCTTTAGCGCCGCCGCTGCTTTTGTCTCTACTTTTTTCCATTTTGCCGACTGTTGTAAAACAGTCAATAGGGTACATTTGAACAGCCATGATCGTGAATGTAATTTACTTAAATAATATTGAATTGAAAACAATATATATATATATATGTGTGTGTGTGTGAATAAGAACCACACATGATAAAACTTAAACGAGAAAAAAATATTTTTCAAAAAATTATAAAATTAAATTATAAAATTTTAGGGATTCAAAATACAGTTATTTGATAGTATTTGAAGTAGCTAAAATAAAAATTTATATTTTAGAGGGGGCAAAATGTAATTTCTACCTTATATTAACTTAAGATAATAAATTTAAAGGACTTAAAATGGAATTTCAATTTTGTGGAGATGTTATCTTATGCAATTGTGTTACTTCATCGTTCACACAGGGGTATATGTAGTAGGTACGTTTGGTTCGGAAGGTAAAATTACTAGTGGGAATGTAAGATTACCAGGGAATAGGATTACTGGGAATGTAAGATTACCAGAGAATAAGATTACTTGGAATGTAAGATTACCAGGGAATATGATTACTGGAATGTTGTATTTTGTGTTTGGTTGGTTTAGCAGGAATGTAAGATTACCATGTTTGGTTAAAGAAATAAAAGATTATTGAAATGTATATTTGAACAAATTATCCTTATTATATATTTGTTTTTTTAACAAGTTGAAAAATATTTATATAATTTATTTAAAAAATTTAAATTCATAAAATTTATATATATATTTTTTTTGACAAAATTGACAATATAAAAAGATTTATTGAAAGAGTAAAATTTTATTTTAACCCCGAATTTCATATAAAATTTTAATTATATATATTTTGTAAATTTAAAATAGTACAAATTTATCCTTCGTATAATTTTTATTATTCAATTATAGAAGAATGATATTTTTGAAGAATTTTTTAAGGGCATTTTAATCCAAAACGTCGGCAATCCAACAATACCTAAGAACGGGAGGTAATGACATTCCCGATAATATATCCAAAAATAATCTACTATTGGTAATAAAACATTACCGGGAATGAGATTCCCGACCAACCTAACATGGGATTTTGAATTTCATTCTTATAGGAATCCCACATTCCTTTATCCAAACACCCCCTAAAGAAAGTATCTTCGTACCCATTATTTTAAAAGAATTATTTAATTTGATTTAATTTAATTAATTAAGGAAAAAATAAGAAAAATTACATATTCATTATTTTTAAAGGAATATTATATATGCATTATTTTGAGAAAATTATTTGATTTGATTTAAATTATTAAGGAGAATAAAAAAATTTACATATCATCAGGAATAACGGGTAAACTACACAAATGGTCATTAATGTTTGAGTAATTTTTTCAATTAAAGTTTTAAAAGTAATAAATTGGTCATAATATTATCGATTTATTACAAATCGGTCCCTCACTCTTAACGGCCGGTAAAAGTTTGCCATATTCAACAGTTTAAGAATTGTAGACAAGGATAATCTTCTTATCCTCTGCAGCACTCGCCACCACTAAATCTGCCATAAACATTTGCTCAGCGGGAATCACTTCAAATGGCTAAACACAAGTAAAACCAAAACATCACTCAAAAAAAGTAAAACCAGAACAGAACTGAATTTGGCTATTCTTGTTAATGCAGACGAGATTCCATGCAGCTCTCATATTCCCATAAGCATCAAAATACCCTTAAATGCTATTTGCTTTCCATGAGTTGTTTTTCACGTGTCATGCATGAAGAAAAAGGAGGATTCATTGAGGAGTGCTGGTTAAGTTTCCATTTCAAGCTTCATTTTTCATTTTTTATTCATTTTAATCACTGCCTCTTCTTTAAATATCGCTGCCTGTGTTCTGTGGTGCCCCAAAGCTGCTGCATACCCTAACCATGTAACCCCCTAGGATTTAAAGTTTGAATGGAGGTTTTTTAGATTTTAGGTTTCAAAAAGAAAATAAAATGGGAAGTATTTGTTCTCTGCTGAAGAAGAAGAAGAAAAACAAACGAGGGTCAGTTCATGTTAGGTTGAAAGTCCATACGCTGCCGTTTTGCCCTCCATCCTTCTGCGATATGCGTGTGATCAGTTTAGGTTGAAAGCCCATGCCTTTCTTTTTGTGGATTATTTACAAGTTGAGGGCTTATATGTTTGTATTACTTGTGATTTGGTCACTGGTGGGTGAGCTGTAGTTATTTATTCATTTATTTTCGATTTGAGCTCAGCGATATATTATTATAGTTTGTTGTAGTGATATACACGTGCAACTCTATGTTACATTTACGTCATAATTCATTTTGTATGCATCATATGTTATATTCACATGCTATAGTAATATTATGTTTTTATTTTTTTATTAAGTTAAATTGATTATAAAATAATATTTATTCTAAGTACTCTCAATCACCCTACTGCAGTCATTGATGCTCGAACATGTGACCTCTAGGAACAACAACGATTCTTTTAACTACTAAAGTAACTTGGTTCGTGTATTTGTATCTTACTTCTATATATATATTGGTATTGATAACAATAAGTTTTATTTTCTTCTTTTACTTTATGTGCCTCTAGTCGGAGCTATGGCAGTGATTGCAAGTATTGCAGTCATGCAATAATGGTATCGGTATCGTTAGTTATATGAAGTCAAAATCCCTAACTAATTTATGCTTGATTTTGTTTAGGACCTACAAGACCAATATCATGTATAAGAATTTGTTACAAGAATTGACATAACGATTCTCCATGCAGCTTTCACTGTATCAAACTTCTGACGTAGGACCTCTGCATGCACTAAAGTTTCAGTCAACTATGTTTGTGGATGGAACATAAGCAGGGTTAGTGGGGGCTATGCCCCTCCAAATTTTAAAAATTATAATTTAGACATTTTAAATTTTCAAAAAAGTTATTTGGTCCCCCTAAATTTTTAAAAATTCTGATTATATTTTAAATTTTTTTAATGTCCTTAATTAAATCTCCTCTCATAATTTGTTAAAAGAATTCTTATTAAGTTTCTCAAAATTTTGAACATTTTAGTTAGACCCTAATATTTTTGGGGGAAATATAAATTAAACCCTTTAAAAATTTTGAAAATTTTAATTTAAACTTCCAAATATTTTAAAGTTTTAAGTTGCCAACCCCTAAACTTTATCACCAAGTTCCGCCACCGCTGCTAAGCGTGCATTGGATTCGATCTCAATCAGATTGAAAGATGAAGGTTGGTCTCTTGATCATGTGGTCTGTTTCTTTCATCTTCCTTTGTTTAGATGTTTGTTGGTTATTCATAGCTGTTTGTCTTGAAACATACTTGTCAAATTGGTACATATTTAGTCTCATTGTATCTATCATATCTTGGTCCATTGTTAAAAAGAGGACAAAGTTTGATAAGGTGTTTGACTTTGATATCATGTTTTGTCTACTATCATTGTTAATTATATATAATTAACGACTAAATTTGGAAATCCTTGTGATATTGATAGGCCTGTAAACGAACCGAACGCACACGAACGGAGGTATGTTCATGTTCGTTCATTTAATAAATAAACGAACAACAAAATTTTTTTTGTTCATGTTTGTTCATTGAGGAATATAGCTTGTTCATGTTCGTTCATTTAAATGATAATCGAACGTAAACGAACACAAACGAACGAACATAAACGAACAACACAAACACAAAAAACAAACTTATTCAAACACAACAAATGAATGTAAAAAAAAGTAAACAACAAGAATAACAACTTAAAATTCATTAATATAACATGCAACTTTAGAGTTAATTTGTTTGAATACAACAAAAACATACATAAATCATAATAAGCTATATGAACATAATAAAATCTTAAAGTTAATTTGTTCAACAAAGCAATCTTCTTGAAATCCAAACAACTTCAATAATCTTCTTAATATATTCAACTTGTCCTCTGTTCGAACATAAATGAACGAACATATAATTGAACGTTCACAAACGTAAATGAACGAACTAGCCCTTTGTTTGTGTTCGTTCATTTAATTAAACGAACGTAAAATCTTGTTCATGTTGTAACGAACTTCCCGCCGAACAGTTTATGAACGGATATCGAAATATCATTATAATTGACCTCCTAAGCCTTTAAAAATGCATTTAGTATCCCTTGTTTCTTGACTTTCAAACATATTTATCTCCATTTCCTTGGTTTTCACCTTTGGAGTGTGAATGAAACTAGGAAATGGAAAATGTTTTCTGAAACTAAGGATCCTTAAATAGGTACAAAACTTTGATATTCGCTTTTGGGTTTTGCTAAACTGTTTGTGGCTGGTCGGTACATTAGGATATCAAGCTTAGCAAGACTGTCTTGTATGAATTTGCGAGCAAGATGGAACTGGAATCGCCAGATTACGAAGCCATTCAGTTTGGGGGACGCCTCCCTTTTTGTGTGTGTACTTTGTCTTTCAAGGGTGTGAAATGCAGGGGGCAAAATGGTAGAACAAAGAAAGTGGCTGAACAATTAGCTGCTCGCGCTGTCAACCAATCCCTTCTTGGTGTCATTCTTCTCCGTTGAAGAAAACTACACATATTTTTCCATGATTTTAATCAACTTAGCTGGATGAGTTTCTGATATTTTTGTTTGACCAATAATGCAGTTGATGATAGGCATGTGAGAGATGTTTCAGGTATCATCAGACCCAAAGCTAAACTTGAGGCAAACAGTGTGCCAATTAGACCTGACAAACTTGACCCGAACCCGATACCCGATAACCGAACATGATGATCAAATTTGATCCGAAACCCGAATTATACCCGATCCAAAATTTAGCAAGACGTTCTGTTGTTCTGAAGTAAAACTAACTGTTTCAATATTAGGAGCAGCTGCTAAGAAACTTTTGCTAGTCGGGCAATAGCGGATGAGGTGAAAGAAATAGTTGTTCCTTGTGCATGCCTTTTTAATTTGTTGCTAAAAAGTAGACCTGGTGGAAATTGTGTTCTTTGTGATTTGCCTTTTTATTCGGTTAAAACGTCACGGAGAAGATAATATTTTTAGTTTAACCTAAAATGTTATCCTGTCTAATCTAAAAAATGTACGAATTTATAATATTTTTCATTGTAATCGATTTTTTTACACTTTTTAATTTTACGTTAACAAGTTATATTTTAAATTCCCTCGAAGGTCTTGCAGTAAGGGAGTAAACGGAGGGTTGTTGAGATTTTAACATTTACACTATTTAAGTTTTAAAATTATGAGTAATTTGATGTTTTAAAACTTTTAAAATTAAAATAGATTATTAATTTTTATGACGGTCGTCAGCAGAATACGTTTTTACAGTCTAATTTAACCTATGCTTGTAGCATTTGGGATTAATTGTTGTCATTTTAGGTTTGGGAGGGATTCTCTTACACTACAGTAAAATTGAGTTTTACATACCTTCATAAAATTTCACCGAATTTCTTTTTAAAAAATAACGTTAGCCGCGTTTTCATTTTGCAACGAGGCGTTAAATACATTTGGTACAGCCGTACAGGGTTGTAAAAAATTACCCCATCTATAAAACTGATTGAAATCAATTTGAATCAGAACTGGTTGTGACCTGAGGTAGTGGCGATTCGAAATCAATTCGAGTTCAAATTTGTCTTGACTTGAACTTGAGTTGGTCCTGATAATTTTGAATCTAAACCCTATCTAAGAACAACCTAAACTCGAATTGAACCTCATAATGTGATAAATGAACCCGACCTATTATGCACCCAAACCTGAAATAACATGATAAATGATTGATATTACCTAATATGTTATCAACCTGACCTATAATTGACTCAACTAATAAATGATCTAACTTGTTATTGAATTAATTTGATATTAACCGGATTTGGTATTCACCTGACTCGTAAGTTACAAATGTAATTGATGAAATTGTTAGATTATAAATTTATTATTATATTATAATATGGAAAAATAATTTTTTACTATTTAAGGTACATAATTAACTATTATCATCAAATAATATTTTTACTTTTATATTTATAATTTGTAACCCATAAATATTCAAATTTTTATTAAATTAATAACTTGTGATTGATAAAGCTAATAAAAACAATTATTTACAATTTAAAAAATATTAATATGATCATTAGATTAATAAAGTTAGCTATGATCAAATTAATAAATGTTTTTATATTCATTATCATCGGACGCTCCGCGCGCCGTTTGGTCGAGATCCAACAGAAACACGGGCACGCTCGATCCCCACAGTCATCACTACATTTATCTGCACATACCTTGACCAAATCATATATATATATAAAAGGTAATTTTGAAACCTAAGTGAGCGATAAATCCGAAAGCTACGTAACCGATAAATCCGAAAAGTAGATGTACACTATCGTCCTTTTAGAACAGCTCCATCAACTGCTGCGCGACATCTGCAAGCATCAAACGGAGATTTATCACATTGCATTATAAGCAATAGGAAATGACCATCCAGCTCAATTAGTAAAGCAAAAGGTTCTTAACCTTGAGGTCGTGGGATCGAGTTCCATAGAGGGCATTTTATAATTCGGAGGTCTCCTACGGAAGCTGCTCTCAACCTAGTGTTGGAGACAGCCTACTATCTTACCTCCCCTTATCCCATTACACATGTGAACAATGGACAACCATTTTTTATTATAAGCATACAAAAAAGTTAGAGTTGATAATCACGTAAGTTCAGATTAGTTTCACGTAATTTTAACTTTTACACGTGACATTCTCGAGTTACATTCGATTAAAGTCTTCGAAATTAAAAACATTGTGGATTCTCACATGCTTGCAAATATAATGTAAGGATTACCTTGGAGAATAGTCGGAGTTGTTCGAAATTCTCGCCAGATAAGCAGCTCCGGCAGCAATGTGATGGGGCTTGAACTGAAGCCACAATGAGCTCCTGAGCCTGCAAAATAGATGTCACACCTCAACACCTCAATAAAATTAACAGAAAGAAAGTTAGAGCATGACATCGATCATTGTTTTATTAGATGCGGAGTGACATAAACAATGAAAAGAACAGGCAAAGGCTTCAAGAACTTGGCACATATCACCACAACCACGCGTCAACAAAAAATACTACTACAAGATATGATCGAAACAGTGATTTGAAGTGAAAAAGAACAAGTCATTTTTCCTTACCAATGGAAGCAACACCAGGTAGAATATATTCCAAGAATCTCTGGCACCATGGCTCACAGAGTATGAAAACTATAGCAACTATGTTACATCCATCTAGAGAACAAATCAGTTCCAGTCCAATCTGCAGTGCTTCTAAGTCCAGTAGTATACACACAAAAAAACACAGGACAGAGTAGAGCGCAATGTAGATATCAAGCAAGGCTCTTTAGCCCATTAGTCATCGGAACAGGCTTGTCAACAAGCATGTCACTGCTCATGGTTAACGAGCATACGTGCCACAACACCAATTACACAGAACTAAGGCAGGCAAGAGATGACGCTATGAGCGATATATCTGTATTATTATGTACACCATTTTAAAATAGTATATACAGATGTCCTTTGTTAGTAAACCACGACTCAAGGGGAAACCAAAAAATAAGGAAAATGAAGAAATCTTAAAATCTAAGGAAGGTAAGACATGACACAATAGGCTATATTTGACACCTACTCTTGTAACATATAATATATATGTATTACCCGAAAGAATGCTTCGAAAGAATGCTTCGAACGAAGCTGATGCCCCTTGTTAACCAACCACAACTTAAAACATAGAAAGGGATAGAAAAGAAATTGGGTCAAAAAGAATAAAAATTTTGAAAAAAAAAAACTTAAAATATGGAAACTGGGGAACCTACTATGGGCAGCAATAAATAGTTGATGACTGGGTAAAAACACAGCTGCATACACACACGCAGGCACATTTCATATATGTATTAATAATTTCAATAAATATGTTTTTCTTCAAATTTAAAAAGGTTAACCTCCCCTCATCTCGGTATGGCAGTGGAAGAACCAACAAGGATTACGGTAAATAACTTCCAAGCATATCTGATGCACTCTTGATTATGGGGAAAGTATTCCTCCATAAAAATAGCAGGCACTAAAACACGGTGTCATGTGAATCAGAATGCATAAATGGAATGTGTTCTATCCAACTTTCTATAGTAAGCTCTTTTTATGTAAGCCATAATATTTTATGTTTCTGAAGCATGCTAATGCAGGATCAATCACAAGCTGTTTCTAAAACGTTTTGAACTGTAAATGCACAATTTAATGCTTAAAGAAAATAAGCTGAGAGTCTAAACTAACATTTAGCTGATGCACATGAATTTCATCCAAATTTGCTTCACTACCACTAAGCTGCAGTCTAATCATGGTTGGAATATGTTTTTCAAGGATGAAAATAATAAAAAGGCAAATATATTTAAAAGCATTTCACTTTTACCCTGCTAAAGAGCTAAATCTTATCTACATTTCTTAGCAAGGAAAAATCAGAAGAACTTCCAGATTACTTACTACAGGGAGCACGTAAGATAAGAATGTAATATCCTGCTTATGGAGTATTTCACAAGAAGTTCTCAACACATTGTTCAAAGGACGAGGCGTCTCCTCAGACTTTGCAGCAAGGAAAAGAGCAGCAGTAGCAATTAACTGCAACAGAGGCAATGTGTTAATAAACTAGCATATATGGCCCTGCTTATGCTCATTGACATTTTCATTTTAAGACAATTAGCACATACAAATCACTTATAATTTGTTTTTTTAATTAAAATAAATAAATGAAAACTTCCCTTGAGGTTAAAAAATGGCAAAATACAACTTGACCTAAACCCTAATAGCTTCATAAATTAATATTTAAGAATATATGTGTGACAACAATCAAGATCGAAAATATAACAAGGTCAAGCAAGCAAGAGAGCATCAAACTTACAAAAGGTTTAAGAATAGCATTCAGTAATAAAAAGGTGTCTAAAGATTGGAACATAACTTAAGTTACACAAACAACAATTTTTTTCTTATGCTTATAACATAATTTTGAAACATTGTTAACCTTTAAAGCCTGCTGCTTTTGAAGTTTGAAAACTAAACTTGTGGTGTAAAGGATAATTTTTCATAAATAAGGGAGCAATAAATTCCTTAAGCATAAGTATTTGAAACTCACAAATCTATCATGGCAAGCATGTGATCTCCAAACAAAAAACCGATGACGCATTACCATGGCAGTGCCAATGGTAGTTTGTGGCCTGCAAACACAATACATAATTGATTATGACAAGGAAAATTTCATAAATGATTTTAAGAACAAAGTAAACGAAATAGAATACAAGATTGATGGCTCACAATTCAAGCTGCAAACCAAGGTTCTGAATGAAGGCACAATAAGAATAGCGTAGATGTGTTTCACGAAGTGCATCGATACCATCTCTTCTTGAAGGTGAACATCGCTCAATCTCATCCTTGGACATGAAGACGGATTCATCATCATCCAACCATGGTCTATCACGTTTATTGCTGACAGATGTAGAGGGTTCAGCATTTGATCTTATAGGAGGATGAATGAAATTACTGGATTCCAATGAAGCAGCCAGGCAATGCTTGCTATATGGCGGGTAGTTTCTGCCACTGTCTCCCCAAGAAGCATCAGAAAACTTTCTTCTTTTCAAAGGAGCACAATTTGGTTGTGCATGCTGATAACCTCTATTATGTTCCCCAAACTGCCCAAAGTACTCATGGGCATGGTTAAAAATCCTGGTAGTGTCGCTACTCCAGTTCCCATTCCTTTTCCTGTAGTTATCGGAACTGTGGGTATTGTAGTTATTTCTATTGCAAGTGACAATTCCGTGTAAAAGAAATTCCTTATATCTTTTTTTGAAGTAAACCTGATAAAGGCATAACCATACCTTTATGCAAAATTATGCTACTCCCATTTACCTGTTTTACTTTTTCCCTTAATTTTAAGGCATAAAAATAGAAGTTTGAACCTTTAGGCTCAAAACAACATTTTAAAAAGCAACATGTTAGAATTTGGTCAATCAATTTACCCTACCAAGCAAATCCATTCCTCAGATGCTTGATCTTGCTATATTTCCCTTCTAATGGAAGATATTTATCAATTTCATTCGCTCTAACCATACCTAACACTAGTAAGAAGGGCATCCTAAATCCTAATAATGAAACAATTCAAGGAACCAAAAACAAAAAAGATCCAAGTTAACCCAAAAAATTCGAAGCTTCTTCTACATAAAAAAAAAATACAATATCCGAATCAAACACACGCAAAACCCAAAACATTGAAGAAAAAGCTGATACCATGAGAAAAATCTTAAAATCTTGACGTACATATTATATCAAAGTTCGGGATTCAAAAATCAACCTTCTTCACGCAGATTTCCAAAGAAACTGTCGATTAATCGTCAAAACGAAAACAAAATTTAAGATAAAATTAAAATAATTATCACCTGAATTTAAATAGAAAAGATCGAGTAACCGTGATTTGAGATCCCAAAATCAGATGAGTTGGGGTTTTGAATAAAAGGAAGGCAATCGGTGAGAGAGGAAAAAATAGGATTTCAAAGCATATGGAGTGTATGTATTTATAATTTTGCTTAATTTGAAACCTAACCCCTTTTAGTTTAATATAATCAATGGTTCATTTCGGTTAAATTGTTTATTATTTTTAATTAATTTTCATTAGTTTTTAATGAAGTGATTAAATTATAACTGATGCGATTATTGTTTTTCGTCTTATAATGTTGGCCAATATCGATGATATCGATTTATATCAAGAAATTCTATTATATCAAATTAAAATACGCTGATGTCGTTTAAATAAGTTTCGAGTTAGAGTTTTTATATATACAGAAAAACACCGCTGAGAGGCACACCGATCAAAGTTAGGTACGCGAAGTCGTTTAGTCCGGATTAGTCGGGAGATGAGCATGGCTCGGGTCGAGACGGATTTTCAATCCACTCGAACTAAAAAATATACACATTCCATCCGACCCGAACCTGACCTTGTTTTTTGAGGTAAAATCTGAACTCGACCCAATCCGACCAAAAATAATATATTTATCAAAAAATATTATTTTTATTCAATAAAAATAGTAATTTAATTAAAAGAAAATAATATATAGATATATATTATTGCAATTATCACTACATATATATAAGGTAAAATTATAGTTTTTGTGGGTCTGGTCGGGTACTTTTTACGCTAAACTTGAATTCGACCCGAACATAAACTTAAAAATCCGACCCGACTTGAACCTGAATTTTTTTAAAAAAAATCTGACCCGATTAGATCGAATCGGATTGAAACCCATCAAGTTCGGTCCCATGTCTATCCCTAATCGGGACAAAACCCTAAAAACCAAAAGAACAACAAAAATAATATAGAGTCATGAATAAACAATCTCGATAGTCAAATGGGTATTTGTTATTCTTAAATATCTCAAGTTCGACCCCGAGTTCGATGTGTAAGGTACGCCAACCATAATGATCCAGAGTTGACTTAATTAGAAATCTCTACTGCCGTAAATAACTTAATGAATTTTGGTGGACTAATTTTAATTTTGGACTTGGAAGCTACGCCTTTACAGAATTATTATCTATAATTATGTATCTGAATATGAAAAATTATGCATATTAAAATTTGGGGTAAATTCAGAGTTTAGTACTTAAAATATCATTTTAATCTATTTTAGTATCTACATTATTGATTTTCCAAATTCATACTTGACATTGAGTTTTTATTTCATTTTAATACCCATCATCTTAACGCATTTAGTATCTAAACTATCAATTTTAATTTATTTTAGTACATAAACTTTTAACTTTTTTAAATTTAACGTTAATTTTAATAGGTACGGAAATTAAACAAAAATTAAATATTATATATAATTTTATTAAAAATTTAAATACTGAAACAAAGTAAAACTGATATTTTAATTACTAAATGTGTAGTTTATCCAGTTCTTTGCACCGTTTACCCGCGTTAGTGTTCATACTGTCAGCCTATGACTTTAGACCCAATGAATCCTATTTCCCCAAAATCAGCCGAAAATAAGTTAATGGTCCCCGTGACCAAATGGGCCTAAGAATAAGTTATTAAATTTTAAAATTTTATATAAGTATAATAATATATTTGTTATCGAGTTGGGTTTTTTATAGAAAAAATCGAGTTCCGGTCGAATTAGGTTTTCTAAATATAAGTTTGGATCGGATTGATTTTAGGACGAAAAATACTTGATTCAACCCGATTTGAAAATAATATAATCATATCTCATATATTTAGGGATAATTATAATAATATCTCTCTATGTATTATTTTTCAATTAAACCTCTATTTTATCAAAGAAAATTAATGTTTTTATAAATATATTTATTTTGAATAGGTTCATGTCGGAGTTAGATTTTACCTCATAAGAAAAACTGGTTTTCGAGTGGGATAAAATTGTCCTAAATCTGAATTGGGTCAAATTCCAAACAAAATTGTATATTTTTCGAATCGAATGAGAAATCCGACCCATACATATTAGTGGTAGCCAAAAGTCTCACACGTCCATTTTATTATATGGTTCTATAAACACTTAATTTATGGTGGATAAATATAAATACCTAATTGACAACCTTTCTTGAAAATATTGTCAGAAATAATAGAGAGAAAATAAAGTAATTTTAAATGGATTTTAGGTGCAATAATCAATGCAAAGTTAAACGCTTTTAATTTGTTTGTGGGCCAATCAAGAATCAAATTATTATTTTTGGATAATACTGGTACCTATACTTTAATGAAATATCTAATATGGTATATTTTTTTGACAATATAAAAATTGCTAGTTTTATTAAAAGCATAGTTTTCAGAACCGGACCGGTTAGCGAACCGGACCAGTTAGCGAACCAGGCATGTTATCGGTTCACTGGTTCAATCAGTTGAACCGGTTCGACCGGTCGGAAAAACCGGACGACGTCATAATTATTTAAAAAATTAAATAAAAATACCAAAAATATTTAATAAAAAATAATTTTGTATATCACAAGTCATATTCAAAGCAAGTCATAACATATATGAGTTAAAAACCATAAAATCAAGTGAAACAAAATGATTCAAATTAACTACAATATAATATTTAAGATAAAACATATTAAATAATAAATATAATTATATAACTATAATTAAAAAATAAATTTGGGGCTCAAAAATCATAACAAAATGATATTGTTTGGTTTATTTAAAAAAAAAACAATCTCACATGGCTAAGAAACATAGAAGAATATTCCAAAAGTCTAAAGAGAAAATATGAGAACAAAACAATCCACATGGCTAAGAAACATAGAAGAGCATCCCAACTAACTTCTATAAATAATAGAGGTAATTTAATATTTAAAATCATGGAGCCTTTTGGTGAGCATAGAGTGGACTATTCTTTCACTTCAATCAAGCTCGAATTTTAGGCTTCAATCGAGCTTCTAAATTTTTTTTGAGTTCAAGCATTTTCGAGTTCAAGTTTCAATATTATATTTCGAGTTCGAGTTGAACTTTATAATTTTTAGTTCGTGAGTTTGAGTCGAGTTGAGCTTACTTTTAAAGTTTGAGTCGAGCTCAGCAATACTCGAGTTCGACTTGGCTCGTTTAACAAACAACGTCGTTTGGTTTAATTTTAAAAAAAAATAAAATTGGCAGTTTTTTTCCGATTTTTCCCGGTTTTCACCCGGTCCGGTTCGAGCGGTTCAACGGTTCTGGCCGGTTCACTAATAACGGTTCAACCAGTTTAGTTTGAACCGGACTAGGCAACGGTTCTCGATTGAACCGGCCGGTCCGGTCTCGTTTTCAAAACAATGATTAAAAGTAAAAAATATTTAGGTTACAATGAATCTTTACGACCACGACCGTAAACTAAACATGTATTAAGGATATTTTTCTATAATCATTAACACAATAAACTAACAACTTAAGATAATACAAATATTGTATAAGGGGAAAGTTAAAAATTTTAATCAAATAAACTCGATAAAAGGTATATATGAATAAATCTGATGACATCGACGCAAAAACAATAAAAAAGATCAAGTTATTGAAATACCACCGATAAATAAAAATAAATATCAAGTGACGCGAGAAAATCATATACGAATGCAAAATCGCATATCCAAATCTGATCCAAATATCAAAAAAAAAAATTCAACATGATAATAAATAAACGACGTTTCTATCATCCATGATGCTAACAAATCCAATTACATTAACAATATATTCCATTTAACATTACAGTTAAAAATCACTTTTCAAATCAAACGTAAAAAATAAATTTTTAAATGTACTTTCTCAATCATATAGTTTTATTATAACTTTTTAAAAAAAAAACTAAACTAATTTTAAATATTATATTTTTATTTTTATTTTTATTTTGTAGTGATAAATATATAATTTTATTTTTGGGAGGATGAATTTATTATATTTTAAGGATGGAGACAAATTATTAATTAAAGATGTAAATAAAATATCTAAAAAATAAAAAAATTTAAAATTTTTAGCGAGAAGAATAAAAGGACCCCTCTCTTGGACTATCATTGATTCCGTGTACTATTAGATATATAAATCAACATTAAAATTTTATATCAATAACGAGAACTCATAGGTAATACATATAATGATAAAAATATCATTTAATGTCTAACGTTTAGTTTTTATTTCATTTTAGTACTCACTGTTAAAACTCAACATAAATATTAGAACTTAGCACTTTTTTATGGGTAAATTACACCATTCATCACTATCTGCTTACTCTTATTTTAGTCATTGAAGTTTATTTTTTTAAATTTAAGTACTACACTTTTAAACTACTCCTAATTTAATCACTCTAACTTTCAAATTTATTTTTTATTTTAATTATATATTACTAAAATAATAAAAGTATAATGTCACAAAATATTATTAATTAAATAAATTAGAGTGATTAAAACATGAACAATTTGAAAGTTGAGTGGTTAAATTGAATATTTTTAAACTTCAATGACCAAAATAAGAGCGAGAATATAATTAAGTGATGAATGATGTAATTTACTCATAAAAATGTCACATTATGTATAGTTTTGAAAATAAATTAAAAGTTTAAATACTAAAACGGATCAAAACTGATAGTTTAAGTACTAAACGCATAGTTTTCTCTCTCGTACTAAATCTATGTAACGTGAGTTAATTAATCAATTAATGATGATTATAAAATTAAATCTTTGCTTAAATTCAGTTTGCTTTGAAAGAAGAAGGCAAAGCTTTATACCCTTCGACTTATCCTATTAGCTAGCCTGTTCCGTCTTAAGCAGACAACATTACTCAATCAATTGTTATAATCTCATCGTCCTCCCCAATTTCCAAAGTCGCAAATATGGAGAATTTAAAGCACAAGAGCCTCTTATCCTATATAAAATCACAAAGCCCATGCATCACATATTCATATATTCCCCAGAAATCCTGAAACAAATGGCCCAGAAATCAACCACCGAACCGATTTCGACGTCCCGGATCTCATTCTCCAGCGATTTCTTCCTCGACGAAAGCAACGTCATCTCCATCAACCCGCATTCTCGACCCGAGGAGGAGCTGAAGAAGAAGGGCGGCGGCAGTGGTGGTGCCGGCGAGCTTTTCTGTCGAGTATTGCGGCGGTGCCGGGAGGAGCGTGACGGTAAAACCGGATTCAGAGGGAAAGAGGTTAACGAAGAGGAGGGGGGAAAAGCGGTGAAGAAAGAGGAGAGGAGGGCGAGTTGGTTCGTCGTCGGCGATGACGAGTTGTCACCGAGGCCGCCGAGATGCACGGTTTTGTGGAAGGAGTTGCTGAGGTTGAAGAAGCAGGGGGCTTCTTCTATGTTGCCATCGTCGTCTTCGAGGAGCAGTGTGAAGACGAGGAAATGGTTATTTGAACATAAGTGAAAAATCAATGAAGGTAGAGTTTGATACGACATTTTAAAGTTTTTTTTTTCGTTCGGATTTATTTTATATTTTTCATGTTTGGAGTCTGTGAGTATCTTTCTCAAGCACAGTGTGATTCTCACTAATAAGATACTGATTATATAAGTAAGGTTAAATTACATGTTTAGTATCTAAATTATTAATTTTAATCTTTTAGTATCTAGATTTTTTATTTTTTTAAAACAATACCTAAAATTTAGTTTTTGATTCATTTAATACTCAACCGATGAAAATTTTAGTTTTTATTTCATTTTAGTAATCCGTTCAAAATTTAATGTTACGTTTTAAAAATTTGTAAGTTTAAGTACTAAAATGAATTAAAATTGATAATTTAGATACTAAACGTATTAAGCTTTTAACGATAGGTACTAAAATGAAATGAAAAATAAACTTTAGATATGATTTTACAAAAATAAAAAATTTAAATACTAAAACCGACAAAAAAAATACTAAATTTACAGTTTATAATATAAGTAAAAATGAGATTTCTTAATATATTGATTTGAATCATATCACATTTAAATATTGTGCAGAGTTCATGAAATTTTAGGGTTCCACTGTTAATATTCGATTTTCATATATGTATTTTTGCCTTTTTTAAGATGAAAACTTCAAATGTTATAATTAAAATTTTCATAAGAGTAAAATTAAACCATTAAGATAAAATATTTTAAGAGTAACGTACACAATGATCCCTGATCGTATGGTACTATTTCATTAAGTTTATTAATTATTAAAAGTTATAAAATGATCATTTGACAATGTTACTTGGTTAAATCTTTTTACTATTAAAAGTTACAAACTCGACTATTTATTATGTTCCAAACTCGTTATTTTCGTTAAAAAAATTAGCATTTGTTTAAGCTGGCGTCAGCATACCAATTAAGATATGATAGTCATTTGAGATTCTAAGATCATAATTTATCAAATCATAGTCAATAGATTAACATTTAACTCAAAATACCATTCATTTTTAACGAGAAAGACGAATTTAGAACATAATGAATAATCTAGTGATCATTTTATAATTTTTAAAAGTAAAAAAACTCAACAAAACAAGACTCTATAATTAAAGAATTATTTTATAACTTTTAATAATCAATGCACTTAATAAAATAATACCCTATAATCGAAATACTTATATAATTTACCCTTACTTTATATAATCAATTACATAAGAATTTAAAATTTCTCGAAGATGAACACCCTTCTGATCCTAAACTCATGATTGAGTCATTATTATTATTATTATTATTTTGTTTTGATTGCCCTCTTGATTTCAAAGTTTCATCTTGACTAATCTGGAAACTGATTCGCATCATACACCTGACTTTGATGGGTGCTCAACAAATATTTTTTTACATACACAAGAACTCGAATTTGAAATTTACTTAAACGATATCAAATTGCTTATCACTTAAACCAACTTCTGTTGATCATAATTGAGTCATTGTTAACACCCAACAATCCCACAAAGTAATGGTCGGCGGTCCGACCGGAGTGCTTGAACCGGTAAGCTAAAAATAGAAATGGCGCAAACTATTGCAACTTTTGAAAACCATGAAACATAATAAAAACAAACTTAATTATTCTTCTGAATTTTTACATTTAATTATTTTCTAATCGAATTAACCGAAAAAACCGAACCAAATGATGTTACATAAGTGTTTATACCATGCATAAACAATATTAAACATTCATAAAATTACAATGCAAAAAGAAAAGAGTTAGTGAGGTATGATGAACAACGACCTAGATTTCAAGTAAACAAAGAATCAAACCAACTCGAATATCGATTGGTTTCGATATTCGAGTATAGCCAAACCAACTCGAATATCGACTAGTTTTTCGAGTGGGCCGAAATCGACTATTTCGACCATTCGAGTTGTGTGAAGTTACCTCTGGACGCATGTATAATATACTTAAGAAGGTGGTGGTGTCAAAAACTGATTCCCGGAAGTCCTAAAACGAATCCAGAGCTTAGTTTTAGTTTGAAGTCAAGGTTTAAAGATGCAAGTGTACAAGACTATTGTAAATTGATACTCACCTAACTTCGAGCCTCGGTCTTCCGACAAGGGTATCGGGTATCCGGCCAGTCAGATTGTTGTTCTGCAAGAACCTACAAGACGAAGAGAACCGAGTCGGGAACAAAGGGTCAAAACAGGTTTTCAGATGGGCTAGCCACTAGAACAGTATAGATGGAGAGGTACACTTAAAATCACATGCATATCTGCCATCGATGTTATCCGGACTCCGGGTGAGTGTTGAATACAAATATGCTTAAGGTAACATATGATGCTTTAAAGGTAAAGATAGTTATAGATGTAACAGGCTACGGAAAGTCACGAGGATATGAATGCCGGATATCGAGCGGATGACTTACAGTTCACGCAAGCTTTCAATGTCTCCTAGTGATGATGGAATCTCTCCAGTGAGCTGATTCTCTTCCAAATGCCTTAAACAGAAAGTGGAGCATATTAGATACATGTTCATAAAAAAGCTATAATAGAATGCTCATTTACCAACTGTTTGGGCTGCCAAATGAATCGAAGAGAGAAAAGATGATAGAATAATGAAGTTACAGTGTTTCCAGTAGCTTCAATGAGCTGAGATCCGGTATTACTCCCGATAAACTGTTATTACCGAGCCAACTGTCGAAGGAACGGAAAATTCAGTTAGAATGTTATTATCTCCGAATTTCATCGATGGCGATTTAGTTTAACAGCTTACATGCTACTCAGTGCTGTTAAATTGGCAATGCTTGGTGACAGTGACCCCGAAAGACCAATACCAGTCAGGTTCCTGGAAACAAATGAAGATAAAATAACCATTTTGAGCAACGATAAGATAAATGCATAGCTTTAAAACGCTGCATCTTAGTTAACTCACAAAGAAATCACACGAATTCGTTCACCCTCGGAGCATCGAACTCCGGTCCACGAGTAATCACGGGGCCGACAAGGATCACCACTCCAATCTAGTGGAGGGTTCCTCAAACTGTTCTTCATTCCTTCTAAAGCTATTACTGCAGCAAGATATTAAAAGTTCAATCAGTTCATGATTTAAATTACACGACAGTACGAAATAATAGTTGGCAAACATACCATCCCTTGTATGAGTTCTTCCTCCAAGGCGGAGAACATCGAAAATCTCCCCGGCATTGATCAACGGACTAGCATTCGAATCGGCAGCAGGACTTAGAGTTATCTTCGTAGCACCACGAAGAGGCCATCTGGTCGCGAAGACGGCAGCCCCTTCCGAACCCACAATCAAGTTGTTATAGTACCTTATATCATTTATGTGTATGTCGAATTCCCTGGAGCTGGCCGGCGAATCACCATTGTCCGCGAAATACAGAGCAATGTAATAAGTCGAGCTTGGGAGCGAGAAAGGCGGCCATCTCAACTCCAGGGATTCCGATCGAGCCGTTGAAAGTGCCCTTTCGAATACTTTTGAAGGGGGGATATTCCAGAACCCGGAAACTGACGGGACCGTATTGCTTGCTATAACAGACACATTTTCTTCATATGGCTCCCAATATCTATCAAATTGGTCATCAGGGTATCTGGTTGCCAAAAAAATCACAAAAAAAGTACAATAAACAACTCCAACTTCAAATTTCAATAATTCGAGAAGTCAGTGCAATCGGATAATAGTGTTAAACTTTGTCGATAAATCGTCGATGTGATCGGATAAAGAAACAGCAGTTAATCCATTTATACTTGTTATTTATCCAGAGAACGACCTCCGAAAATCACAAGTTCTCCGCCACATCGATCCCTCCGTCCACCGGAACCTCCAAAGAACCCCACTCTCCCGGATAAGTCATCGAGGCAGTTACTGTTTAATAGACGAGACCTCCGGACAAGACTTTTGACACACCCATGTGATTTGCCAGAATGATAGGAATAACCTACCGACCTACAAATATCCAACCATACGACGGACATACTAAAATCTATTGTAAATACCCCTAAACACAACTAAAACGGGGCCTGGCACCTCTGACAATCATCCTGTAATACAGAAACACTAGTTAACGACCGTCTTCTGACCGGCCGTAATTCTCCCTCAAACTAAAAGGAATGAACCGCTCACGGCGGACAACATAAACTTGTTACCCTCAACAATACTCAACAAATTAACAAAAAAGAAACCGTTCAAGTTCCCATACTCATCAACAAGTGGTCTAACTTCTCAATTTTTCTAAAATAAGAGTCAAATTCTGACAATATATATATGTATATATTAATATAGCTAAATACCTGGTCCATAAAACTTTGACTTACCCGATAATGGATCCATTGTGCCCAAAACTGTGCCTAGCAACCAACCTCAAAGCATGAGAATCAAAATTCGTAGTATTATAAAGCGAGCCCCCCAAAATCAGCATTTCCAAGCTCGAAATAAACGGGTCGGACACCGTATACGTGTTCGAAGCAATGCACACACTCATGGTACTCCCTTTAGCTTCAAACACGCCTTCGTAATACGACGACAGGCCTTTTGAATAATCCTCCGTCGTGTTCACCACGCTCCAGAACGTGCCGTCCACAATCTGATCGAAAACGGGAGGCGAAGGGAAATCCAACCCGTTGACCCCGCCGTAGTAGTAAGTTGACCTGATCAAGTACCTCGCGCCGCGGTAGACGCGTGCCACGTAGCAGAACTTCCTCCGGAGACCGTTCCGAATAGGGAAAGATCGGACGGTGGAGAGAGTTGGGACGAGGTTGGGAACGGTTAAGTTTTTTGCCGTTCCGGAGGAGATGAAACCGTCGTCGGTAAGCCATACTCTGCCGTCTATCATGGAACTCCCGATCGCGCCGCAATCAATTAAATATCCTAAAAAATGGTAATTTTCCACTTTAGCACCTCAGAATACTAATAAGTTAAATTAAGCCCTCGTCTCCCATTAAATAAACGGGAAGGTTGTACTTTTGACTCCTCCTAAAAACAAAATATTCAAATCAAATCCTTACCTTTGGGGGGCTGTTGCTGTTGTTGTTGGGATAAGGAAAGGGCGGGAAGGGAGAGAAAAAGGAAGGAAAGGTAGAGGAGGAAGGGAAAGGCCATGGTGGAAGGAGAGGAAATGAAAGAATTAGGGATTTGGGTGTTCTGGGAACGTCTTTTTGAATAAGAAAATGGGGTGAGTGAGGAGAGAAGAAAGGAATATGAAGGAAAAGAGACAGAGTCGGGGAGAAGGTGGAGGTGGAGTTGGAGAAGACGAAAGGAATTTCTATTTATTTATTTATTTAAACGCGGGAAAAATTTGGGCGGCCAGCTCAGGTCAGAGATTGGGGAATTTGGTATATTATTTAAATTTAGTTGTTACATAATGCTGATACACTAGCACAAGTAAAATCTTACAGAAGGGTCTTACCTTATTCAAATCTTACAGAAGGGTCTTACCTTATTGAAATTAATGTGAATCTCTTATTATTTTTTATTTCAATGTGATCATCAAATTCAGAAAACGAATTTATTGTGATTTTTAACTGTTACAGTGCTGATATGATAATCTATTTGTCGTGTTTGAATTACCAGTTTAGCTTTCTTTCATGTCATCTATCACGTTATCAACTATTGTGGATTGTTATGTCAGAATCGTAAATCTCGCATCAGCACCGTGAACTACCATGTTAGGTTAATAACGAAAAACTTTGATCAAAGGGTCACATTCGATTTATTTTCTGAATTGAATAGTCAAATTGAGAAAAAAATAATACAAGGGTCGAATGAATTTTTTTTAATTATAAAGACGTGATATTTTTTTATCTAATTAAAAAATTTATCATATGACCATTCTTTTATAGCATTTAAATTAAGTTAATAGAATAATAAAATAATAGTTGAAAATTTGGAAGTCCATCAATAATAAATTTTTTTCTTGAATTTATTAAATGAAATTAATAATAAAAGAATTAAATTAAATTAATTACAAAATTTAATTGTATATCTTCGATTCATTTATGATTTACACTATTAATCTTTTATCGTCTCAAATATGAATCTATTGAATTATTTTTAACTAACATAACATCACACCCGAATATATAACATCAACATTTGAATTCATAAGGATATCTCAAGTCAGTATGAAGAGTTAACGGTTAGTTAATTAATAATTTTTATTTAATCATGTTACATTTTACCTTAAAATAAAATATTATGAGTCAAAGTAATTAAAAAAATAAATATTAAAATGATTATTTTATCAAATATTAGGAGTAAATTAATCATTATTCCTTAAAAATATAAGGGTAAAGTACACAAATGGTTCCCTACTATAGGGTATTGCTTCAATAAGTCATTCGATTATTAAAAGTTATAAAATAATCATATAATTATAGAATATTACTTTATTAAGTCTCTCGACTATTAAAAGTTACAAAATAGTCATCTGATTATTCATTATGTTCCATACTCATCATTTTTTGTTAAAAATTATCGGTTGTCTAAGTTGATTTTTAAGTTACAAAATAGTCATCTGATTATTCATTATGTTCCATACTCATCATTTTTTGTTAAAAATTATCGGTTGTCTAAGTTGATTTTTAACATGATTACTGTGATATGATGGTCGTTTGAGATTTTTGGATCAGATTTTATCATATCACAGTCAACAAGTTAACGTTCAACTCAGACTACCATCAATTTTTAACAAAAAAAATGACAGATTTGGAACATAATGAATAGTCAGATGATCATTTTGTAATTTTTAATAATTGAGAGACTCAATAAAATAACACTTTATAATTTGAAGATCATTTTGTAATTTTAAATAGTCGATAACGTAATAAAATAATACCTTACGGTCAGGGACCATTTGTGTATATTATCAAAAATATAATTAAAAACAAATTTCTAAGGAAAAGAAATCAATTTTTTATACCCACCAATTTATAAAACTGATATGGAATTATATACGTAACAGCATTCCCCGTCATTTACGATAAAATCTGGGTTGTGATCCGCACAAAAGAGCAAAAATAACTCCTTTACATCAGTCCAGATGTGAAAAATTAAAAGATACAGAAGCACCCACTCATTCTAAGAGCGCCACGTATTGTCTTCCCAAACCACATCCGCTCTCGGTTCTCACCCTTTATTTCCCAGTCCAATTGCTTCCCTTAACCCATTTCTCCACTCCACACCGACCCAGAGCTAAGCTTTTCATCAGTCTCGTTTTGGGTTCCCTTTTTCCTTTCATCATTCATTCCAGTCCTCCGTTTTCAAAGGTAACTTTCTTCATGCTTTGACTGTACTAAGTTTCCGAGGGAAAGTGATGCAGTATTTGCTTGGGAATTGGGATGTTGTATGGTTCGACGTTTTGAATGAAGGTTTCTAGTGATTGAATTTGTGGGTCTATCTTATATTTTCTTGATATTGCCTCTGAATTCCCATTTGCTTTGTGAAAAGCTGGCTGAATTTAGAACCCCTCGGATGGGTTTTCTATTATTTGAAGCTTTGGGGAAGAAAGTTCGGATTTTCTTTGGTCTAATTAAAAATTTCAGGATTTGTTTGTGGTGTTTCAGGTGAACTGAGATGGGAGTCCCATTGTTGATGAAATATGAGCTTGAAGTGTTAATTTTTTTTGCAAGTTTGTTGTATGTAAATTGTTGAACTGCTGGTTTTTACTGATTTCGTGCATATAAATATGAGCTTGAAGTGTTAAAAATTTCAGGTTCCGAGTTTGTTGAAATGTTTATTGGTGTCGGTGCCTCTCGAGTCCGTGATCTTTTCAAGAAGGCCAAAGAGAATGCCCCTGCATCGTCTTTGCGGATGAAATTGATGCTGTTGGACGACAAAGAGGAACTGGTATTGGTGGAGGGAATGATGAGAGGGAGCAAACTCTCAACCAGCTTTTGACCGAAATGGATGGTTTCGGGGGTAACACAGGTATCATCGTAATTGCAGCAACCAACAGGGCCAATATTCTTGATTCTGCCTTATTGAGGCCAGGACAGTTTGATAAACAGGTAAGAATATATAATTATTGTCTGTATCATTCTTATAATCTGGAGAACAAAGTAGTCGACATAATGCTTTGGTGCAGGTCACTGTCGATGTTCCGGATATCAGAGGCAGAACATAGATACTAAAGGTTCATGGTAGCAATAAGAAGTTCGATGCTGATGTATTGTTTGATGTTATAGCCATGAGAACACCTGGTTTTAATGGAGCAGCGGCAAGACTGCGATTTCATCTAAAGAAATCGACGATTCAATTGATAGGATTTTGGCCGGAATGGAAGGCACGGTTATGACAGATGGAAAGAGCAAAAGCTTGGTTGCATACCACGAGGTTGGCCATGCCATACGCGGGCGAGTGAAATGAGAGCATCTTAATTTACTCTTGGGGTTTATATTTTCACATTATGCATGCTTGTTCGTATTATCTGTTAATACCGAGTCTTTATATTCGAATGACTATTTAGAAACTTACTATTGTTCTTTACCTTCGTGTCTTGGAACTTTGACACCGGGTCATGACGCTGTTCAAAAGGTCACCTTAGTTCCTCGTGGCCAGGCACGCGGTCTTACCTGGTTCATTCCTTCAGATGATCCCACCCTGATCTCGAAGCAGCGACTCTTTGCAAGAATTGTTGGTGGACTTGGCGGCAGAGGAAGTCATATTTGGTGAGCCCGAGGTGACAACAGGTGCGGCTGGTGATTTGCAGCAGATTATCGGTCTGGCTAAACAGGTAACTGCACATATCTAACCTTCCACTTCAAGCTCGATTTTGAACATCCGTAAAATTCACGAGTCATTCCGTGCCGCTTAACAGTTTTTTATTAGAAATCGTGCACAATTAGTTCATTATATGCATTTTTGTAGCATGGTGCATTCTTTTTTCTTCAAATACAATGCTCAATCACCACCGAGTAGATGGCCTAGTTGCCGGTGCTTGGTGTTTGTGTTAAGCTTATTATAGGTCAAGTCCCTTTCGTCGGATTATCTGTACGGACTCATCAGCCCAAAGTCAAGATGTCATTATGAGAATGATGGCAGGAAACTCAATGTCGGAAAAACTTGCTGAAGATATCGACGCTGCCGTGAAGAGGCTATCAGACAGTGCTTACGAGATCGCATTGAGTCACATAAGGAACAACCGTGAAGCCATTGACAAGATCGTCGAAGTTCTCCTCGAGAAGGAAACGATGAGCAGGGACGAATTCAGGGCAATCCTTTCGGAATTCGTTGAAATCCCAGCTGAAAACCGGGTCCCTCCTTCGGTACCCTCTCCGGTCTCGGTTTAAGCAGGAGTCTTTAACAAGTTGTATTGTACGAGTATTTCGCTTTGTATACTACACACTAAATCTGTAATCTTTCATTATATGTAAGTAATCAGAAAATGTATACTGATTTGAATTTATGAATGAGAAGGTGTAGATTTTTGGACCCTAAACGGATATTTGATCCGAATCTAATGAGTTTTAATCTGACTTGACTCGATAGGATCAGATTCTTTTCTTTTAAAAGTTCGAGTTCGGTTTGATATTTTTTAAGGATAAAGTTAGATTAGGTATAGAGTTAAAGACTAAAAATAGAATAATACTATAACTAATCTTAATTAATCTTTATATGTTCCGAGATAATTGTTATAATATTTCTCTCTTATCAAAGTGAAACTTCTCTATATTCGATTTGTGATGGTAGAGAATCCGGTTTGTGATGGGTAGATAAGTGTTATACTTGGATCAAACTCGAGTGGTAAAAAATCCGACTCATAATCATCCCTAATTCTAACCTTGACCTAAAATTAAGATTCTTCACTTGATTTTGATCTAATTTCAATTATAATATACTTTTTATTTTATACATCGCATAAATATAAATTGGCTCCTATTTAACCTCAAAATTTTAACAGAAAAATCGATATAATCTATGATGTTCTTAAAAAATTTAATCGAAATCTTAAATAATCATATAATAGACATAATATATTTTAGATTTAAATTTATAACAATAATTATGCCTTACAACACACCAATAACTGAGCTTCCATCAACCTTTGTTTATTAACCCTAGCAATGAACTCTTCAACTCTTTTATTAAGCTCCTCAGCAGGCAATTCAACCGCTTGTTCATCTTCCTTTTCTGCAATATTCTCACTCGTTCCTTCCACCGCCGACTCGGACTCACATCTTACCACTTCCTCTTCACAATCCATCCCCTTATCTTCATTCGAGCCGGCTTCGGTTCCCCGAACTCGAAACCGACTCCGTTCGACATATTCGTCGTAAACGTCACCGCCAGCAGGAGATTTGTTCGAACCGACGACCCCGGATTCACCGACGAGGACGAGGACAATTACATTAACCACTATAAACAAGCACTTAGGGTCGGAAAATGAAGACCAGATGCTAGGGAGATAGATTGAAAGAAACTGCTTCATGGATGAACATGGAGAACGAATATCGGGGAAGAATAATAAACTGCAAGTGAATAATAATATTCCGGCAAGCAAATGAAGGGTAGCGTTGTGAATGGAAAACTGGGTTTTCTTCTGCTTCTTCATTGCAATTTCTCTTAGCTGAAGATTCTGCAGAGAATTTTTTAGGGTTAAAAGAAAGGGTTTGCATAAGAGAACTCAACATTCAACAAGGTGACAACATTGAGTTGATATATAGTGGAGGAAGAATAAAGGGAGAAGAATATTTTAGTGACATTCATGAGATTCTACACTTTCTTTTTAAATTGGTTATTTTTTTTTTTGTATGAGAAGGTTACTTTATGAAAAAGGTAGGGCAAGGTAGGTAAAGAGGGTGATGTTTATTTATTTTAATTAACCTTCAATTTATTGGTTGACTAATTTAAATGTGTTTTACATAGGTCTATTATGGGACGCTTTCAACCCAATTTATTCCGTACATATCGTTAAGATTTGAACATTTGATCTTGCACGAGGAATCTAGTATCCTTCTATTAGATCAACTAGTTGTCGGTAAAAAGGTGATGTTTTCAATAAATTTTAGAGGTTGTAATTAGGATTTCAGCTTTGAGTTTTCATGTAAAATCTGAGAAATTATTTCTTATTATTTTATTAATGATCAGTCATTATTATTCATTACAAGTTCATTATTAATTAAAATAAATTATTTTTTAATAGTCTAGGGTGATTATAAGGTAATATTTGTTCATAATTTTCTTAATCAATTAACAATATATGTCTTACATATATAATTATTTGAACTCGAGACCTCTTGTGAAGAATAACATTCCCTTATTTACTAAAATTATTTGATGAATTTATAAGTTATATGCTTGAAATTCTAATAATAAATTGATTAATTGTGACATGTTTAGAGTAAGGATTTTGTACGTATTGTGACATATTTAGGGTTCGTTTGTGACCTCTTTTATATTTTATGACCAACATAGTTAATTTTATCTCTTTCGTACATGAGTATTTATATATATATTATATATATATATATATATATATATATATATATATTCACATAAAATCTATGAATAATTTTGCTTAAGAATAAAAATGTGAAATACAATGAGATGCATGTTGTCGGAACCGTCTTTCGGTTGAGCCCCGGAATTGGGCTTCGACTTGAAAAATGGATTGGAGTCGCCACCGATTATTTAGTTAAAAATAAATAGGTTAATCGGATACCTTATATCTTACCTGATCTGCGTCTTACCAAGATATGTCGATTCGGGAGTCGGTTACAGCTAAGGAAGGATTAGCACCCTTGAACTGCCCTTTTGGTACTACGTAATTTCCAGTTGTCTTTAATTAAGAAAGTTGTAAATTTAAATTAAAATGTAAAATGACGATCCAAATTACTTACCTTAGATTGCTTAAATTGTACCCTTAAAAGATCAAGACATATATTAGATAAGGAATGCAATAAAACACCTAAGGTAAAATGGAAAACAATAAGATGAGGAAAATAGAATATAAAAATAATATATATGATGGTAATAATAATAAAGATATAAACAATGGAAAAAATAAAAAGATATATATAATAGTAATAAATAAATAAAAACTACAAAACTAAAATAAATAAATAACTATAATCAAATATGTACATATAAAAAAAGGAATAATGAAAATAAAATGAAAAATATAAAGTAGAATAAAATGAAAACGATAATGATGTAAAAAAAACACGAAAAATATATAAATATCAAATATATTATTAAATAAAACAAATGAATAGAAATAAATATACAGATAATAAAAGAAAAAAAATATATGTTTATATACGCTATCAATAATACTTAAAATAATAACGATGATTATGTGTATATATATGTATAATAAAATAAAATAAAAATATACATAAAATATATATATATATAAATAAAGGAAAAATATAATAATAATGAAAATATAGTATATAATAATAGTAGGGACTAAATTGAAAACGAAATAAACTCAAGGGTCAATTTACAAGGATTTCGGGTTCAATAATCGATTCAGAGGACCAAATTAAAGGTTTTTGAAACTGGAGAACCAAAACGCAAATCTCTCGCTTCTTGCAAAAACACGCGGGTCCATCAAAACCGGGTCGGGTCCAGGCGCGGGTCAAGAGCCGCTATAAAAGTTAAAAAAATTTTAATCTCGCTCATTTCTCTCTTCACCAAACGAGAGAACTTCTTTCTCTCTTTCATTTCCTCTGCCTTGTTCTTCAAAACGAAGAACAAGGCTATGTATTCCAGAAATCGGCCGCCCTGGCCTCCTCTCGCCGCCTTGCCACCGTCGTTGATCGGCGACGGCCGCCGGTCATCGGCAGCAACCTACTAAAAAAAAACTGGTTTTTTGAAAGCTCTTCGCCCGCACGTTTTAAAAACCAAAGTATTTTTTCCAACCAAGCCTCGGGGAACCGTAGATCTAAGAGAGAATATCACAGTTCCCGTGTGTTCATCGGCCCCAAATCTTCTGTTTTTTTTTCGAGAAAAACGACAAGGACATAACGCATGCAAGGGAAAGAAGTAAAAAAGGTATAAACTTTCACCTTTTTATTTCTTCTTGAAACGTTTACAAGGCTCGTTTTTTTGCTGAGTAATTTCCTGTGTGTGCTCTCGTGATTTCCAGTATTTTTGTGTGTCTTTTTTCTTTCCTAAAAGCTTCTAATTACATGACTTTATAGTGATAATCCTAGGCTATTTTTAGAGTTTTAATCTGAGTAAAACTCGGTTTGTTTGTGGTGATAATCCACGATTCTGACTTGGTTGTTTTTGTGAAAACACGTTCATTGGCGTTCGTTTGGTGGCCGAGAGTCTTGTGCCGGAGAACTCGGATCCGTTGGAGAGAAGAAACGTGCAGTCATGGGGAGTTGAAGGAACGAACGGCTAGGGTTTCTGGAAACCCTAGCCTATTGGTCACGTGCCTTGGGCTGCTGAGGCGTTGGATCTGGGTCACTTGTATTTGGGCCGTTTGTTATCATTTATTTGTAAAGGGCCTGTGTAAAAAAAAAAAAATTAAGTATGTATATTATGTAATGTGGTTAGAAATTATTATAGAAATAACATTATTTAAATCTGATGAATTTAGTGTCTTCAGCTGCCCCTCTTTGCTCATTGTCGTGTAACGACAATAGAGCAAAGATTAAAAGACACGAATTTCGACCATATTGAATATCCTCCGTGGTTGAGGTCCAACGTTGAAACTGGTTTGTCACTCATGAAATGACATCCTCGTTGTGAAGTTGAACTGGTACTGTCTTGAGTCCAATATCCTTCGTTGTGTAGTTGAAATTGGGAAATTGTTTATTGACAACCAGCGGTCCCTTCGTCGTGAAGTTGAACTTGTGTTGTCTGGAGTCCAATATCCTTCGTTGTGACGTTGAAATTGGCTCTGAAATTGAGAAGTTGTTTGTTGACAACCAGCGGTCCCTTCGCCGTGAAGTTGAACTTGCGTTGTCTTGAGTCCATATATTCGATGTGAAGTTGAAATTGGCTCTGAAATTGAGAAGTTGTTTGTTGACAACCAGCGGTCCCTTCGTCGTGAAGTTGAACTTGCGTTGTCTGGAGTCCAATATCCTTCGTTGTGAAGTTGAAATTGGCTCGGAATTTGAGAAATGTTTGTTGACAACCAGCGGTCCCTTCGTCGTGAAGTTGAACTTGCGTTGTCTGGAGTTCAATATCCTTCATTGTGAAGTTGAAATTGGCTCTGAATTTGAGAAATGTTTGTTGACAACCAGCGGTCCCTTCGTCGTGAAGTTGAACTTGCGTTGTCTGGAGTCCAATATCCTTCGTTGTGAAGTTGAAATTGGCCCTGAATTTGAGAAATGTTTGTTGACAACCAGCGGTCCCTTCGTCGTGAAGTTGAACTTGCGTTGTCTGGAGTCCATATCCTTCGTTGTGAAGTTGAAATTGCCCTGAATTTGAGAAATGTTTGTTGACAACCAGCGGTCCCTTCGTCGTGAAGTTGAACTTGCGTTGTCTGGAGTCCAATATCCTTCGTTGTGAAGTTGAAATTGGCTCTGAATTTAAGAAATGTTTGTTGACAACCAGCGGTCCCTTCGTCGTGAAGTTGAACTTACGTTGTCTGGAGTCCAATATCCCTCGTTGTGAAGTTGAAATTGGCTCTGGGTAAAACCTGCAAAGATATGCATATATGCGATGGTATGGATGTCATGCTCTTAGGTATGCCTAAAATGTATGGGCAACATATGTTATTATGGGCTCTGGAGAGAAATCTTGATTTCCGGTGGCCTGTCGTTGTTGACTTTTGATTTTGAAAGCTTGAAATTCCGATCTCTGATCTTGAATTTTTCAAATGTCTGAATCTGGCGTGCCCATTCTGGGGTTTTTTTTTTTTTTTTGGAGATGCTCCTCAACCATCTCAAGCATGTGCATGAGCCTTGATCGGCTTCTGGGTACCTGTACTTTTCAATGAATCTTTGTACAGTAATATGCGATTATCTTTCAAAAATAAATAAACCATTAGGTTTAAATCTAATTCAAGATGCTCGAAAGGAATTGGGAAAGATGGTCTTTATTCATAAGGGAGGAGAAGAACAAATAATACATGGCAAACATTCTAGAAGACGAATACACAATGATGTGTAAATGAATGTCTTAGATCTCGATAACGTGGGCACTTCTGAGCTGAAAAGCCGATTGGTGATTTTGAATGCAGCCTTTGCCAAAGGATCTTTGAAAATGCGACAACGTTTGGGAGGGTGCAACATTTCTCCGATTTGTTGAGTTCGTAGAAGATTCATGTGCCGGATGTTTCCGCCGTTGATATCCAAATCCCCTTTCCGGGTTTTCAACTTGGACCCATCCTTAGTTGCAAGACGCCCTTTTCGGGTTTTCATCTTGAACCCACCTTATTTTCTCTTCTTTTTTCTTTTTTTCAATTTAAGGCGCCCTTTCGGGTTTTCACCCTAAACGTTCTTCTCCCTTTTTTTTTCAAACTTAGGACGCCCTCTCGGTTTTCATCCTAAGCGAAGTATTTCTTGACTGCGTCCGAGTTAATGGATGTGGCAGCTCAGGTCCGTCCATTTCAGCCAGGATAAGGGCTCCTCCGGAGAAAGCCTTCTTCACGACATAAGGTCCTTCCCAATTTGGCGTCCATTTTCCTGGAAATCTTTCTGGACTGGCCAAA